ATAAAAATGGCTGAAAAGGGCCTTACAGACATTCAGCCAGAAGTGCCCGATTCCCAAACAACTTCTACCCACAAAACTCGTACCATCGTTCGGGCTGAGGACATCCAGATAGGGATCGAGGAAAATGACGAGGAAGCAAGCACGCGTCCTATAGGCTGGAAAGTAGCTAAGGAAGGAAAGGGGAAAGCCGCAGTGAAACCAGCCCCACCTTCGGTCAGCATCCCAGTTTACCATAATAATAGCGGGAGCGAGGCAAGCCCATTGAGTGTAGATGGAGATGGGTGGTGAACATTGTTTCCTTTTTTTCATTTCAATTCTTATTCATTCTAGCTGTCAGTCTGTCTCGCCTCTCAATTTGAAGCCGTTCCTTCATTTAAAGGCCATGTTTAGTAGTTTGTACGGGCATATATGAGCTAAATGAAAGTAACATAGCTAGCGGTAGAGATAATCTTTTCATTGGGTAAGTCTACGTTAAGCTTATATCATAATTTAGCCCTAAGAGGAAATGATATGAAGCGAGTGATAGTTGGTGACTCATACTTAGATCAAAATATTAATCTTGCCCTCACCTATTACTCATTCGATTGCCCGCACCTACGATCTCAGAAGCAAAAAGGCCAATATAACATTTTCCAATATTGCTATATCTTAGTCAGGGAATACAGCCGTTGTACATAACACAGGCTTGATGGTAAACTTCAATCTTTGATAATCGGGTTTTGATGGCATAGTTTTTGAGATTGTGATATCGGGGGTTCTAGAAGAATTTTCAGAATCACTTCTGGTGGTTGTCTCATCATGGCAAGCGTATTGCCGAACGGGCCCTTAATTAGGCCGATGTGATATGCAATAACAGTCGACCATGTCTTAAAACGCCTACTTAATTTCATGATCACTGATGTCGATCGTGAGGCTACCGTGGAGCTTCTGATATAGTATAAAGAAATTCTATAAAATAACTACTTTCCTTGCAAAAATGTCTAGAGTTGGTTATTGCACGATAAGATCTAGCACTGAACCTTACAATTACAATCAGGGCTTGCCACTGATAGATATATTAAGATACGAGGCCGGAATGAGTAAATAATAAACTAAATTTCGCTGTCATCGGTAAACTCGGCCATAGCCCCATTATAATAAGTACATGTAACTCGTTTCTCTCGCATTCAGTATTTACCATAGGTAATGGAGGTTTGATGTTGGTTGGCACAACTCGTTACGTTTTAGCAACTGTTTATGTTGGGTTGCGGTCAGGCTACAAGATCGCCAGCCCATTAACTAACATATTGTTATAGAGGCTGTTAATGAATATGCATTAACCATAGAGAATGATATACACTATTATATATGTGTGTGTATTTACTAGTAAGGACAATCTGTACTTTCCTAATAACAATAGTGATATGTTAAGTGCAGTAGTTACGAGTTACGCTATCATTATACTCGTAACTATATGTAGCTTACCTTGTTGGGATTCAATAGCTTTGGGAGACTAATGAGCTTTATCAATCGTAAATAAAGACCTGAATAAAACCACATTTTGACTAAAACACACCCCTCCCATATGCGTGAATTTCGAATGCATGGCGCATCATGCTTCCAAAACTCTTGTTACATATTTGAAGCTAAGCCTTAATGGTAGTTAAAGAAGGCATCAGGGACCCAAATGCAAGTATGAAACTCCCCAGCCAAGTCGCAGATGAGCTAGTGTAGAGCAAATCAGAAGCTGCTGCCCACAACGGGGCCGTTTAAATCGTGAGTGTATGTACCGGTACCGGATTCATGGAACTACACACATGAACGGAACTCGGGGATTCCCCCGCATTAGGTATGTAGAGTAAGTTAAAGAGCCAAAATCCTAAATGTGGCTACGATTCCAATTATAGTTCATGTTTTCCTCCTTGTCGGTACTCTGGAGTAATGAATGTGATCGTCGTTCTAGCGCCTCTTTAGGTTGGCATATTCCATCATGTCTTAGCCAATGGCCTTTGCACGTTTCCGATGTTACGCGAAACAGGGATATCATTGACCCATGAGAACCGGTAATCATAAATCTGCGGGAAAAAGTGCGTATCCAGAGAGGTGTGAGCACTCCAGGAATCGACTTCGCCGCGTGTATGCGCAACGGAGTCTTACGTAACCCCCGCACTTTCCAATGTTGGGCAATTTGGAAACAGCTCCCTCCATAGCCAAGCAGACACGCTCGTGCACCTTATGCACGTGGGCTACAAAGTAGACGTTTGCGAGGATCTTAAGCTTGAGCTTCCTTGTCCAGATGCCTATCATGTAAGCCGCCTTGCGGGTCCGGTGGGGGAAACATGGTATGTAAACACCAAAAGACCAACCACGTGGATGCAGATCGCACCAAAGCTAGCCGGATGATGATGAACGCAACAAAACGTTTTTAATAATACCTATCATTTCTATTCCTTCCATCATATCCTAGAGGTAAGAAGACGGAATTGTAAACTTAGTTATTCGGGGGTGAATATACACAAGCACGGACTTCTCATTCTTAAATAGGGCTTAAACTATACCAGCCTAGTACTTTGGGCTGAGGATAAACCAATTGACAAACGTTCAACATGCAAATGCTCAATTCGGTTTAGGTCATGAGTAATCTTACATTAAGCCTGAGATCCGGATCTGAAAACGCACCAAAGCAAGAAGACTTGATGTGTTGTTACGACCAGTGACGAGCCGAGCAGTGACGGGCCCAAAGGGGGACAAAGTGTTACAAGCTCAGAACAGTTAAAATCCACGAGTCTTGGCAGAGTTACTCTAGAATATGCAGAGCACCTACACTTCTTCCATCACGCCCAATTGATCACGCAAATACATACTGGATTTTAGCAAGAGGGCTCGAAAATCACTACCGATTCTCAAAGTGCGCGTGCGTAGCATTGTTTAGTCTGTATGTAGGTTCTACATATTGCGGACTTAACTGGTCCTACTCTGGAGCACATATCCATTGGAAGCAACTACCTACTGCATAATGGTCCATGCACGCAAGTGTTGGAGAGCATAATTCCCCATACATCGAAACTGAGGTGAGAATCCTGTTCTCAGCATGCATTTCACAATTGGTTTCAGCACAATTGGCCCCTGAATATGTAGGTACATTCGGTGCAAGCTTGAAATTAAGTGGAAGTTCTTGGCAGTATATGTGTTCAAATTTATGCACATTTTTGCTTACACTAAGCTCACGAGATTATGGATGCCATATGGATGGATAGTGTATAACATTTTAGCATATATCCATATATGTGATGAACAATGGCGATTATATGTAGCTAGCATAAAGGCCACAAAGCCATGGTGATGGTTAAATGTGTTTGGACCTTTTTTCGAGACAGCCTGTCGTCGACGTGGCCACCATTGTCTGCTTGAGCGGTGGTTGTCACGAGAAGCTGCAGGTACAGCCGATAGCGTGACTATCTTTTCGCCCAACCAGGAAACTTCAACGCCACCGGTCCTCCCAATCATTGTCCTAGTGGTCGTGCTACATTTCACGCTGAATATGACAGGAAACTCGCCCTCTGCTGTGTGCATGTTCTGTACCAGCTGAACCATGCCCCAGTTTATGTGGGGTTAGATCTTGACTGGAGTGTCTTCCCGAGTAGAAGCTGATAGAGCATCCTACAAAAGCCTCATGTTTCTATCAAATGGTGGTTTAGCTATTACATGAAATTGTATCGATCATTATCCCACACATGATCCCTGGGGTGATATCAGATGCATTAGCATCTTCATGGATTTGACCCGTGCTGCCATCACGAACCCTAATCTAAAGAGCCCAAGTTTGGTATCTTCGTTTGATAAACACTCTGTTTATCTGTGAAGCCCTTTCATGAATCCGCGGATGTGATTGTGACTGCTTATTGTACCCATTAATGAAGTGTAATGCGGAGGATTCCGGACTAGTAACTGTGTGGCCACCCGGTCGTACCCGGTAACTTCAGGGTTCAACGACATAGTTCAATCTCAGACATCAGTTTACCCCATAGTGTGAAATGATCAGCAGCTCTCTTGATTTCCGGCCATCCACTACCCCACGTACTTATCAGATATCATCATCTCATATTATTCCGATGTGACTGCCCGCGATCACTGAGATCATGATTCTATGATACACTCCCACTAAAAGCGGGTATTTTCCTAACCAAAACACCAGCATCCGCGGTAACTAAAAAGTCCCACGAAGAACCCCTCCCTCCTCCCCACATTCCGTCCCCCGCACGAAAACATAGTTGGAACAACTGCAGTTCGATCGACTTTATCCGCTACCCGTAATCATCACCATAACATCGTACGTCTTGGCCCCATTCAACTAAGAAACAGAAGACATGAAGAGTGAAGAGAGATTCAAAAACATCAAAAGAGATAGGAAATAAAAAGAAATGAAAAAACTCAAGCCTGAATGGCATCCAACAAGATCAGTCAAGATCTGCTGAAATCCACCTACCCCCTTCTGTCCCTCCTCATTTGAGACAGAAAAGCGCATTAAAAAAACCTTCCCGCAGAAGATCAAGTTAATGACTCCACAGTACCTTTTTTTTGTGTTCTTTTGTTCTTTTGTTCTTTTTTTTTCCTTCCCTTTTCTCATGTTGCCTTTGCCAGCTCTTATCGTAAACTCCACCCCCCCCCCCCCCCCCCCCAAACCCACCCATAGCAATACAACATGATTAAAAATAATAATAGGCGCCATAAACCGAAGATGGCAAGTTGGGAGAACCTAATCACCCAACTTTGCAAACGGCATTCTGATAATGAACGCCTGTGAGCCATATCATAGAAATATCTTCAGGCCCTCAAGAAAATTAAACAGAATAACCAAAGCCGTCCATGCCGGAAATAAAAGACTAAAAGTGGATAATTATGAAAGATAAAAGAAGAGAGGAGATAAAAATGGAATAAAAAAACGCCCAAACAAACCCGCCAGAACCGCCTACCAATGTCTAAAAAAGTGAAATCCCAAAAATGCAACGCCCTAATAGCAATCAAATCGAACTGAGCTTAACCAACGCCTCAACTGCTTCTCTCTCCTCTCGTGCCCTCAACGCCGCCGCGGAGTCATCGTATCCGTTCGAACTGTAGAAGCTAGAAGCTTTTGCCTGCCATGTTGGCATAGATCCGTAACCGACAGCTGGACTCCCAGCAAACCCGCTCAAAAAACCATCTGATGTTATGGGGGAACCAGCTTGTCGTCGAAGCATGGCAGCACCCATTTGAGCCCAATCCTCTTCATCAGTCATATCCGCATCCTCTTCCTCTGATGCGTGTTCATCAAGGGACATCATATCAGCTTCATTCTCATCTTGCTCCATGGTATCAGGATCTTCTGAAAGATCTGACGCTTCCTCTTCAGACTGCACGAATATTCCAGATTCGCCGGTGTAGCTTGTGGAATGGTTCATAGATGTGGCCGATAGAAGGCCATTTGATCGGAACATTCCATTAGACTTGACCCCATATGTTGAAACTGAGGTTGAAAGAACTGAGGTAGCTGGTGAAAGCCCCCTTGATAAAGTCCCCTCACGATCCCTTGGCAGATCGTCCTTCAGTCTAGCATCCCACCGACCCCAGCCAACTTTCTCGAAAATAACGTCCCCATTTACACCCCCAGCTTCACCCTCACTGCCACTGACACCCCCTCGTCCCTCCAGAGCACCAACAACAAGCCTCCTCTGCTTTGCTGGAGGAATAGTGCTAAATCCCGGAATGTTTGAGATCAGGTGTGCTGTTACATGACGAATAGCTAAAGGGCCATGTTGGAGCAAGATCCCAGGCAAATGGTACTTGGCCAAGAGAGCAGGGGTGATTGCTCCAGCAGCTTCTGAGAGATGTGGCTCCAGGTTGTGGCTTTCGGTCGTAGGGAGCTTAGAAACGCCACCAACACCCATGTCGGAGACGTCAACATCCGAGTCTGTTACACCCTGACGATCGCCTACGCTGCAGCTCTGTTTGAACTTGTGAACCGGAGCAAGAGAAGGAGAGATCGAGGTCGGCGGAGTTGGGAGGTGGTATTTCGCGTCAACATGGTCCGGATGAGGGAACGCGTTGTTGCTGGAGACAGTAGCATCACCGCCACGGCGGAGGCGGGAGCTTAAGTTGGAGATGGTGATGGCCGCTGGAATGGAAACGGTGGTGGAAGTGGCCATGATTGCAAATGATAGTGTTATTTGCTGTTTGAGGATCTGTAACAAGTTTTCACAGGTCAGTGTTTCCATTCTTATACATTCCTCGTGAGTCACATGGCAAGTAAGCCCACAAAGGTTCCCGCAGAAGTTCCCACAAAAGTCCCCGTTGGGATAGTAGGACAACACAGGATAAATATTGCCAGTGACAGAGAAATCAGCTAAACGCTGAAGATGGGTGAAAAACAGCTTACATGGACTAGCGACGTGAGAAGTATTATCACTAAGTAGTGAAATAAAGTATATAGATGTTGGACGTACTGGAGCGAGGAGGAGGAACTGCTTTGAGGAGAAGAAAAGCAGAAGGAAAGGAAAGAAAGGAAAGCTCAAGGCAAGGGCAACGTTAAAAGTGGAAATCTGGACTGGGAGAAATAAGTAATTATTATTGCATGTAAGGACAGGCCTACGGGCACTGGCCGCCGCACTGGTGATACGGGCGTGCCAGGGCTTCAGCAAGTGTCTCGGCTTTGCTCTTTGGGCGCGGGGGTGCCGCATCGCAGCATCATTTGCGGCCTTTTGTTGGGCCTGCTGTACACGCAAAAAGACACTACAAATGCACACACACGAGAGAATGCTTGTCCTGGATGGACGCCAGAATGGAATCCGGGATGAAGAGATATGTATCCCCAATCTATGGGTTGGATGAATCCAAGGGTAAAATATGTTGGAACCACCTCGAAACAATCAACAGAAGAACACCGGGAAAATTGCGGAAATGTATGGAAGAAAGGGGCCGAAATGCCTCGGCCATTGATGCGAAGAGCATCTAAGTATGTGTACCTAAGTACGTACCATGTACATGTAGGTACATGTACTTGCTTTCACAACATATCTTATCGAACTTGCGGGCGGGTGGATGCACAGCGGTTGGTGATCGGTTCAGGCGTTGGTATGCGCAATTTTACGGGAAATAGTTGTCTGTCTACATACAGGGGGAGCTGGAGAGTCTCATGAGAGAAAGGGGGCATCTGAATAGAAGTCCCCAAAAGACTAAAACAAAGGCGAATGGTTTGAAACGGAACTTTGTTTGTCCTCAGTTGTGTTTGGGGCAAAAAAGTGTGTGTGTGTGTGTGTGCTGTGTGTGAGTTTGGTGTGTTCTTCTAAGCTGTCAGATCACTTGTGTGGTCGTTGTTACTGTGGATTCGAATTCTCGCCTACTAATCTTTATCTAACTGCTGAGAACGGCTAGCTATTGACTGACTACCCGCCTCTAATATCTTAGGCCACTAACTTGTGACTGCTTCTTGAGTAGATACCAGCACTTCACAGCTTCATAGGTGAGAGGCATGTCAAAAAATTATATGTAGATGTCGACAGCAGTCACAAAAAATTTACCGAGTGCCGAAAATGATGTCGTTGTTAAAGTTCCATCTGAGCGCGAGAAAACGAAATCACATTTGATCTGCGTACCGCTGCAGGCACCAAAAACAAATGGAACCTGAGTACAGTCGCAACTCGATATGCCGGATTGCCAAGATTCTAAGGATTTCGTACGGAATAGCAAAAAATCCGGGATAGCAGATTGATTTTGCAGTAGGAAAAATAATATTCTCAGAGGATCTCGTACGGGACAGCAAGGGATCCGGTTATTGAGTTCCGGCATATCGAGTTGCGACTGTAGTAAACAATCCAAGGACGAGTACGTAGTTGGTAATACGAGAAATCACGGGACGAACAAAGGACCAGATAATTACAAAGCAAGGAACTACCCCGAGACCATGAAACGGGGTATTCAAGACTACGTTATCGTGACGATACTACCCCACGATTAAAGAAGTTCTTTAAAGATCAAATTGCTGCGAGTCGGAGAGTTGTGAACGTAACGGGCCACGTGAGATATCAAATGGAGGTCATTGATCATTCCAAGGATAGATAGAAGCCGCAACAGCATTAGATCCCGAGAAACTCGTCTTCCAAGTTTACCATTTTGTTTCTGGTTACATGGATCGACGGTGTCAACCGCTAGATTGGTGGGTTTTGGGTAAATGTGCGAGAAAATCCGGGACTCACCTCCGCAGAACGTGCACTGCCATATCTTACAGGGGGCAATGATCTGACGTCGTTGGTAATAATAAATCGGATTTTCATGGAAACGTCTGCAAATTTAAATAGCCACTTTAAATCGGATTATTGACAGATAGTGCGACAGGACACATGTCTTTTATAATTCGTCATAGATGTTTTGATGCTTTTGAACTCGACTTTTGCAAGCACCAGCCGTAGCCAGGAGTTTTTGACAGTACTTGACTGGAGTGAACGGTCAGTGTTGGTTAGAGAATCAACACGACTTCAGTATGTTATCCAGCAGCACTCCTCTTTCATAAAGTAGAGAACCTCATGCGCAAAAATATGGTATTCTCAGTCAAAGCTCAATGCCAGTGAATCAACCTGTCACTGTTGGAATATATCCCAAGAGATATATACATATGTATATGCGGATCGGCACATCGAATTCTGTATCATTTACAAAAATTCCGATTGACAAAAATAAACATGCTTTTTCATGCAGTCATAATCTTTATCTCCCGTCACTTTGTTTCCCATCGAGATGGGGATGTTGGACACAGCCGGCTGCACTTCCCGATCTGGAAGAATTTGTTTCTTTGCAGGCATGAAAAGTTAGATCCGGTCGGTCATAAAGCATCACTCGGCCACGACCTTATCACTGTCGTTTGCTTAACTTTACTGACATATCTCTACCTAAGCCTTTAAAGTCTTGAATGAATTAAGCGCAAAGATAGGAGGCAACCTTCCGCCCCCGAGGACCTACAAGAGCCTATAGTTCTAACACTCTATGAGTCGTATCGAGTGTTAATCTATGCATCGAATACACTTGATTGATTGATTGATAATTCATTAATTGTGCATCGAATACACTTTGTCTCGAAGAATTTGCAGGTATCATAGTTGGACGGGTTAAGTAACTTTACCTTGGGGTAATATGAGGTTTGAATACATCAGAACTAGATCTAATGTATTCGTAGCAAACCGATTCATCGGCGAATCATCACTAGTGATGAAATGAGTTTCAGCTCTTTTACGGCCATCGAGTTAGAAAGTGCGCTTGAGATTGAGTGATGTGCTTTAACAAGGAGCTTTATATTTCTCTAAATCAAGTAGATGCGTCAAGGTTATGATGATGATGGCAGTGGCAGTACTGGTATAATCCAAGAGGTGAGCTGGCTTGAACTTTGGGTTCGCCGAAAAGAGATCCCGCCATTCGTCGAAGCGTAGCGATTCAAGCCCTTCTCTACTTAAGCTCAAAAAGGATACCTGTAAAGCTTGAAAACAATAAGAGGTGGAGGAGGTTAGTAGGGTAGTTCTAGGGTAGTGCGATATTATTATAGCTTAAGGGCTACATACAATTAATAAATTAAACAAAAAAAGGAAAAAAGGCTTGAAAACAAGCCAAGCAGTCTGATAAGGCTAAGTAAGAAAACGAGAGTCCAGTTACCCTTATCCCTTCGTGCATTTTCAGGACCGGGCACTATGGGGGGGGCATCCCGTAAAGAGGCCTTTTACTGGCTAGTAAACTTAACCCTCTCTCCATGTACCTGTTTGGCTGTGAAGTCGCTGTTTGCGAATCCTTCTTTACTTAGTATGGCGAGTCCAGAGTATGTGGTTAGTTAGATTTACTAACTATCACCACGTCGTCGTAAGCCTAGTAGGTCTTCATCTACGGAATGTATGAAAGGATCGTTCATATTTTAGTAAGAATACGATACTTATCTAGAGGCGACCATCATCAGGTTGTATCACCCAACTTAGATATAAAATCTGCTCGAGCAGATATTTGGGCTTTTAAATATCAAAAGCGACTATATTCTCTTGTCAGCAAAAACAGGACTTGGTCCATCCACCCTAGGCTCTCACTGGCATAACCTCAGCTTTTCAAGTAGCACCTATCAGAAATCAACTCTCTTTTCGACAAATTGACAGCCTTTTTGATAGAAAACTAAAGGGAGGTTCCCAACTAAAAACTTACCCACTCAAAAGTCGAAACATGGCTCCCCATCGGCGGGGGCGGGCAAGAATTACGCCAATGACTTTGGATGAGGAGGGGAAGAGGGAGATAAATACGGTGAGGTGCAAACTCGTGTATATAGGAGATTAAGATGGGCGTGTGATGGCAGAAGAATTACATGGTAGTATATACATGTAGGGAAGAAGGCATGGCAAAGGAGGAAAGAGTGGTGGGTGAGAATGATAAAGATTAATGGGAGTAAGATGAGTGGGAGTGAGATGGGGCAAGATGATGGATGGAGGGGATGAAGTGGATTGACTTCGAGAAAGAGAAGATGTATATAGATAAAGGTGGTACTCTAGAAGCGGCTCATGGCCATAACCCGCCACGGGACGGCCCGACCCATTGCACTAGTAGCCCAGAACCCCTACAGGGCTGCCCAGCCGCCACCACAACAGTAAAGGCTGAGATTGTAAACCCCCGCCATCAACAAAACATCATTACATCGCGGGAGTGGTTCTTTACCCGCCCTTCGTGGATAACGGGCCTTTCTCGCTGAGAGGAAGCCTTTGTGCTCTGAACATCAACATACATTTTAGTCCCATATATTGTCTTGAAGAATAAGTACCATGATCCAGGCGGAGCGTATGGCCTTAACTGAAGTATAGACCACGCATCTACCAAATAGAAAACCTTTACAGTAAAGGGCAGTCCAATTCCAAGACTTTTATCGCAGCTCTCCCACAAAACAACTAAGACACAAGATTAGGTAAAGCCAACGACCAACTCCGGATGTCGAGAGACGCAGACCAGAGATAAGTGGAGTTCAAAATTCATGTTCTTGATCTTACTGGTACATCCAGGTTCTACTTTCAAGTTGGTATACGGGAGTCCACACACGTGTGTGTCGCTGACGGATTCTATTCTCATCAAGTATATCTAAGTATCGCGCCATATCAGGAGCAGGAGCAGTAACTCAACTATAACTTCTAGTGAGTCGATCTCTAGGTCTTCATATATATAGAGTTATTAGTACTCGATGTCGAACCTTCCTCAATCAGTAAACATCTACTTCCCAATATTGAGTTATTTGTCTGCTAATTGACCATATTACTAGCAACGCGAGAAAAAATCAAAGTAAAAATCCAAAAACACTTTGACCAGCACAGTCAAAGGCTTCAAAAACAGTCAAATAATCAAGGAACACAGACTTAAACACAATATCGACCCCGACGGGACTCGAACCCACAATCTTTGCCAATCTCGGGTTTTAACCGGAAAGCAATGCGTTAGCCATTACGCTACGGAGCCAGTGATAATGAATACTTATTTTGATTATATAATTATTAAAATATTCCATGCTTCTGCATGTATGCTGGTGAAGTAAAGCAAACCAATGCGACAATAAAATGTGAGGGAACGTGCGTATGGTTGCATACGCTATGATTCTTGCCCGGTGTAAGTGATATCTCATGACTGTGAGATAAGGTGTTTCGTCTCAACAGGTTTTGGTGTTGATATTGGAGGCCGTGGAAGGTGGTATACGTGTAGGTACCCGTATATTTATATCAAAACTGCTTCTGAATCAGTGTTGAATTCGTCAAATCGGTTTTCTCTGTTTGTACTTTGTCTTATCTGAATATCGCCGCGTCATACAAGTACCAACGGCATTGAGCACGAGTTTAGCGTTTCTACTAGTGTTACAAAAAAAACCGGTAATGGGTCCCTTGTGACCCAAGTGGAAAAAATCTGTGCAAGCTTCAATTGGAGTATCTGGTTCGGGAGTAAAGGCAGCTCTGTTGATTCCGCCTCAGCCTCAGTACAGTAGTTATAATGGATTGTCAATTATACTAGTAATCCTACATAGCAGAGCTCTGCCGGAACTTTCAAGCTCTACGTCGACGTACTGAGACTTATCAAGGAGGCACGCAAGTACCCTTTTACTCTGTCTACTCATTTGTGCTAATTCCAAATAATAAAGTAGTTCTCTTCTCGGAGCAAATGCCCAGACTCACGTGCATTGCGGCTCTCCTCTCGGATCAACTTCCCAACATAGGATAGCTCCAGGGACATCAGGGATTCCTGACCAAGCTGCACGCTCTGACAGGCAGAGCAGATTTGCTTGCCCGATCTCTCCTCCAGAGGTGACGCCATTCCCCAGATCCCCATCCGCATGTCTCATCGACATCTGTCCTTAAAACTCTACAAAACCCCCTTCATAGCCCCATCAAGGACTCCTCTAAACAGCGATCAGTAGAGCAGCAAATTCAGGATGTCCGCATTACCCCAGATATCCCATCTCGAGGAGATCACCTCCTACAGCCACACCATCGCGCCCTACCTGCACCAGCTCTCCCTCTCCCATGTCCTACCACTTCTACGTCGTGAAGTGTCACCGACAGAATGGTATCTGTCTACGAACCCGCTCATCTCGGGGGTGACCTTCGCGCTGTTTATAGCTGGCGTAGTGCTGGCCGCAAGTGAGTTTAACAGAAACTACTCCCAGATCGATAGGCTGTGGAGTCTGTTGCCCACGATCTATATCGGCCACTTTGCCCTGTTTGCACGCCTGTCTGGATTGAACACCGAGCGACTAGATACACTACTCATGTTTGGGTGCCTGTGGGGTGCGCGGTTGACATTCAACTACTGGCGCAAGGGCGGATATAATATTGGCTCCGAGGACTACCGGTGGTTGGTTTCCAAACCGCAAGATAAAATCTCTAGAGCTATATAGCTAACACATCAGCAGGAATATCATCAAAGCGAACATCCCTTCTATCGCCTTCTTTGCACTCAACGTGACTTTCATCTCGTTCTACCAATCACTCCTCCTCCTCACCATCGCCGCCCCCTCATACGTCATCCTTCTATCCTCTTTACTACCTGAGACTGTTCTCCCATATTGGGCCATGCCGGATCTTCTATTCTCGCGCGGCCTCCTCCTTGCGCTCATCGCTGAGACCTTCGCCGACCAGCAGCAATGGGCTTTCCAGACCGCCAAGGCATCCTACCGCGCTACCGGCGTGGTCCCTCCAAAGTTTGAAAAGGAGGACCTGGACCGCGGATTTGTGGTCACGGGGCTGTGGTCGTTTAGTCGGCACCCGAACTTCGCGGCCGAGCAGATGGTCTGGGTGGGTGTGTATCTGTGGAGCTGCTGGGTCGGTGATGTGATGTGGTATTGGGGCGCAATTGGGGCCGCCAACTACTGCCTGCTCTTCCAAGGGAGTACCTTATTTACGGAGTGGATCACGGCGGGGAAGTATAAGGAGTACAAGGAGTACCAGATGAGGGTCAATAAGTTTTTGCCCGGGTGGAGAACATTGATCGGTGGTGATGAGCTCAAGGGCAAGAAAGAGCTATAATGGAGCTCATAGCAGGCATAGTAGATGCGGTCCTGAAGTTTGTAGAGTAAGGAGGTTGAATGGAATTAAGAAGTACGTAGGGTGTGTGCTAGCAACGATCTGTAATGCCATCTCTGTATAACTGCATTCCATAATCCCGGGCCCCCACCTATCTCACGCCCTTACCACAAAAAAAAAAAAAAATCCCTCCCCAGTAGTAAGAAAAAAACAAACACAATATATGTAGCCTCCCACCGGCCTCACCAAAACAGAGTGACATCCCATGATCCAACCCCCCCAACCCAATCCAATCCAACCCTTACCCTACCACACCCTACGAACCCAACCCCAACCCACACGACAAAAGATCTCAACAACTCATTCCCTCCCGGGACCCCAATTCCCAATTCCCATCCCCCGACTCTCTTCCCTTTACCTCCTTTCCCCATATCATACCTATCGAGAAAAAAAATATGTGTGTGCCAGCCAGTCAGCCAGCCAGGCAGTCAGCCACGTACATGCATGAAGGGTGTGAGGGGCCGGGAGGTCCAGATTCAAATTTTTGGCCCAACCAGAAAATTACCACTTACACAGACAGGCAGGGAGAGGGGGGGGGGGTTTAGGCGGGGAGGTTCTGCGGTTGGGCCCGCGGGTAGAGTAGGTTTTTTTTTTTAGCGGTGGTGGTTGTGGTGGATGGATGGGAGAGCTCGCGGGGGGCTGGCATGGCATGGCATGGCATGGGGGTTGGTGGTACAGGCTGTTAATGGTTCTTGGAGGGCATGGTATGGAGATGTGAGTAAAGTAATCTACTATTCTACAGCTGCCATTGGAGGTCTTACTGCCAGTAGGGTGCCTGTATTAAAGCTGCGCGCTGAGCGTGCCCTCGAATCTTCGGATGAACAGGTGGGTTGGCGGTGATTCGAGTGATACCTTGTGACTAAACACCAATCACAATGAAACAACAGAGAGCTATATGTAGTATCTATCGTGAACGGGGCATTGGTTTCTTGATATCTAAATCCAATGCGAAACATGCATCTCTAATTATATACAACCAACAACAAGCAGCATTCACGAGCAAGAACGGTAGAAACTTCATAGAACGATTCTCTTTCAAATCCGAGCAAGGCCGGGGATGACGGGGGGCAGATTCAATGCCGTTTATAGTACATGTAACAAAGCAAACTTATCAAAGTGAAAGAAAGTAAAGCATTTTGCACAGAAGCAAAAAGAAAAAAGAAAACATGCAACGTGACTGACTGTACCAACCCGCAGCCCAGCAACCAGTAAGTTAGTTTCTTAAAGCATAACTTCAAAAACAAAGCCCACAACACCCGGTCCCCACCCATGCTAAAGTAAAGAAGTAGTAGATATCCGCCCAAAACCAGTTGACAAAAAAAATAGAAAAAGAAAAGGAAAGCCAAAGCAGGCGAAAGAAAGCAAATGGTAACCACCAAGATCAAAAATAAAAATCTAGGGGGTAATTGAAAGAGGAGAATTCGCCATAAGAAACGTCTATCAGTGGTCACTATACAACAAACTATCTTTTAAGTCTGTAAAAAAAAGGAACAAGGAAAAAGAGGAGATAGATTAGGGGTTCTCCAGAACATCGAGGTCCTGCATCCCCGTGCTGAAATCTAGAACCAAGGTGCGATTGTCCTGACTGGTGCTAATGATGCGCCTGTAGTCCGCCTTGGCAGACAGGATCCACGTTGAGTGGAACCTCTGAATGTCGAGAATAAGCTTCCCCGTGTCCAAGTCCCAAACTTTCACGCTCTGCAATCGACAGGTCAGCTTCCATATCCCGTATTTAAGTAAACAAATCAAGTGCGGGGTGTGGGGGAAGGGTGGTGTAACACAAACCTGATCATAGGATCCCGAAACAATCCTCCTATTCCGGGAATCCAAATGGAGCGTTCGAACCAATAGCGAATGCCCCTGCAACACCCTAAGGCACTCGCCATTGGTCGCGTCCCAGACCCTGATGTCCTGATCATTTCCACCGCTCACAATCGTCTTCGCATCCTCACTGAACTGCACGCACGCAAGGCCCCTATTGTGGCCCGTGAAATCACGGACGCATTTTCCAGTGTCCACATTCCACAATTTGATGAGCGCATCGCCCGAGGCGCTGACAATGAGGTTTCCGCGGATGGCGATCGCGTTCACGGGGCCCCTGTGGCCCGTGAGCTGGCGGAGAAGCCTCCCCGTCTTGCGGTCCCAGATGCAGATGGTGGTGTCCTTGGAGCATGAGACGATATGTTTCTTGTCGAAACACACGTCCAGAACGCCAGCCGTGTGGGCGCTAAGCCGCATGACCGACGTACAGGAAGGCAGCGACCAAACGATGCAGGTGTGATCGGACGAACCAGAGACCAGAATCTCGTCGTCAAACTGGAGGCACAAGACCGAGGCGTGGTGGTAATCTGAGGAGCTTGTGCGCGGGGCGACCATGTCATTGGCTGCCACCGCCGCTGCCGTTTCCCCAAACGCGGAATTCCGGGCGCCTTGTCCCAGGACCTTGAGACACTCGCCTGTCGCAATGTCCCATATCCTGATGGTCTTGTCGCGCGAGCCTGTAATGATTTTCTTTCTGAAACCGACAATCAGTATGGCGGGGTTGGAGGAAAAACCCGTTTTTGGAGGCAGACATACTCGTCAAATTGCACACAGTAAACGCTATCTGTGTGTCCCTTCAAATATTTGGCAGTAACCTGACCCTTTTGCCACCTATGATTGAGCTCCTGTCGGACCATAAACATCTTCTTCCAATCATTTCCAGGCCGCGACCTCCATGGCCCGTGCTGGTCTCTGAACACGTTACGCCAAACATGGCGGTCGCGTGCAGCGTTCAACCACTGGTGCGATACAGATTCGCAATTCACCAAACTCTGGTGGTCGAGGAAGGACAGGATATGTGCAGTAATCTCCGACGGCAGGATCTTTACAAAGTCTATTTGGTTCGTTTCCCAGTCGTAAGCATAAACGATCACTCATAGTGGAGGGGGAGGGTAGTATGCACGCAGCAGCAATAATTCAGGGTCGTCCCCCGCTGTGCGACAGCCACAATAAACAACAACGGACGACGGCCGACAACAACAGACGGTAACAACGCTAGATTTTTATTACGAACCTTTCCTAACAGCCGTAGTGTCCTGTGAGTAGAAGCACTCCTCATTATCCTTTTCGTCAATACCGATGCCGCTCTCTCCGTCTCCCAATGTAATTTTCACTTTCCTTTCTTTCATACCGTGGTGGATCACGCCGGCCGAGTGTTCATTCCCGGAGGAGGAGGAAGGGGAAGAGGAAGAGGAGGAGAGCCGGAGGGAGTGGGAGGCCCTTTGAAATAGTCTTCGAACACTGTTACTGGTTCGCCTAATGGGGTGAGAGCAGAAGGTCTCTAGTCTCGAAGCGGAAGCAGCGTCAGTGACGTGGGCTGCGGTCTCATGTCGAATCTCGGGGACAGTTGAAAAAGGGAGCGACATGTAGGACGGGAGCTTTGACCGGGTTGCTGGACGAGACGAAGCAGCAGCAGAAGCAGCAGCAGCATGAGTAGCAGGGGCGCCGAGCATGTTGTAAGTAGGCATTATTCTATGAATCGTAGAAGCGCCGAGCTATATTATTATTCTATTGAAAGGGAAAGAAAAATAAAAAAGTCTCCTTGAAACGCGCGCGCCGTGGGAGTTGTGTGGTGATTGATAGCGGATCCGGAGGAGGGAAAAAAATAAAGAAATATAGAAAGCGACGGGGATACCCGATATTGGAAAGAGCTGGGCTGGTTTAAAGAAAGTGCAGAAGCCCACGAGACTACTTGTTAGAGAAGCAGGATCACGAAGACAGGCCTGATGCGGAATGACGGTGCGGTGAACGAGAGGGGTAGTAGGTAGCTTTTTCCTAAAGGAATGCTGGGATGGGGGAAGCTATCAATAATAGAATGGGGTGTGACGGTCACGTATTGAGGTTTTGAATGGGGTGGTTGGGTTTTTTTGGTGGTGGTGGTTGTCGTTGTGATGGTGGGAAGATGAGGAAGTTGATATCAATCAGGGAGCACAAGTTGGATTGTAAATAATGTGGAGGCAGGCAATCGAATCCCTGGAGTGAATGCTGGGGTTGAGGGGGCAGTGGATGAACCAGCTGATGTATGTGATGTATGTATGTATGTATGTATGCCCCAAAATATTTAATAGCGGGGGAATAGAAAGGATGCGGGGAAGATTTTAATGTTGTAGATACGAAGAAGGGCAGTTATAGGTCCCGGGCCAAACCAGGGACAGTTCTCGAGCTATCAGAAGGCGAAGGTTTTAGATGGTTGATGGGATGGGATGAAGGGAGAGAGGTTGGAGGGATGTCTATGTATGTACTACATGTATGCGTATGTAGCTGTGTAGAGGAGCAGCAGCAGCAGAGTAAAGGTAAGGGATCTATGAGACTACTACTACTAACACCACTACTACTACATGTGTTCCCATAGGTACGGGGTGGGAAGGAGGCAAACTTCATCAGTGGTGTTCCGTTCTGTTCTCTTTCCCTTCCAATTTAGTTTTGACGATATCTTTTTCCGTGAGGCGCGTCTATCAATTGAGTGCTGCATGCCTGCAGCTATCTAGGGGGGTGATTGGATGGATGGATGTGGGGAGAGGAAAATAGGAAAAAAAGGGTCCACACAAATAGAGGCTCGTGGGGAGCGAGAAAGCCCGGTGGTGGCGGAGGGTTCATTACTGTGGTCTGTAGGAAACAACCTGCAAATCAGAGACAGCTTATGGTTTAGCTACATAGCGTAAGCACCCCAGAGCAGTCAAGTCAAGCAACCTTTACTTGGGGCTTGTTGGTTGGTTGCATGGAACAGAAGACAGCTGCCCTTTTTCTGTTTCCAAATGTCAAGAGACTCACTCTTCTCCATCCTGGCAGCTTTGCAACTCCCTTCCTCGCCCGCGTGAGTGTTTTCGGTGCTACAGAAGCAGAAGTCAGAGAGAGAGACACCTACCGACAATCCCTCGCGGTACTCTGCCTACAATTGACCTCTATGTACTCTGCACTTCTCTATTTGCCTCCCACACCTAACCGAAGGGATCCTGGCCACAAACCCTGCCTTCTTACCTGCAGCGCAGTTGACCTTCAGTCTTCTCCCTTAATTCCCAATCCTATCACGACCCACCATCCACCACCACCCACAAAAAAAAAAAAAAAAAAGAAAGCATCGAAAATCTCTGGGCGCTGGATTTAAACAACGTCTGCATATCAAAAAGTAAAACCACGAAAATAAAGAAAGAAAAATCTTTTTTTTGCCATGCTGCTGCTACTTTTTACAGCCACCCCCCCAGTTGAGACCAGTAAGATCAACACCACAAAAAAAGTTTAAAAAAACAAAAAAAAAGGGCGGAAACATGATCTGCCTTCAGTGCATTTAACTGTGTTGCCCCGCCTCAATTTTTTTTTTTTGCCCCAACCGATCCTTAACGCGGGGGAGAGAAGAAGGCAAGACAGAGGCAGATCAGAGCTACATACATCCACTCCGCATAGAGGTAGATACTCACAACCGCGAATCTCCTCCTCCCACCGATGAGGAAACATTCCGGAGCGCTACTCTGGATCAACTAGCTAGCAAGCTACTACTAGCTAGCAGCCAGTCATCTCGTTGACCGAGAAAATGTAATACCGGTCGGTACCTGCAGATATCGAGTTTCTTGTTGGTTTTGTTGGTTTTCCTTCCCCCACCAGCAGCTTGTCATGGGCTTCTTCTTCAGGTACAAAGGTTCAAAGAAAACAAAAGAAAGAACATCTCAAAAGCCCGCCAAGCTCTGATGCTCTGCTCTCTCCCCCCACCATGATATGATGACCCCGGAAAACTAAACCCCGGAAAACTAAACCCCAAAGCCCGAAAGTATGCTCTACCGGCACCGCATCGAACAACCCCCCCCAAATGCTCCCCCCGCGATTTTATAACGGCCTGTCTCTTCTCTACATACATACATGTAAAGACCGAAGGAAATTAAACGAATAATTGACGAATGGGCTAATGACGTACATACATAGACCACAATGCGTACATAGGCTGAACTCACTCCCCATCATGGAGGAATTTACTGTTGCTGCACCTTCTGTTTTTTGTTTTTTGTCTTTTATGTTATTTCCCCGAAGGTTTCGTGATACTTAGGTAATAAACCCATGAGCCGAGTCTTACGCCCAAAACCCAGAGATTAAGAAGCAAAGCAAGTGCAAGCCCGGTCAAGGTCTTAATAACCCGGGAGTTGAACTACTCTACCTACGTTGCGTTGAATTGCGAGCGTGCCCCAAGTACTCCAAACCCAAGTTCAAGTCCAAGCCCGAACACTCTACTCTGCTCTAGAACTCTAGAACACGACTCACAATCCAGAGGCGTCGATCACGAAAATGAAACCTCACAAACAGACGCGAACCGTAATTCCATCACCTCAACCCGTCGCCTCGACCGCCTCGAGCGCAATCCAGAACTCGCGCTCTTTTTTTCTTTTCTTCTTTTCTCCGGGATGTCGAACGCGGCGGCAAGTAGAGCAAGAGTAGAGTGATAAACGAACGAGCGGCCCAGGTTCCCCCGGTGAGCCGTGCGTCGAAACTACCTAACCAAGCGAGCCAAGTCAGGCAAGGCAGGGAAGGAAAGGAAGGGTTAGGGGAAGCTAGACTTCTGTGCTGCCGTTGGGATTTAATTTATTGAAAACTGTCCGGCCGTTGCGCTGATCCCCCACCACTGGTGCTGACGGGGGGTGGAGTGGATAGAGTAGAGCAGAAGAGAGTATGTACCTGGGGGGTACATGTGTGTTTGTATGGTCTTACAGGGTGAGGTAAAGGTAAAGTGGGATACATGTTGGTAGATACTCTGTGCTGGGAGGCATAACAGACAAACAGACAAACAAAACCTTCTTTATATTAGATGAGAGAGATAAACAACCACCACCAACAAGGATCCTGTCGACTGTGTAATTAAGCCACTCCATTATGGTTAGAGACCACAAGAACCCCAGGTATTGGCATCAGGATCGGATATCGGAACCACTGTAGCTACATAGGGGCACTCTACATCCACTTACTGTACCTGCTCTACCTCCTCTGCTTGTTTACTCTTTCCTATCTAAACAAACCCACGCCAGATCGGGCACGGGTTTGTGTGTAAATGCCTAGACAAACTATCTGTGCAGCTAGACGTAGCCGCCTCATGTACGCATGGCACATCCATCTCCCATCGGACTCGGGAAAAAAGGCTCGGAACGGCCCCCATGGTTCCGGCGCTATGTCTGGCGTGACGTGACGGCTCATGGGTGATCACTCGGACTGAGGTGGTGCCCACTGCAACGTCACGGTAGAAGGGAGAACGCGCGTCGTGGGTTTCTGGCTTGGTGGTATTGTGAAAGGCATGACTCGGATAGGACTGGAATAGGATCATTGGGTTTTTGATTAGCTGACCTAGTGATGCCTGTGACGGTGTCGTATGGATGACTGTGCTCAGGAAGTGGGGTGACTTGCGTATATATACGATGGAGATGTATAGCTACATGTATATAGATACTTGTTTATTACTACATGTATCCTTCGAATCCAGGCCAAAGAGATTTTGGTACTTTGGGAAAAGTCACTCCCTCAGTACAGATCTCAGCAGTAACTGTTTGGCCCTATTTGCTCGCGCAGCGAGCTTAGTTTTTGTCCAAGACACACGTGTACACACTTATCAGGGGCGGTAAGCTGTGAGAGTTCAAGAACTCATGAGGGCACTGCGAAACAAGAGTAACGGGACGCGCAGACAGTTAAGATCAAATTCTTCGACAGTACAGAGCAGGCTACCACATGACCGACCAACACTGCGTGACATGCGCAGTCCTACTGAGACGACTGACTCGATTGGCAGAGATGCCACCGAGATAATAACTAACGTTCCAGCACAGGTCTGCAATATATACAGTGACAGAAACATGGATACAATGACTACCGCAGTCTTTGGCAATGCCGTACCACTACGGTAACACTACCGTATACTTCGCCAAAATACGGAGATAAAGCGGCATATTCTCACAATGCCGTACTGATGCGGTATCAGTTTTACCCCCATTTCTGATACTGTATATATGTGTCAACTTAAGCATAATTAATTTAGAGTACGTACCTCGTCACGTCATATCATATCACCCGGTACTCTTGACTAGTTGATTAATTGATTCATTCGCAATCTCGGCTACGGAGCGTCCCTACTCAAAAGGCAATATAAAATAATACCAATTAATATATTGACAGATCGGATACCTATATATAGCCAATAAACTGAGAACAAGATACGCATACATCTCGAGGGCACGGAGCATATATGATCCCTGAGAAAAACCTGGTCTGGTGAACTGTTTTCTGGGATGATCATTGAAGCAAATTAGAGAACTAAGAACATAAAGGGTATTGTATTATAATTAATTGATGATTGGGAACAATGAGATTGAGAGAAGGCACCCTCTTTATAGGTACAGTTTAGAGAACACCATGGCTCTGAGACAAAAGTACAGATAGCTTGGAACCACATCCAATTAAACTACATAATGAAACCTCAACAACAAACACCGCAATGGCTGGCCACAAATAACATTAACTAGCTGGTAATCACCCTCATTTAAAACCACTCACGGCCACCATTTCTTCGGCCTAAACCACAAAATCCTATAGCTACAACTTCGTACCCACATCAAAACCAGGACTCTCCCTCTCACATCCAGCCCCCAACAAACCCACCAAACCGACCATACCCCGCCCCAACCCGCACCATGTCTCAACACTCACATCCGAGCCCGCATCGTATCATCGTCGCCCATGCTCCCCTCCATTACGCCTTACACAGCTTCTTGTAGCCAAAGTTTACGGCCCATACGGTGCTAATAATTGTGCCGATGACCTGGTGTGGTGGAAGGACCGGGTGCGGCACAGTGCGGACTGTGAAGATGCCGATGCTGTTAATGAGAAGGATGAGTTTATGGGTTGGGAGGATGAGGTGGTAGTTGAAGATTAAATCAGGTGTGGATAGTGCGGTTGGTTTATATTAGTGGTGGGGATGAGGTGGCTGGATGGTTCTTTGGGGGCTTTGAGGGTGGTATATCTCTAAGGGACTGTTAATATCTGAAAACTGAAATTTTGGTAGGAGGATAGCAGAAAATAGCAGAGTAAGAGTGATGAAACCTACTAATAATTATCGCAAGATCAGTATACTCAGCAAGTAACAATCGATTAATCTCCATAGTCTTCCTTCAAAAATCAACACCAAAACCACTGTGTCTCACAACAACACTAGTACAACCTAGTAATCAGTACGTCACATAAACGTAGATATAATTCCCTCGGGGTCTTATCTCCCATTACTCCACCTGTGGATTGAGGATTTCGGACAGATATGGTTACCGAGTGATCGTTCGTGACGCAGGAACAATAATAATCGTGTAGCATCACACGAAGCCTATGAAAGGGTATTAGTGGTTAAAGTGATTGAAATCTCCGGAAATGACTCTGAGGTCTGCGGGCGCGGGCACGCCTGTAGTTGTGCTGGTTATAGCTCTATTGAAATTGGAGCTGTATCTACGTATAACTTTTGTCTGGTTTGATGATCAGAGGCTTGGTTTAGACCTTGCTACACAAGAGGCCGCTATATCGAAGTACTAGAGTGCGTACTATTGTGCTGTTTAATTCTAACCTACCCTACTCTACGTCCTTTTCTAATTCTGCGGTAGTTTCATCCTGTTTGACAAGTACCACCAATTAAGCGCACGCTCTGATCTACATGGCCCACTTTATCTTGAATACAAAACCAAGAAAGCATGAAAATTGAATGGTACCTGAAATAATATTGCATCTATACTGGATCAAAAGCCTTTACCATTTATAAGAAAAAACTCGAATACATAAGTGTGGATGTCTCGTCGAGTGATAATCACAGAATATCACTCATTTATATTTCCATATACTTCGTCGTTCTTTCCATGCAACACGTTCACAACATCATGTGCGCAATGGCGGGGGTATACAAGTATATCCCGTCTATAGTTAGTGTTACTGTCTTATCATGCTCGTGTATATTGCACAAGATCTATGGGTACTACTAACATCTGCCTGAGTCTGTCATATTTCCATAAAGCCAAAGAACAGAGTAGTGCATGGCTACTATATGATCAGTCTGTAGAACTCCATATACAAACCTCAGTCTTCTTGAACACCTTCCGCTTATGTAGTGCATGACATCTCTCAAGCCTTTTCTTCTGCTCTTGTACCTATACTAACGCCACCTCAGTCATTAATATCCATTTATGCGCTCGTACCCGAAATTGACCTGTTCAACCTCAGTCATATGGCTCACAATTTAAAAGCTAATTTACGCACTCTACGCGCGAGGCAATATGATCACTTGATATTAGGCCACCAAAGCGATATCTGCATTACTCGTAATTTCATAACGTTTCCGAACACGACCAATATTTCATGACATACAAAAAGGTGGATTTGGTGCTTTTTTGTATGGCATGCAATAGCGGTCGTGTTCGGAAACGTCATGAATATACGAGTAGCTACAGCGAAAGCTTGCTATAACGGTACGCTCGGGACCGGAATTTGGTACCGTTATAGAGAGATTACCCTTATATAAGAGGTGATTGTGCTGAAATCCGGGCAAAAAGGACCGAGAAGTGCTACCGTTATAGAGAGATTACCCTTATAGAAGGTACCGTTATAGCAAGCTTTCGCTGTAGTCTTAATCCACGTATAATTGTAATCCTAATTAACTACTTGTGTGTATATCGAGTGATGGGGTGTCTGTATGCCAGTGGTTAGTACCAGAAAGCTGATCATGAGCATGATCAGAATTCTTGAGGGTGCTTGTCATGATTAAAAAAGCATTTCTAGCTCTATAGTGGATAAAACCTTATAATGCCTTTCTCGACACATTAAGAGCAAATTGGTGGCTCTCGTCCTCGCCCGTACATACATGTATGTGGGACGAGAAGGTTCATCAACCTGAAGAAGAGCCCATTGTGATAATAGGTCTCCGCGGTATAAATCCCATTTACACTAGCCAGGCTATATCCAAATTCTGGTCCGAGGTAATTTCATTCCCTACTGGTTCGAGATGTGTCTTTTTCACCAGGGCAAATAGATTCTCCATTTCTTCATGCATAGGCGGGCTGGAAACTGGACCAATTTCAGCCCAGGTGGCGTTGCGGGAAGATTATGGGCACAATAGGTATAGTACTTTACTGTAACCCTTGAACTTTCAGCTGAGGACAAGGCCAAGGATCCGTAGAATATTTCCATCTTTTCATAAAAGGATTTTATTTATCATCCACCGTGCCAAATGTTTTTGGTTTATCCGACATCAGCACTGGCCATCCTTGCATGAAGTTGCAGTTCATAGATCTACACTGCTTTCGGAAAGTTTTCGGCCCGGATACCAAACCCAAGATCCCAAGAATCTAGGTTGCATAGTCGGTGCCGAATCGTGACGCGGCCGAAGGCAGGGCACACTTCCGTATATGAGCCGTTGACTTGAGTGCAGACTTGGATGCAGGACAGAACTGTCATGCTCGGTGCCCAGGTGACTGGCAGATAAGTGCAAGGTTGCACGCGCCTGGTCTCGATAGTTTCCTCACCGAGTCAGACATTATGAAAGCATAAATGATCCATGGAAAGCTCTAGAGTCCGGTGTAGATCTTGGTCTTATGATTCCGATATTGCGCTTCAACGCCTTGAGTGTTGAAGATCCTAGAGTCCAGGTTGCATATCGATCCTCACATCACCGTGTAGGCTGCCACAGCAACAAAGGTGGTCGCCTTGGTTTAGGGTAAGAGACCCCGCACCATACACATCAGATAGAACACGCAACACGCATAGGCATAATATATCGATTTGATATGTATCTCTTACGGATGCAAGTGAAGATATCGATCGAGACCCATAGTTTCATAGTCCAGATAAAATCTCCGATGAAAATTACAACAAACTTGTTTTCAGTGCCTCTGATACCTTGTTCGGGATTGCAACATATCTCGTCCATCGTCACTGGTTCACACAAGGCTGCGCAAGTTTGGCGGAAAAGATAAGGCTTGTCACGGCAGATAGAAAGTGCAGCAGAGTATGATCATGCATACCAGGAACATGGGAGCCGCTTAAGTATGTCGCGATATGCAAGATGTTCGTGGAACCGAGTTGTTTGACACATAGACCATCATGCAGTTCGGATTTTCGAGGTCCCTCAAGGCCCTGGAGTCTGGAGAGCTCGGGGCTGCGGGGTAACGGATTGACTTGCAAGTTTTTCGTTAGCATAGCTGGGCTAAACTTGGCAAACTCCTAGCGGAAGATCATCACGATCTTAAAGCCATAAGGCTGCATTCACTGTATGTCACTCGCCCTCAGTTAGAGTGGTTAGAGTGGAGCATCTTTCTCATCCGATATTAGTTTTAACTTTTCTCATCCTATCCTTTGCACAACTACCGAGAGGGCTCGTCTCAGCTTCAAACTTTCCATAAAAGCTTGGTAATGAAATTGCAAGCCACTCCCGCATGGCCTACCCTATTTAAATTGTTGTCTTCAAAGTCCAGTGCCGGTCAAATATAATGATATGAGGACCGTAAGGCTATCGGTTCCCTAATTTTCGAGTCTCGGTATCAAACTCCAAGCAGCGCTCTTTGAATCCAGAAACAAAAAATCCAAACCTTTGGATACCAGGCGCTTTATAGGACGACCACATCCACTAACATCGAGGTTTCCTTCGGCCAACTAGGTTGTTGTGGTAACTACAATACCTGTGGGGTCTGGTGACTGATGGAGAGATGGTTCCTTCTTTGGTCAATGGCAGCTAGAGTATGTGCTACGCGTCCTATATGACACATATCTTATTGTCGTGGTCCCTCAATATCACTGCAACCGCGCGCGCTGTCTGCTTAACGTTGGCTCCGTGCCACAGAGTGGTCTAGTCCAAACCTTAAAATAAAAGCCACCGGCGCCATCATCTTCAAATGCGCAGAGCTAGAAAGCCTAGATGAGATGAAAAAAATTGGGAAGCATAGAAATGCTTACAGCCGAATCCAATGATCCCGAACTCTATTTCATGAATTGTAAGCTTGGGAATGCCGGATGGTATATTCTGTTTCTCTGATTCGTCAAGATGTGGTTGGGAAACATGGTACATGCATCGTAAGACAGGCTGAAACACATGCGGCGCTTATCCAGCATCCAAAAGTCAGGGGCACCCGAGCGTCTCGAACAGTGAGGCTCGTTGGATGAGGGGAAAGAAGAGCGGGACAGGGAGGCCAAAAACGCTGCTCATGCCTGGATCTCGATTTTCCGACACACCGAAAACATGAACTGTGTCTAGCTGGAACCTTGATATCTCATGCTTTCCAAGTCCCAAGATCCCGCCAAAGGCGAAAATCCCTAAGCTATGCAGCCTCACTGCCTAGAGCTGCATTAATGACCAGGCAATTGGCGCTGAGTCGAACAGGTCAAATGATATTTGGGAGTAGAACGGGATCAGTGATTGAGGGCGTAATGAAGACAAGGCTTCGATTTATCACTGCCGGAGATGTAGATAACAGGCAAGCATCTCTAGGTGTTCAGTAAAAGGCCAAGAAGGAATCCCACGTATGGAGAGTGGCAATTTGACGAATTTGACGAACTTGATATCTGTGAACGAATAGCTGCCTGTACGTAAAAATCGAGTTATCAACATGTGCATACAAGATTTTTTCTCGGACAGTATGATACACACGATACACACAAGAGTACGTAGAGTATGTATGCAGCGGCGGGGGGGTAAGAGTGCTCCTCCCCCATCAGGAGATAGGTGTTGATATGGCTGGTCTTGTCCTCTCTAGCCGTGGTCTCCACCCCCTCCACCTTTATCCTTCCGACGCCCCCTCCTCGCCTCTTTTGCTCCCCCAACACTGGGATTTGTGATCTGTTCGTCGAACAAACAAAAAAATAAAATACAAAAAATAACGCCTACGTATCACTGCTATCCATCTAGTAGGTTAGGTCAATAGATATCCCAGCGGATATCCGGCGCCGTAAAAAAATTCACTCGTTCACTCGCTCGCTCGCTCGCTCGTTTGCTCGTTCGTTCATCTTCGCATCAACACCAACCTAGTCTGCGGCATCTTTGAATTTCAGCCATCAGTCAGGCCCATCACCACATATTCACCGCATATCTTACGGTGTCCGCGGCTTCTTTCCTTCTACGACTTGTCTACTCATTTCTAGCTCGCCTGCACCTCTTCTTTGCCTCTGTCTCTAGCATAAGCATAACTGCATTAGTCCCCCACCTTGGTCGCTCAGACAGAGCTCACATCCCATCATCCCCACGATAGCATTAACCGAGAGTAGCGACACGTCGTCCTGACTTCACGGCAGTCCCACCGACCAAAGGCAAGATAAATAGTCTGAACGACCCAACTCTCGTTTCATCACTTCCTGATACATAGTTTTTCGCCTTTATTATTGTAGAAATCGAAGTTTTCGCCCACGTTATCGTAAGCTACCATTCAATCTTACATAATTGGCAGGAATAAAAGTGCGACTTTACTCACTGTTAACTTGTTCGACTTTTCTTCTCTAACTGATCTGTCTTTGCAGTTCTAGGCTTTATACCAAGAGCCACACTTTTCTTCTTCCATTTCCCCGCACTGCCGTATATCACCTTGAGGCCGCCCGGGATATCGATCTTTCTTTCTTTACATATATATTCTTTACATTATGTCCACAGCACAAGTCCCACTCCTGCGAGCACCGGTTCCCTCCCGTGGTCCTCCTCGCCTAGGGCTTTCAATCCCAGGATCTTCAAATAATGTACCTCAACAGCCCATCCCCCAGCTCAATACTCAAGTCAACAATGGATACTCTGCACCGATTCTTGGACCTCCTCAGCCTAGACGTGGCCCACCTAAGCTAAGTCTGGCAACCCCCGGTAACCCAGCTCCTCTTTCGATGCGACCTATTCAGCAGCAGCAACGCTCATCGTCATATGCAAGCCCAGTGGCTGGAGCAAATCAGCAGTATGCGGCTTTGGGTTTTGCTATGACGTTGAAGAAACAGGTGCGGAATTCACCCGATACGAGCGGTATGGGCAGCGAATCCGCGATTCTTGGAGGAACAGGAGGAACGGGTCGCGGGGGAAGCATTGACTGGGAAAACGAAAACTTGGACGCAGATGATCTGGATGATGAAGGGTGGAGGAGTGCTAGTTTAAATGATAGAATTATAGAACTGGGAAGTCTTGGTGAAGGAGCTGGAGGAGCTGTGACGCGGTGTAAATTGAAGGGCGGAAAAACAGTTTTTGCCATGAAGGTATGCCCCGCATTCCCCGGAAGCCGTATCGGGCCGCTATCTGAAACATCTAACTGACATGGAACACCTGGGTTAGATCATTACCACGGATCCCAACCCCGAGGTTAAGAAGCAAATCTTCCGAGAGCTCAGTTTCAACAAGGAATGCTCATCACCGTATATTTGCAAATACCACGGTGCATTTATGGACGTCTCCTCAGCAACCATCTCGATCATCATGGAATTTTGTGAAGGTGGCAGCTTGGATAGTATCTACAGAGAGGTGAAGAAGCTCGAGGGCAGGACTGGAGAAAAGGTTTTGGGGAAGATCGCAGAGGGCGTGTTGGAGGGACTAACATACTTAAGTGGAAGAAAGATTATCCACAGAGGTTTGTGACTCTATATGTGAATTGCATGTCTATTCGCTAACCTATGATAAAGATATCAAACCCTCGAACATCCTTCTTTGTAGAAATGGGCAAGTAAAATTATGTGACTTTGGTGTTTCCGGTGAACTTATCGGCTCTAAAGGCAATGCTGATACCTTCATTGGTACATCATATTACATGGCTGTACGTTTACCTTCGCTACTACACAGCTCGAAATGACGTTTACTAACTTCCTGATTTAGCCTGAGAGAATTCAAGGACACTCTTACACCATCACCTCCGACGTTTGGTCTCTTGGGGTTACCCTACTTGAGGTTGCTCAGCACCGTTTCCCATTTGGAAATGAAGCCGACAGTGGTGGGCGTGCTGGTTTGATCGATCTCCTCACATATATCGTTCGACAGCCAATCCCAGAACTCAAAGATGAACCTCATCTCGGAATCAAGTGGAGTGATAATTTCAAATACTTTATCCGTTGTTGGTATGTTTTCCCTGTGTTCTAGCCCTTGCCTTTTTTTTCAATACTAACTTGATTTTCACAGTCTCGAGAAAGATACTGCGAGACGAGCTAGTCCATGGAGGATGTTAGAACATCCTTGGATTATCGAGATGAAAAACAAGCGTGTCAACATGGCCCATTTCCTGGGGCAAGTCTGGGACTGGAAATGAGTTAATCGAGCTCGGATAAGTATGGTGTAGGGTGATATGGTCACTATCGCCCAGAGGATTTTTTTTTTGAGTATGGCTGGAAAAGTTTGGGTTCGCATAAACTTCCTTATTGGGGCATCATGCATTTATTTCGTCACGAAGTCTGCTCTAAGCAATTCGTGATGCTTTTTATTCGGCACTGCATTTGGCACTAGCCTGTTCATTTTCTGTTTATTTTCTCATTTTATTTCCTTTTCTCTTATTTTATATTATGGTTTGGGGCTTTTGTTGTGGTGGGGACCTGCATACAAGCCTTGTTATCTTGGCTATTCTTTTTGTGGGTAACCTTGCAACACTTGGCGTGATATCTTATCGCTCTGAGGACCTTTGTGGTCACAGAGAGAGAGGTGGGCTGCTTGGCACGAGGGTCAAGGGCGTTATCTAGACCTTATTCCCTTGGTAAGGCACAACCGCATGCCTCTATCGCAGTTGCAGTTAATTGCAGCTCGCATTTACTTTGGTTTTCTCTTTTGCGTTTTATCTTGGAGTTATGGTAATCCGTTGTGGTGGGTCCATGGCGGTTGGTATCTTTTTTTTTTCTTTCTGCCTTCATTTGATGTTTAACTTTCTCAATAAATAACTAGGAAATTTATATAAGTTTTGTTTCTAGTAAAAATAAATTATTTTGGATACCCAACTTGTTTTCGCTTCAATAATCTTATCGAGTTAAGATCCTGGAAGTCAATGATTCCTGGGCTAGTTTCCTGACATTGTGCCAACACCCCAATATGTACTATTATGGAAATAATGGGACAGGTGGAGGTAACAAATTGGAAATGAGTTTGAAATATGCTTACGACCATCTGCGTACACACAGCCTATACATGTATGCCTCAACTTTCTCACTTCCTCGCCTTAACATAGAGTACATATTCTAAATCTGAAAGGAAATAGAATAGGCAAGTAAAATCAAGACAACCGGGAGGTTCTCCGTAACCCGGATTATTGTATTCGGGAAACGGATCATCAATTCAGTAAAAAAAAAAAAAAAAAAAAAAAAACTCTAAAAGTTTACTCTTTGATTCTGAATTCTCTGTCAACGAAGAAATCTTTAATCATGTTCTAGACTCGTCTCTTCTAAGGCTCGATGAGCCCGAGTAACTGGGTCAACGGGATGCGAGTGATATCCACTGCCGATGCAGTCCTTGGAACTCTGCGCCTCAACGCTTATTTCGTAGGTGATTGTATGGAAGACCATTCCCTATCATGTGATAATAGGGATTTCGAGTCTCGACATCACTAGTAGGTTCTAACGGTTTTATATTTTCTCTTGGCAAATGCTATTACCACGTGTGCGGAGGTGGGCCGAACTGCAATCCTTCGTCCTGGCGAGAAATTGGCAGCCAAGCCAGAATACTCGCTGACCCCCAACTTCGCCCTTTCGTTTGTGTCTAGCTACTACCAATCGCAACCCGCACACCGAGTTGTCGATGGTATGCCTAGGAAATTATTCAATGGAAAGAAGTTTCGAGCTTCGGTATGTAGTAGTACGTACTCTACAGTGTACTTACTAGCTAGGTATGTGCGTACAAGTGGTTATGGACCTGAGGACAACAGATATCGTGAGGCAGCTAGCCTACACATATCATAGATACTTTGCATCTAGCTCGGGTCTCTAAACATACTCTCTTCATTATCATCATCCCAAGACTCGCCCAGCCAATCATTTGAACGCCAATATCCAGTCATAAAGGAAGTCTATCTGCTCTTTCTTTAATAAGCAATCATTTCGACTATTCTTGCCAAGACCTCCAAGCTCACTGGGCGGTTTCTTATTGCTACCGAACTCTGAACTTCGGAAGCTCCCAACAGGCCCACTCAAACAGATAATGCTTGGTTGATGATTTGTGAAGAACATCTGCTCAAAAAGTAAAGTGAGCGGTCCCAGGTCCGATTTTTTCTTCCTTCATTGGATTTCTAGGATGGGGGAGGTGTTCGAATAACTACTATGTAGCCAGGAAAAATATTAGACATGAGAGCATGACCGGCTAAGAAATAATCCAATAATCATGATCACACACCGTCAGTTTCACCGTCCTGCCGCTTTGCAGCATATCCTATTCTAGTTGAGTTGGCCGCGCTAATACAACCCCCGGTGCCAGTCAGGAAGTACTGTGGTTTATCAGCCAAAGTATTTTGAGTACTGAATTAAAGCTCTGCCACGGCGCCCCAATTCCTCTGCCTGTAGAGTACTTAGGGCCTTAGAAGTACCTGCATGGGGTGATCAGTCTGTGACGTTGGATATTGTCTGTATCAATTTCAAGCCGCGAAATTCTCTTGGGTCACTTCTGCCCCTCTAAGCGCTAAAAAGAAATATCTCATGCCCTCGGGTCGCAGGCTTACAGAAAGGATATTTTCTGGAACTGTATTTGTTATCATTATTACTGTTTTGACAGGCACTTAGATGGTAAAGTCAAGAGTCGATATTTACACGAGTAAGAGAAACACTTCCAAAGCGGATTATTTTTTAGAAGCCCTCGGCTCCCAAAAAACCAAGACTTAACATCAATATACCTTGTACTATATTACGGGAAAATCTTTGGGATTTGAGAGCCTGTAAGACAGAAATACACTTCAAACAGCCGTATAAACCGTATCAATCGGCTTATATGCGGTTTTAACACAAGCACAAGTAAACAGGTCAACTAGGCCGCACCCATAGCTCGGCTCACGGGAATACTGTTTTTTATAAATTGACAAAACGCCTTTTTATTTTGATTAGGATTTATGAAGCCGCTTATACAATGAAAAAAAATATCGTATATATTATGGCATATCACAAGAGTATCTGGCTTGTTACTGGCTGGAATTCCAAAGAAATTATGTTTTCTCTAATGAAGGCCTTGGCTTCATCGAGTGATCTTATATGATGCTTGGCTTTCATGAGTCCACTCACTATAATTTCGGATATATCGCTGGCCCACGTGGCAGTTGATAAATACAATATACAAGCCTCAAAATATCTAGTAAGAGAATAATGTACTCTATAGTGCTACTGTAGGGTAGTCGATCTTGGGTTCTGTTCCTCTTTATTAGCCAATAGCCTATCGGCATACGGTGATTTACCCGTCAATTAATCACTACTAGTAAAGAAACCCAAAAACTGCTAATATATATCTAGAGAAGATTTCCCCTCGAATACTATAATCCAGATATATTGATTTCATGTACTACCTACCCCGATTGGACCGCCGAACCTAATACACACTCGATGGGTCCCTGCAAGGTTATTGTGACTTACTTTACTGAATAGGCGCATGCATACTTGTATTTCCTACTTTTTTGTGCTTCGGAGACCTCGCAAGTAGGCATAATAAAGGAGCATGGAAAAAGCAATCACGCCATAATTCAAAAAAGATGTGATAGCCAAGAGAAAAAACACTACCAATGATGTAGACATGGCTTGGAAAAGTGCTATTGCTTGGCTGCCAAGCATTAATTGAATAGTGATATCTCATGATTGAGCATTTGAAGCCACAGCGCTTTCTTGCATTCATGCAATGAGTTCCATGCCGCAGTGCTGCCTCAAGTCGATAAGTGAGTCATGTGTCGACTAGTGTAGGCAGACGATACTGTAACCGAGAAGGGGTTGAAGGTGCAGTGTAAGATTGACCGTTTGTAGCCATGTTTTGTGTTTATGATTCGCTCGTTAGCTAGGCCGTACAAAGGTCGGATTGAAAATGTCAAGTGTGCGTAAGACGTGCCTCATAAATTATTGAAAAGCTGTCTGAGTCGCCCAGTTGATTGCTCGGAGCATAGCATGATTTATTAGCGGCGCCAGTGAGGTCACTCTGGACTAGAGTACAACGGCTTGCCAGAGTTGCATTAATGTGCTGCCAGCCGGGAGAATGAATCACATTCAGCAGGTTAGTAGTAGAGACGGATACACCCAGGTGGAGATGTCTGTAAAGTGGCCATGATCAGAAGATACATGTATCGATAATGCCAAGGATTTCAGTATCGTGATATCTCATGATCCAGATGTTCAAGGTCTGTGTATGTAGATATTTGAAGCACTCTTTGACCTGGTTATTCCAAGCTGAGCCTCATTTTAATTTGAATTCAGGAATCTTCACAGTGACGCCCTTTCGCCATAGCTCACTCCTTAATAAACCAATTGCAGCAACCGCGATACGGCCGCGGAAACTTTAATAATGCCATGCCAATGTCGATGACGACGCTGATACATGCGATTTGGAGCCAACAGAGTGGAGACGGGATACCCCGAAAAGAACGGTGGTGTCCAAGCGATGTGATGAGAGAGCCTGACGGACTGACAGTTCCGCGAGTCGGCGGAATGGAATGCATCTCCCCAGCGAGTCAAGCCAGCGACCGTGGGCCAGCATCTCGACCCACAGCATCTCGACTAAAACGGAAATACGAGCCAAGAAAATTTTTTCCTACTGGCTCGGCGACGTGGGATCTTGCTGCTGCTGGTGCTTTTATTCCTCTTTGCCCTAACCCCTGCCTTTGATTGTCGGCAACCCCGCCAAGATACCCATTAAAGATGTATGAGTAGTTACATGTGACGAGAATTCATTATTGTTGAGAGCAAGGAAGCCAAGTGTTCAATGGTGGAGTGGAGTGGGTGAAAGGTGTTTCTGTTTTTCCTTTTTCTCCCTTTCTTTATTTTTCTCTTCGTTTCCCTCGTCGTTTAGCCATGGTCGGTATCTTTTCTCTCTCTCTCTCTGTATCTGTCTGTCTCTACATATCAAGTTTTGTCACAGAGCACAACAACGGGGAGAGTGGAAACGATTCCACTCCATTTTTTTACCTCGTTTCGTAAAAAACGGAACAAGAAAAGATAACCTTGCACTGCCTCCTTATTTCGATAGGATAAATTGAGTGCTCACGCATGTTTGGCGGCAGCAGGCGGTCGAGGGGGCTCAACGACCGAATCAGAGGGCTCGCACGGCTTGGCAGGACACCGCCAAGTCATGCCAAGTCACGCCAAGGATAACGCCAAGTATTTTGCAGCCGGAATAGTATTAGATGCCAATAGTATTAGGCTTGGACAGTGGCACACCCCAATCTCCAACGCCATCTGCTTCCACACAAGGCTCATGGGGCAGCAAAGTGAACAGAACGTTCCCAACCCATTTCCCCCTCTCTTTCTGAGATTGATTTGTTGTATGCTATGCTATGCTGGATGTATGTAGAGGGTCTATGTATGTAAGAGTGTGTAGAGGTACTCTACTGCGTGGTCTGTTCGGGGGGCTACTAATACATGTACTCCCTCAGTTCTCTTAGTTTAGTCTTTACTAAAAAGTGTTGCATTAGAAGTGAAATTCCCTTTCTCGTGCCTGCCCCCCCCCTCGTGGATTTCTCTGGAGCCCGCCACACTTCTTCCTCTAGAGTTCACACCCACACACCACTACTACTACCTACCATCCCCCATATCCAATCCATCATCATCGTCCTTCCCGTTGCTTGTTAATCGGGACACTGCCCTGCCCGCCTTCTTAATCAAGCCCTCCTCCATTACTCATTAACAGCTGCTCTTCCTTTCCTCATCCTCTTCTTGTAGTTTTATTCACAACGCCCCACTTTATCGAACCAAAAAAGGTCCCCAACATATCCATAAGTGTTCCTCCTTCATACAGAGGGACCCCGCAGCAACCATAGATTCCATTCACTCCATCCTCGACCAGTTCGTGTCGAATCTTCCCCCCAACTCCTCTTCTACATCTCAGCAGCAGCAACAGCAACTGCCTGCAGCGCCCACTTCTGCTCCGCAACAGCAACCACAGCAGCAGCAGCAGCAACCACAGCAGCAGCAGCAGCAGCAGCAGCAGCAACCACAGCAACAGCAGCAACAAGCTTCCCCCGGATCTTCCAAGCTGGCTGTCCCACAAAGTCCCGCGACGGCAGCGCCCGTCGCTCCGAGTACCCCATCTATTCCGGCAAAGGAGGAGACAAACCTCGGCTGCCAATGGAACGGGTGCCAGGAAAAGTTCGATTCGCCAGAGGAGCTATATGTATGTTGACCCCGCAATGCTGTTTCGAAATTAGTAGTAGTGAAGTTGTACTGTGTCGATTAGAGAGAGGAAGACGTGTTGTCGTGTTTTTGTCTTGGGAGTTTATAGAGGCTGGGCATTTTTTCGTGTTGAGGGGCTTTCGCTGACGTGACTACCAACTCATCAAAGAACCATTTATGCGATATCCACGTCGGTCGCAAGTCAACTAACAACCTATGCTTAACTTGCGCATGGGGCACCTGCCGGACAACAACCGTAAAGCGCGACCATATCACTTCCCACATTCGTGTACATGTGCCGCTTAAACCGCACAAATGTGAGTTTTGCGGTAAAGCTTTTAAGCGACCGCAGGATTTGAAAAAGCATGTGAAGGTAGGGGCGCTCTTTCGCTGGACTTCCGCAGTCACTTTTTTTGTCTACACTTTCAAATCTTTCCGGGTTCTCCGCTGACATCGCTTTATCGGCGCCATGTTCCACAGACACATGCGGACGACTCTGTCCTGCTCCGCAGTCCGGAGCCGGATGGTACGGGCAGACGCGCATCGGGCGTTCATCAGGCTCGCGTGGGTGCACCTTTTGCTTCAAACGGGTATGATCGTGGGAGCTCATTGCTTTCTTTACAGGGAGATAATGTACACTCTCCGTACACGACTAGTGCTGGTATGCAGCGTGAGTGATCTTTCATGTCGCAGAAAAAGAGAGCAAATGACTGATATAAATCATTAGCCCTTGCAGCCACAGCCGCGCAGGCGTATTATGGAAGTATGCATCCCCAACCTCTTAATTTTGGTACACATCCTCATTTTGTGTCAGGCCTTGGGGCGTATTATCCGGCTCCGAACGGTGCACCGAATCCAGGAGTTTATTATTACCCCACCCCTCAACCCGCGCCTCAACAGGACGGAATGAACCAGCAGCAGCAGCCTGGTGGCGAGAGCAAAAAGCGAGCATTTGATGGCGTAGATCAATTCTTCGAGGACGCTAAAAGGCACAAAATCCAGCCGGTTTATGATGGCAACATGGCACAGCGCCTATCTGCTCTACAGCAATTCGTGCCTACCACTTCTGGAGAGACTGTTGACTTTAACGGACACCATGCTGCAACCGTTACTGCCCCCGCTGCTGGCCAAAGCCAATACACGCTCCCGTCTCTGCGTACCAAGCAGGACCTCATTGATGCTGACCATTTCCTGACCCAGCTCTCAGCCAATGTATATGAAAGCCCTGCCGCTGCAGCGGCCGCCGGCGTCCCCGCTGGAAGTCATTTCACCCAGCCTTACCGCAATAACCAGCCGACTTCCCCGCATGGTACTCAAACACAGCAGCATAGTCCTAACCACACACCTGGTCACGATAACGCACCTGCCGCAGCGGCGATTATGCAAGCTTCAAACTCAACTAGCTCGGGTGGTACCTCCGCTCTGACGCCTCCAACATCAAACTACACAACTTCTCACTCGCCTAACCAGCAGCATACAACACCTCCGTCTTCATCGCCACAATCTGCATCATCTATGTACCCTAGTCTTCCGGCTATCCCCACTAGTGGCGAAGCATACCCTGCACCTGTCTCAACAGCTCCAGCATCGTCCCTTGGTCCTACCTTCGAATCAGAGCAAAGGCGTAGAATCAGCGTTGGAGTTTTGCAAAGAGCAAAACCGGTTCAAGCGGATCAGGATGTGGATATGGATAGAGATGACAATGCGGATAAGAAGAGCGAAGTATCTGATAGTCTAATTGACCCAGAACTCGGTGCCTTGTCGGCGGAGGTTTCTGCCCCAGCAGCCCCCGAAGACCCTGCAAAGGAATGGGAAAAGAACATCGAATTACTCTCAAACCTCAGGGATTACGTTAAGAACCTGCTGCAAGAGGAAGAAAAGAAGGAACTCATGGAGCAGGAGCAGGATCAGATAATGACCGACCAAGATGGTGGTGTCAACGCAGAACCTGGTCAGGAAGGTGCCGATAACGGAGGAGCCGAAAAAACCGAGGAGCAAACTGATGAGCAGGCTCTCTACCCAGTGCTCAGAGCAGTAGCTGTTGCCTAGGCCTGCCAACAACAGGGCTGGCAAATATTGCATCCTAAATAAAATGGGGGGGGATCGGAGGAGGAAAGTCAAGGTTGTGTGAGAGAGAGAGAGTAAGGATTATTTTTTTTTTCAACTGTTGTGGTCTCTTTTGTTGGGATAGGTTGTAACGTTTCCTCGATTTTTCTTCTTATTGTTCTACTAAGTATTATTGGTCTATGTGTGTTCCGTACTTTCACTTCTTATCTCATGTCCTTCTCTTGCCATCTTGAAAAGAAAAGGCGTAACCTTACTGCCTCTGTTCAGAAGGGGGTCTACCTCTTGTCTCTGTCTCTATGATGAATCTTTTGGTGTGGCTTCTATTGTCTTGGGTTGCTGTTGCGATGGTATTTCCATTGATATGTCTTGTCTTGTCGATTTGCCTTCACCCCAGCTATCCTGGCAAGTAAAAATTATATAGGTGGCGGTGATGGTGGGATAAATGGGAGGTGTTTCAAATTTTCATGAATTCTCACATTGGAAGCTTCTTGGTCTTGGGATTAGGGTGAATTCATTTTGAAGAGAGAGAAAAAAAGCTATGTTAATATAATGGCAATGATCACGAACATTGCTGTTAGGCTAACAGTGGCACTGGCAACCTTCCCACAACCCCTATTATTACTTCAAAACAAGCTACTGTTTGGGTAGAGGTAGGCTCAGAATGTGCATAAAAGGGTCCCGAATCCAAATCAGCCTTGCCATGCCAATCAGATTTAAAGTCGTCGTCAGTGTGCTTTGAGATTGTGCAACGTTCTGGTGTCTGAACGCTCCACTTGTCTTCATCCGATCTCTTAGCTGTGGCTTGGTACGGTTGAAATCACTCGGTCCTCCCATTCCATCTGCCAAATTATGCTTGGCCCCAAGCCAAACCAAGCCAAAACCAAGACTTCAGCCCTTGATGACCTGCCGTTTGAGCGATAAAGGACTGTATGGGTATACGTACTCATGTTGTATTTTAGGAGAAATCTGGTATCGTCTCGTGCCTCCATTACGAGAGGTTGGTGGGATAGATGAATCCGAAGTCTGGGGGAGGTTTTGAAGCGTTGTCATTTGAATGGTGGCTGTCTTAGGGAACCGCAAACCAGTTCTGGTTTGCGTCCGATTAGAGTATTGAGACCTTTCCTGAAGAGAGTTCCCCCTTTAAGCTTGTGTGAAGTAAAGTAGATAGAGTAGGTTACATGTCGATATCCATATGGAACATGGAACATGCCGTCCACAAGGCCCTGTCGACCGGCTGGACTCGTGGAGTACGTTTAAGTTGACCTCACTTCACTCCACACCCAAATATTCTGATACGCGCCAAGTCCCCGAGCAGGCCAGGCTTTCCCGAAATTTTAGAGTTTTGATCCGGTTTTGATCCCCGCAGGACCGACAGTCGACCTCCACGCTGCACGGATCATCGCTAGTAGTTAAGGTAGGGTAGATAGCTGTGGAGTACCGAAGAGAGCCGCCGAGACAACATACCCTCCATTTTGCGCAAAAAAAAAGTTCCTTCGATCCAGCGTGGCCAGTATATAAAAACCCCTGGAAATAATTTTTCCAAACTTGACGCAAGGATGAGTACGAGTCAGGAACCGATCCAAGTGGTCACTGAAACAGGAACGGGAATTAGCATGGCGAGCTCTTCAACATCGTTTAATCATGGGCAGGTATGTGCTATTGTCTTATGCTTATGTTTTGATGACAACGCTAATGAACGGAACGATGGCGTCGTCGCAGGCGCGATTGAAAGAACAACCACCGCAGCACACTGCGCACACGAATCGATTGTCTACAACTATGTCGAGAGGCTCCATTGGTGGCGGGACAGCATCAACAAAAAGAACAATGTGGTTGGGAAGAGGAATGGTCAATGACATTAGGAGGAGGGCGCCATACTATTGGTCGGATTGGACTGACGCGTGGGATTATAGGATTATCCCTAGTACGAGTAAGTGACAACGCCCAATATGGAAGTATCATGGGGCTTAATGCTTACAATTTGGTGTTGTAGTTTATATGTTTTTTGCAAAGTAATAACTCGCATTCCTAAGAGAACGACTCTAGAAAAACAAAACTCCAAACGGTTCACTCACTAATCACTGAAAATGAAATATAAAGTGTTTTGCCAGCTCTTGCTTTTTCGTTTGACATGTGAGTCATTCATATATCATTGATTCAAGTAGTAGTTGAATTATCATTGACACCTTTTATCTGGTATTAGGTTCGAAAAGACCGATATGTCATATGGCGTAAATGAGGTATTGCTTGCTTCTGTACTCGGCGCTGTAGTGTTTTCATTCTTGGCTGCGCAGCCGTTGTGTATTGTGGGTGTTACTGGTCCTATCACAGTATTCAACTAGTAAGTTTCCATTTGATCATGGGTATAGGTTGGGACATTTTAGTAACGTTTTGGGTAGCACTGTTTACGATATTGTGACTCCAAGGTATTTCTAGTCAAAAAAAACAAGATATCGAACCAGCATCAAATAACATCATAAACAGGGGAATTCCATACTTCAAGTTTATGTGCTGGATTTGTCTGTGAGTATCCCATGCAAACTCCCGGCCTATCAGCTGAGCTCAACTAAAACTATGATCAGGTGGTCAATGATCATGCACATTATACTTGCCATTACCAACGCCTGCAATGCGGTCAAATGGGTTACTCGCTTCTCCTGCGACATCTTCGGGTAGGTGCTCTATCTTTATACCCATCCGAGTGCATACTTATCGTGCCTGTCTTTTAGATTCTATGTTGCCTTTATCTATCTCCAAAAGGGAATCCAGATTTTGACGCTCCAATGGCATGCAAGTGACGCTGCTGCTCATCTGTCCATCTCTATCTCATTACTTGTGTTAATGGTTGGGTACGGTTGTGGAGTTATTGGGGATAGTAATCTTTTCAAACAGCCAGTCAGGACGTTCTTGAAAGACTATGGCACGCCTCTAACTGTCATATTCTTTACGGGATATCAGTTTATCGGAAAAATGGCAGATATTAAATTGGAGCAGCTTCCAATCTCGAAGGCATTTCATCCGACAATTGACAGGTCGTGGCTGGTTGACTTTTGGAATATTGAAGTTGGTCATGTATTTTTGGCAGTCCCGTAAGCGCGCCCAGATTACAGCGGAAAGCTAGGCTTGGGAATCTGCTGACAGGCGTTGCAGATTCGCGATTTTGTTGACTATCCTTTTCTACTTTGATCATAACGTTTCCAGTCTTATTTGCCAGGGAAGTGAGTTTCCGTTGAAAAAGCCAGCTGGTTTTCACTGGGATATCTTCATTCTCGGAATCACCACCGGTGTCTCTGGTATTCTGGGACTCCCGGCTCCAAACGGTCTTATTCCTCAGGCACCATTCCACACTGCGTCTCTCTGTGTTACTCGAAAGAGGGTGGATGATGCAGAGGAACACAAGGGCAAGACTGAAACTGTGATTGACCATGTTGTTGAGCAGAGGGTCAGCAATCTCTTGCAGGGATTAATGATATTGGGGGTCATGACTGGACCACTGTTAATTGTTCTTGCGTTGATCCCGCAAGCCGTGTTAGCTGGGTTGTTCTTTGTTATGGGTATTCAAGCGTTGGAAGAGGTATATCTATTTTTTTTTCTCGATTCCCAGAAACTTGAAGCTAACGGTATTAAAGAACGGAATGACACTCAAAATCGCTTATCTTCTGAAAGATCGTGCGTTGACCCATGGTGGAGATCCGTTGAATAGATGCAGAAAGGGAGCGGTTTGGGCGTTCGTGGCCATTGAACTTGTAGGATTTGGGGCAACATTCGCAATCACGCAGACGATTGCTGCTATCGGGTATGCGTTGACTTGATAGTTGAAACTGAGGAATGGGCTAATGGTTATATAGGTTCCCAGTGTTCATTTTTCTTCTTATTCCTATGAGAACAAATCTCCTACCAAAATACTTCACCGCTGAAGAACTGGGGATTTTGGACGCACCGACTGCATCACCGTTTACCCTGGAGTCAGCCGGTGGTAGCTATGGTGACTACCCAGAGAGTGTTGATATCAGCCCCCAGGATTCTGAGACAATCGATACCGGTGCCCTCTCAGATAGCGATGAGAGTGTTATGGAAAGGGGGGATTCGATGAGACTAGAAAGGAGGAGACCTTCCGCTGTGAGACCTGGTAATGAGGTTGAGATTGAGGAAGGGCCACAGCATAGACGGGCACGGAGGTGAAAAAAATATTAGATGTAATTCATTTTGACCAGGTGAAATTAGGATCGTAATAGGGGACGGAAAAGTAAATTAGAATATGTATGTAGCTACACGACGACGAATTAGATATAACGAATTGACCTGTTGCGAGTTTACTATCATATCAAAAGCGAGATATACATGCACATGCACAGGCATATGTACAAAAATGCTTCTTCATAACTCCATCTGGATTGACAGGAGAATAGAGTAGAACGTGGGGCTCGTTTCCAAGGGTTACCAAGGGACCTTCGTCTTGGCAGCTAAACAACATTGTTATGCAAGTGGGGGAACGGATCACAACCAGAGCTCTCTCTTCTCCTGCAGGTTCAACCACCTCCGCAACGCAACCTTCTCGCTCCATCATCAGCACCTTTCATTTGCTTCCACTGTGCTTAACCTCTGCACCTCTCTTGCATACCCGTTAAATAGCTTACACACTCTTCTATCTACCTAACCAATTAATTCTGACATCATGGGTGAATCAAGGTACGAAAACACCACCAGAATAAATCCCCAATCCCCGCCCCTGTTCAACGGCCCTGTTCGATAAACTCCCCCGCTTCCACGTTTTTTTGCGGCTCCACTGACATCGCTGTAGACAAGAACTCCTTAACTGGGTAAACAACCTTTTGCAGCTTAACATCACCCGCATAGAGCAATGTGGAACTGGGTATGCTCCTGATTCCTCCCGTTTGGGACTTGCCTTGACTGGCACAAGCGAGTCACTTAGAACTGACAGCTACCTTTTGGAATAGTGCCGCCCTGTGCCAGATCATGGATTCGATCTATGGTTAGTAGAGTCCTCAAACGACGGCGGGTTTAAAGTTTGAAGGGGTTTGAACTAAAGATCAAACAGGGGATGTGCCTATGTCGAAAGTCAAGTTCAACGTTAACACCGAATACGCGTACCTACAAAACTACAAGATCCTCACGAGTACGCGTTTGCCCCCTTTACAAATATGTTATACGCGTGACTTTTTCTGACCCCGACCCTGCGTTCCCCTTAGATGTTTTTACGTCGCATCAGATCGAGAGGCCAATCCCGGTCGAGCGTCTAGTCAAGTGTAAATTTCAGGATAATCTCGAGTTTTTGCAGTGGACGAAGCGGTATTGGGATCAGTTTTATCCCGGCGGAGACTATGATGCGGTCAGTCGTAGGGCGAAAGCGGGTACAATGGGGGCGGGACCGCCTGCGCCTGCTGCCAGGTCAAACGCAGCAGTAAAGCGTGGAACTACGCCAACTGTTGGAGGAGCTGCCCGTACCAGGACTCCCCTTGGCGGCGCTAACAGCGCTGCCCTCCAACAAGAAGTCGCCTCGTTGAAGGAGAATGTTACCGGCCTCGAGAGGGAAAGGGATTTTTACTTCAGTAAACTGAGAGACATTGAGTTGCTGGTTCAGCGCGCGGTTGAGGAGACCCCGGAGATTGAACAGGATGAGGACGGCCTTGTCAGGCACATCCAAGCTATTTTGTACTCGACAGAGGTAGAAGACACTTCCGATCATCAACCACAAACAAATGCTAATATTGAGAAGGATGGCTTTGAGATACCTGATGCGGTTGAAGAAGACGCTGAAACTTTCTAAATGATTCGCCCATTCGAAAAATTCCACTACTACAACTTCAGTGTGTTTTTGTTTAAACCTTGTGGGTACCTAGTTGATCGTTTTCGGAGGTTATGCGTTCTCGTTTCATTCTTTCTAGCCCCTTCATACTAGTTTGTTACTTCTGTTACCTTACTACCTTGTATTCTCAAAAACCCTTCAATTCTACGTTGTGATCGGTTTCTATTTTCTTTTGCGTTATTCATCCTGGGATTTAGGGTAAAAGCGTGGCTTGGTTGATTTTCTAAGCGTTTGGTCTGTCTTTGGGCATGGAGGATGTGTCCGATACTGGACCATGGCCAGTATAATGGGGGATACCTAGATGGGGAGGTGGAGGAAAGCCATAGCCATAGGCGTGTTCCTTTATTGAAAACACGCAACAAAAAAAAAACGGGAAAACAAAAAGAAAAGCACAAACAAATTTCATCTATATATTACGGATGTTTGTAAAGTTATTATGGTTTAGAATTATAAATGTGTACTGCATTCGGAGATTTCCATGGTATTATGACCAAGGATTCAAGAAACGTGACTAGTAAGCGGCACTCCAGACACCTCAACCATTCGCTCAGTGTCTTAGGACACGACAACTCACCCAAACGCTAAAATTTAATATCTCCAAGTTCCCTCCCAAACGCAGGACATTTTCGTGCAGGGTGTATGCGCACTCTAGAACAGACTTACAGATAACAGACACAGCGCAATGTCACTATTCACAGGAATTCTCCAGAGCCAAGCTCCCCCGAAGCAAGATGCGACCTCAACCATCCAGACACTATGCCTGCGATTATCAACAAGTACATTATTGGAAGACCGGAGAGCGGCGATTCAAGGGCTGCGCAGCTTTGCAAGGGAGTACAAAGAGACTGTTGCATCAGGAGGATTGAGAGGGTTGATTGGGACATTGAGCAAGGATGCGGAAGATGTCGACACTATCAAAGTAGTGTTGGAAACACTGCTGTTGCTGTTTGTTAAAGATGAATCAAATGTTAGTTCTATCATAGCCGGGTTTTCTTTCTTCATGATAGTTGTTATGAGGGAGCTGCGTGGTGGGGTGAGCTTGTGGGTCAGAGAAGCTAGAGCAGGACTGGGGGGGTGGAACCTACAGCATGTACTGACCATCGTGTGCAGCCGGAATCTTCAGAAGATATAGCATTGTGGCTCACCGATGAGTTCACTCAGGTTCGCGGCCCTAAGATTTGAGTTTGGGTCTCAGTGAGCTGATTTATGGATGTAGAAGCAAGAAAATATCACGGTGCTGATCGATCTCCTACAAGATAGTGATTTTTACATCCGTCTGTACACGCTACAGCTTCTGGTCGCAATTCTTAATAATCGACCATCAAGAACTCAAGAATGTATCCTCACAGCTCCACTGGGGATTTCCCGTCTTGTCTCAATTCTTGACGATAAGCGGGATGCAATCAGAAATGGTATCCTTCTCCTCCCCGCTACATCGTATATAGATTATAGTCTCTAATATCTTATAGAGGGTATCCTGTTGATAATAAACCTTTCCTCTGGTCATACTGATATCCAGAAGCTCATTGCCTTCGAGAATGCGTTTGAAAAGGCCTTCTATATAATCGACTCTGAAGGTGGTATTGACGGTGGTATCGTAGCGCAAGACTGCCTACAGCTGCTATCAAATTTACTGTCGTATAATGTGTCCAATCAGAGCTTTTTCAGAGAGACCGGCTGTGTTCCTAAGCTAGCAAAGCTGTTTGAGTTCGATCAAAGAGATGTAGCACCGTACGCGAAAGACCAGAGGGACACTAATGTTCAATATGCGACGAGGGTTGTGAGATTATTTGTTGTTCCAGGGGGGTTGGGGACTGCTGCAAATCAAATGGCGTTTTTCAATGCGGGGATCTTGCACTTGATGCTGATAATCGCATTTTCGGCTTTCAGCGATTATCCAACTCGGGCTGAGGTAATGGCAATCCTCTGAAATAATTTTGGAGGGATTCGTAGCACTGATCAGAATTGGATTCAGGCCTTGAAAGCAGTTGCCGATTTGATCCACGAAAACGACGTCCTCCAAGAGAACTTTGCACAAATGAAGGTTACTTATCTAGATCCCACCGTTCCACCTGAAGTTCAGATACAGCAGTTCAAACCGGATGATATGTGCTATGTTATTGAGGGTTTACTGGACCTAGCATTGTTGACTTCATCAATCAATGCGTTTGATGCAAGATTGGCTGCCTGTCGGTGTCTTGAATCCTACTTCGCTGGGAACCAACCAGTGCGATTGCATTTCCTGAATCACGCCATTAATCTACATATGAATGAAGACCCATCTGCGAATATCCTCACATGCCTGATAAACCTCGACTCGGATTCTCGCGGTGATCCGTATCGTGTCTGGCTTGCAAGTGTCATCTTTTTGCATCTTGTCTATGATGATGAGGAAGCTAAGGCACTTGCAACCTCCGTCACTGAAGGCGATGCCGAGGCTGGCGAAGAGGTTGTTTCGGCGATCCAGAGTATATCTGCCAATTTGGTTGCTGCTTTGGAACACAACTATGATCCGCGAATAATCGTTGGTTATCTGATGCTGTTGTGCGTGTGGCTATATGAAGATTCGCCAGCAGTTGATGACTTCTTAACGGAAGGGTCAAGTGTACAGTCGTTGGTCTCGGCGGTGAAGCAGAGTAGTAATTCGAATGTGTTGGTGCAAGGATTGTGTGCATTCTTCTTGGGGATTTTATATGAGTTCAGTCATAAGGATTCGCCCATTCCCCGGTAAGAGCTCTAAATAATCAATGTTTTGGGAAAGTTTTATGTTGACCTGGATTTGTAGAGCCACACTACATCCTATATTAGCTAGTCGTATGGGGCGAGATCATTACCTTAATAAAGTCACAAAGTTGCGGGAAAATCCTCGTGTACGGGACTTTGAAGTTTTTATGGAAGTCCCCATGAGCAGAAGGGGAAGCGGGCTTCCAGATGTGTTTTTCGATCACACCTTTATCGACTTTCTAAAGGATAATTATAGTCGAATACTACGAGCCATTGACAAAGACCCATCAGAAGCACACACAGGCTCGAATGGCAAATCAAACGGGATTTCTGCAGAAATGCTAGAATCACTCAAAACACAGCTTGAAGAGAAAGAGGAAGAGCTTTCACAACTGCAGACCACAATTTTGACCCTCGAGCAGCGAGTAACGCAAGAACAACACGAGGTGCAAAGAACAAAAGAGGTAGCTGCAGCAGAACTGCACCGACAGAGGGAAGCAACGGAAGTGTTACGGCGGAAACATGAAGCCGATGCTACCGCTGTTGCTGAGCGAAATAGAGCTGCCGTTGCAGAAATCCAGCGTATTAGATGGGAGGCAGAGCAAGCAGCACGGGAGAACATGGCATTGAAGAGGCGAGTGGGCGAGCTTGAAAATGAGTTGAAAAGAAGGGTGGCAGAGCTAGAGGGACAACTGAAGAAGAAAGTAGCGGAGATGGAGAGCCTGATGAAGAAGAGAACCGCGGAACTAGAGGCTGAGATTGATAAGACGAAGAGGGAGACGAATTTACAGCTTAGGATGGCGACCGAAGACCACCAAGCCGCAATTTCCGAAGTAGAGACTCGAGTTAAGAGAGCAGAGATCGCTCTTAATGAAGCACAGATTAAGGAGAGGGAAGCGGCGACCAGGGCACAGACCGCTGAAGCGGCAGTCGCGGCTGCAGAGAGTAGAACCAAAGAAGCTGTGGAAAACGTACATGCTGCAGACCAAGCGCTTAAGGCAGCCAACGACACAGCTAAGGCTGCCGAGGAAAGGGCTATGGCGGCAGAAGATATAGCCAGATCGGCCGAAGAAAAAGTTAAGACTGCATCAGATGCATCCAGAGCAGCCAACGAGAAAGTGACAGCTGCAGAGGAGTACCTAAGACTCTCAGAAGAAAAGGTAAGGCTTTTAAAAGAGAGAGAGCAGGTATTGGAAGAGAAAGTGGTTGCGATGATGGAGAAAGTCAGAGCTGCAGAGGAGTTAGCGGAATCATTGGAGGAAGGAATGAAGGAGAAAGTCCGGATTGCAGAGGAGTCAACGAAATCGCTGGAGGAAGAAATGAAGGAAAAGGTCCGGGTTTCAGAGGAGTCAGCGAAATCGTTGGAGGAAGAAATGAAGGAGAAAGTCCGGGTTGCAGAGGAGTCAGCGAAATCATTAGAGGAAAAAATGAAGGAGAAGTTAAAGGCATCAGAAGAAGCCATAACCGCAGCCAACTCAAAGGCAGCTGCTGCTGAGGAGCGCCTACAGACTGCAGAGGAGAATAAGAGAATTGCAGAAGAGGAGCTCAAGGCGGTAGAGGAGAAAACCAATATCGCGCAGGAGAAAGCACAGGCCGCAGAAGAGGAAGCCAGAGTTGCAAACGAAAAGGCAGCGGCTGCAGAAGAGAGAGCAACAGCTGCAGAAGAGAAGATCAAAGTCTTGGAAGAGAGCGCAAAGTCGGGTGACGGAAAGGCCCAGGAACGACTCCACGCCGCAGAAAACACGGCAAAAACAGTGACCGAGAAGATCAAAGCCATCGAGGACCAGCTTAAGTCTTCGGAAGAGGAGAAGAAGAGGGCGGATGAAGAAGCCAAGAAGGCTCGGGCAAACGCGACAGAAGCGGAGGAGAGGATCAGCACGGCGGAGGAGCAGGCCAAGACTGCCAAAAAGGAGAAGGATGATGTGCAGACACAACTGGAGGACCTTCTCATGGTGCTAACAGATCTCGAAGAGAAGCGGAAGAATGATAAGGTATGTCTAAGATACTGGGCGTCCCAGGTCGATTACTAATTGTTTACTGTGCAGGAACGGTTGAAAGCCTTGGGACAGGAGGTTTCAGACGATGAAGATGATGGCGATGAAGAAGAAGATGACGATGAAGAAGAAGATGACGATGAAGTCGAGTAGACTGGAAACTGCAATGAATAATGGGGCGGGGCGGGTATGCTTTGTGAGACATGTAAAAACTGTAAATAATACCAGAAGAGTTATTCGACGTTCGTGTCGAGTGATATTTCGTGTGTATGTTGAAAAATATGTAGGCAATCGGAATAAGTTTCTGTTCTTTCTGGTCTATGAGGGGCCCCAGAGTGGACCCAACAGGACACAGGATCAGTGATTAATTCTCATCGAAGATTGTTAGATAGGATTCATCGAGTGATAGTCTGTGTTGGAAACCCGATGACGCGGCCTCCCAGAACCCCATAAAAGAATAAATATTCAGATACAAGATTCCTTTCCTCGTTTCAAAAGCGCTTGAACTTTAGAACCACCATGATCCGCATCTAACTTTTCTTTAGAAGAAAAAAAGCAGTGAAACAGAACTATTCAAAGATGGTATATATATACATGACCCTATAACCTACGCCATAACCCTTCCATTCATCCTCAATTCTCATTTTAATTTTGATTCAATAAGAAATAGCGTACACACTCCCTACAAAAACAAGTTCTATCTATTTCCCAATCTTAAGGTCAATCTTGCTCACGATCCAGCTTAGCGTGAACATGGCCATCAATGCACTGAACATGACAAACGGCTTCCTCAAAGCTTCCGTCTGGGGTAGATGGTAGCTGACGACGAGCTCTTTGCGATGCTGCTCATCTACTACGTTGACAGCAGTGAGCTTCACGGCAGTGCGGCCGATTGTGTCCATAAATGTCTTGTGGAGATACTGTTCCTCCTTGACAAGAGGAATGGGGGAGACGTATTTCACATTACTGGATCTCTGTTAGTTGATTTCTTTTGGATGAGTGATGAGTAGGGATAGCTTACGTGGCGCCTTCAGGCAACACAATAGTAACCTCAAGATCTTTGTAGGTGACAGCCTCCTTTGGACCCTCTAGGAAAGGAACCTTGAGAACAAAGTCCTCGCCGTTCTTGTGTCCACGGACAAAGTCACGGAGATCGTGGTTCCATCCGGTGACGAAGGTATAGTTCCATCCACCGAAAACCGGGTAACGAGGCTTGAGCTCGAGGTTTGCTTCACGAATGTTTGAGCGGAAGCGGGAAGTGGACACATTGCCGATTTCGTCAGTGAAGTAAGGGTCCTTCGCGCCAACACTTAGAGGGAAAGTGAGCTGCTTGATGGCGGTAGTGGGGGGGTTGTAATAGTTTGTTGCGGCCCATGCGACGCGGGAGAATTGTTCCTTGAGCCTTTTTTATTTGTTAGCATCTCTGGTAGTGGTTTAGCTGTTCGGCAGGACTACATACTTTGCGCCGTTGTTTGTCATCCAGTAACGTTCCTCGATAGCGAGGTTACCACCCCAGTGGGACACCTCGATGAGTCTCTCCATACGATCCATCTTAATCACCGGGTTGGTGTACTCGAATCGAAGAGTGACTTCTTCACCAGCCTTACCAGCCTCGACAACAGAGTAGGGTCCGAAAGTAAACTGATTACCAGACTTGGTAGGATCCTCGGTTCCATCAGCCTTAGGCTCGAGCTTGGTGAAGTCGGGAACTTCATTGCTAGCAAGTTTCAATTTGGTCTTCTGCTTCTCAGTCGTGTACGCGGACAAAGCGTATTGACTACCAGTCCATTGTAGGAACTGCTTCTCGACTTGGGTGACTTGCGCAGGAACTGGAGTAAGTATATCCGTAGCTGCTAAGCTGATTTGAAGAGTGATGGAGTGTCCAGCAGGGACGGCAGGCTCGAAGAGAATACGGTAGTATTGTAAAGAACTATGTTACCGATAATTAGAGCTGTAACTCTCCCCACTATTACTATTTTGCTTCTCACTCACCTATCATCATTATACTCCACAGGAGTTACTACAAACTCCTCTCCCGAACCTTTCTTATTTCTAGCTTCCACATAACTCAGCTTCGGCAATGTGGCCTTATCCACCGGCAGATAGAACTCGCTCTGTGGCTGTTTCGAGATATTCTCGACGACCGCAGCAATAATCTCGCGCGCGTATGGCTTTGTGAGGTCAATTGTTCTTAACAGATTACTCTGCTTGAACACCTGTGGAGGCGTGAAGTCCGCCGGAAAAACAAGTTGTTCTGCAGCAGCTGCCAAAGTCGCAAATAGCGACACTAAAGCGCCCCAATTGTGAAGCGAGCGCATTGTGAACTGATATTTGCGGGGGATATGTTTTTTATTTAGCGTGAATTTGTTGGGCTTTTTCGTTAAACGGAATGCTCCAACGGATGGAAGCTGTCTGTGTGAAAGGCCAGTTTCACTTATTTAGGAGCTTTGTGAGGTTACGAGACGTGTTGCGAAGCGGAACGAGGGAAACCCTTGCACGGGGTATTGTGGGGAACGCCAATACAAGACAAAGAGGTGCGAGTGATGGCTGATGGTGCCGATATGCCGACCAACCAAGCAGTTATCATGGTTTTCTTTGTTTTTAGATATTATTCCGTATCTAGTCATGCTCTTCTACTTCTGTGAAATTTGCAACGCAAGGGGGCCGTAAATTAAACTTTGACTGCTCTTAGGAAATTTAAGTAATAAATAAAATGTACTGTTTCGCACAGTGCCCGTGGGAGGGCTGAGGAAGATTCTCAGCTCCAGTCCTTTCTCCTACTTAAACCTGTCTTGTCGGGCTCTGCGTAAAAATTTGTTTTGGACACAAATGTGTAAAAGCGAGGAACTCGAGAAGACTAGCCATATCTAGAGCGAGTGGTAAGCTAGGTATGGGACTACCAAGGGCTTCAGGGTCTGGATTACGGTTTCAGCCAATCTCATCATACTCTGTGGCCGTGAGGGCTTAAGTTGAATGCACCCTGATATCACAAGAGGTCCCGCTACTAGAAACTTTGAGCCCCCGCGGGAAAGCCCCGAAAAATATGACACGGTAATATTCCTAATTCTACTACGTGCTCTATACTTTGCTTTCCCTTCGAATTAGTAGAGGTAGTGAACTTCGTAAACAGAGGGGAGGGAAAGAAAATGAAATTATCGGCACTACCATTCCTGCCTTCTGATATTGCAATAACAAAGCGAGGAAATGCTCGGTAGTCAAGCGTACGGTACTGTACAGCAAGATACTACCCTCGAAGCATCCCACATTCACATTCCCAAGAATGGCTCTGCCCCTCGACTCTTAAGTCTGGTCCGGCGGGGAGATAATTTGACGTATATGTTGCTTTGTGAGAACACATTATAAGAGCTTGGCTCAGCTACTATGCCTCTTGGCGCCGGTTTACACTTCACTCTCCATCTACTGGACTAGGTTTAAGAGTCTAGAACCCTACTTCTTACACCATCTAAGAACCAAGCCCGCCCAGTTGCATTTCAAAACCTGGGTCGCCATTTGTGGCCACTACAAGACTACCCACTCATCTTCTTAGATCAGCACAATGATGGCTCAACCATGCCGCAAAACTTTCCACCAGGAAATTGGTGATAAAATACCATCAGAGGGATTGACTCGTTTAGGAGGGGGTATCTTGCTCACTGACCTACACCTAGCCCTTTAAGCCTCAGCTGTAAGTCTTTTGTGACCCCTCCCTCCCCCTGAAGGGTCTGGGTAGTTCCTGGACATTACTGACGAACAGAGGGAAACAACCAAAGGGCGGAGACAGCACCTTCCACCCACTCGCAAAGCTATGTCTACGAACTTCTTCAGCTTCCCCGCTTCTTTTGCGGTAGATTTGGCTCTAAAAACATCCAGAACTGGTTAAATACAGTGTCATTGTACGTATCACGTCACAGCTTCGGGATGGGATTTGAAGTAGGCATGCCGGCTGGAACAGCTATTCCAGAGTACGAGCCATAAATATCATCTTATCGGTGAAGGAGAGGGAGATGTACCCGCAACCAAAAGACTAGCCCTATGGCCTGTGGGAAGCATACAAGACCCACGTCTGTTCTTCTCACTATCGGGAGCATATGAAAGTCATATCTTTCATCTCTAGATGAGCAGATAATGCCGACACCACCCATGGTAGTTATAGTGAAGGCAGAAGTGAAGCTTACATGTGCATAGTCACTGCATGACAGCCAAGGGGCCTACTAAAATCAGAGACGCGGAGAGACCCCTCACCTGTATCACTATCAGTCGCTACCGAAAAAGTGGGATTATGAGCTAGGCGGTCGGGGAATAACGAGCTGTGCGTGATGGTTGGCCGCGTCTTGGCATTTCCCATAACGCTACATGATGGCCGCCGGGCCCCACGCGCCCGCTCGGGCCTAACATCGAATGCGACACATCACACACCCGGACTCATCTCCTGTACCCGGTATCGGTGCTTTTAAACCGTATTAGATGTTGTGTGTTTCATGAGCTAAGATTGAGCGAGTGATAGATTGTGATCCACGATATCTATTACAATAGAACTGCCGCGGTCGTCTATCTCTATCTACCGAATGAACTGGTAACGTCCAAGGAGCCGCTGGCAGACAAAGAGCCCTAATCCTCTATGGCAGAGATAGACGGAGGGTCACTATTGAATAAACTTTCCACTAAACCGTTGCCGTCTATCAACTGCTATTAGTACAACGGAACCAATCTAGTTAGCATCCTTTACTTTAGTAACGGCCCTTTTGCTCGTGTGTTCCGTCACTGCTTCATCCCCGGGGAGTCCCAGGCCTCGACACTACATCTCTACAGTTTCCGGAAGAATTATTGCGAAAACCAGCGCTATAAGAGTGGGTTTCTTGGTCTGTGCTCACTGCAAAAACTTCTTTAAGGGCCAACGGGACTATCGGGTCACGGAAAACCCACTTTTACAAAGGTTCTACCGGAAACTGTAGTATATCACGAAGACTGCGTAAGATAAGCTCTAGCGGTGCAACACAGTCCCGCTTTGAACATTCCCTGGTACTCACAGTGCGGGCTAGTGTGGTCCATGAGGGGCGGTGAGTGAGAGCTGGCTTGGCCTTTTGAATACCAGGCTCGAGCTAGCTCGGGCTTTTGGTAGCGGCTCGTGAAAATGCTCCAGCCGGTGACCAATGATCGATACAGCAGGAACACCTTCTGCCAAGGCCACGAATTGGCGAAGATTAATAGCCCCATGAAACTTCTATCTTAAATTTTAGGGGTTAAATACCTCAGGAAGATGATAAGACTATGTTTACAGTTCACACAACTCCTCGGGGCAGATTAAAATATACGTGAATTAGGCTCATGAGCCGGCTCGAGCCAGCCACGAGAAAAGCTCGAGCTGGCTCGGGCTCGCTGGGTAGTAGCAAGGCTCGCTATGAATGAGCCAAAAGCTCAAGCCAAAAGCTCGAGCCGGCTCGGCACATAGACCACACTAGTGTGGGATAAACGATTCTTGGCACAAATTGCGCGCTTCCACTTAATCTGGTGCTTTACCGTCCGAGTGACAGAGGATGACGGGAAGGGGAAAAAAAGTGACCAGATCCAATTCAACCGGCCGAATCTTTGGGGGCACAGAACGATAGTTGGTGATTTTGCTTCTGAATGGATGGAAAACAAACCCGAAAGTAAATTACAGAAATGGGTTGCTGTTTTTTTTTCTTTTCTTTTTTTTCCTTTCTTAAATACACGTACATATCGCATGGTATCATAAGAACATTTTCCAGCGAAAGGCAAAAGTACCAACACTCATGACTTCCTTTTCAGAAAGGAAAAGAAGGCCCCGATTCCAAACCCAAATCCTATTTCACTCCAATCCCATCTATAAAAAATAAGATCTCCGTCCTCCCCCCCTCCCCCCACCAACAGCTAAGACAGTCAACCAAAAAGAAATAAAAAAAAATATATATATAAAATTCAAAGCCCCAACTTTTGGTTTAGTTCAAGAATTCTAAAAGTCGACCATGGTGGGTTGAAGATACCTGCCGCAAGGGAGAACAGTAAAAAAAAAGGAAGAAAAAACACGCCCCCTACTGAGTGATTGCTTCCAACGGAAGTGGAAGACGAAAGCCGAAAAAATAATTGCGTACGCAACCACATTACACGCGAGGAAAAAAGGCGATAAACAAGTAAAAAATATATGGAAAATCATTAATCCGGTCTTCCTCATTTCTTAACTGGTATTCCACCAGATATCGTCACAAAAAACAAAAAAACTTGTACCTAGAAACACCCAAACCCCGACCTAGGCTTAACTAAAAGCCGAAACCTGGTGGGAAGCCCTGTTGGGGACCACCCCTTCGCCTGCCGCCACCTGGGAATCCTCCCGCGCCGCCTGAACCGCCAAAAGGGAAGCCACCACCGCCTCCGCCCATGTTGTTCATCATGTTGAACAAAACATCTATTGAAATTGTTAGTTCATGCTCTCAACGTAAAAACAAATGGAATTGGAAGTGACATACTAGGATCAATGTTCATTCCTCCCATTCCTCCCCCACCACCACCAAACATATCATCCTCCTGAAGATCTATGCCAGAGTCATATCGCTCCCGCTTTTGAGGGTCTGAGAGTGTTTCGTATGCCTCACCAACATCTACAAGGCAATTGTCAACTATTAAATCCAGCATATATGAGGAAGGGCGAATCTAGCTTACCCTTGAATTTTTCGGCAGCATCCGGGTTATCAGGGTTCTTATCAGGATGGTGCAGAATTGCCATCTTCCTGTACGCCTTCTTAATATCTGCCTCGTTGGCATCCTTATCAACACCCAGAATCTTGTAGTAGTCCTTTCTCTTGCTCTTTTTCAATTCCAACTCTGCTTCGCGGATCTCCCGCTTAATGTTGTTATCTGTCGGGTTGGCTTCGGCAAAGTTCTTGAGCTCGCGGACAGCCTCTTCCCAGTTACCCAACTGGCCTAATGCTTTGGCACGTGTTCGGCGGGCCTTGTGGTAGGTGGGATCAAGCTTCAATGCGTCATCACAGTCCGCAATAGCTTCTTTCCACATTCCGAGCTTGAGAAAAGTGTCAATAACTTCTCGACATAAGAAAGGTGCTCTATAAAAAGAATTACCTTGCTGTGAGTGAGGGCACGATTCCCGTACAACTTGGAATTGGTTCCCTTGTTGTCCGGATCCACTGCCAAAGCCTCAGAGTACAATTCCTTGGCGGCATTGAGGTCATTCTTCTTGAAAGCTTCGTTACCGAGCTCCTTCTTCTTCTCCAATTCCCTCGCCCGCTTCAAGTATATCCTCGCCGTTCTCATATCAGGGTCGCACCTCAACGCCTCCTGGAAGTGCGCAGCCGCCTTCGGGTTCTCGCCCTGGGCGTACAGGATACGTCCCCTGAGCACAAGAGCATCTGGGTCTTGGGGATTCTGGCGAAGCAGCGACATAGCCACGTTCTGTGCCTCAAACAGAGAGCTCTGTGTGTTCATCCTCAAGTTTGCCTCCCCACGAAGCATCTTCCACTTCTTTGGTGGCTCCACGCCCATCCCCAGACCGGACTCTGCGCGGTCGAGGGCAAACAACGTCATGGAGCCCCCCGTGCCAGAGGCCACAGATTGCTCGGCACTAGTAAGGTGTTGTAGCATCTGCTGCGCAGGAGCCCTATCCTTTGTGCTCGCCGGGGGGTTCATCCTGTCGTATGTCTCCAGGGCGTCAGCGGGCCTACCCAGCGCAACCTGGATTCTCGCCATGCGCAGAAGAGTCTTTGACTGGTCCGGCTGGTGGCGGTCAGCCATCGTGCAGTCGTCGAGGGCCTGCTTGAACTTCCCGGCCGACATGTAGGCCGCCGCCCTGTTTGACAGGAAAGTTGCATTCTCGGGTTCGCACTCGATGGCCTTTGTGTACTGCTCGATAGCCTTGGTGTACTCCTTCTGCTTGAAGAATTTGTTACCGGCCTGCTTGTAGTTCTCGCCGTCCAGCTCGACCCTGGGCGGGTCTGGCGGGAGCGCGTGTGTGCCATTCACGCCGTTTGTGGTGGTAGGCTTTGGGGTCTCTGCGGGGGCCGGTGGTGCTGCTGCTGGTGCTTCCGCCGCTGCAGGTGTCACGGGTGGTTCGGAATCAATGTCCATAGCAGACATATTGGCAAGTTTCTCTTTTTTCTTTTTCTTTCCTTTCTAGAAAAAGATTTATATAGAGTTGATCTGTTGATCTATTTCTTTTTCCTTCCTTACTTGTTTTCTTTTTTTTTCCTGGTCACGGGACCGACGATGTTCGAGAACGAATCGAGTAGAGCGAATGAGTAGTGGCTCAAAGATAACACGGTTGTAGCAGAAAAGACAGTTTCAGAAACCACTTTCCACTACTAAAAAGAAACCGAGTGAGGGTGAGTATCGGATAAGGTATTTAAGGCAGGCCTAGGTAAAAATAGGAGCGATAACCAGGATGAGGAAGGAAGGCGCAGCAGCAGCGTGAGTGTGTATTTCAACTCAAGAAAAGAAAACGACTAAGAGACCACCCTGCAATAAAATTGCAGACCTTTCCTTCAGACGATAGCGAGATGGAGCGACACAATAGAAAGGGAAAAAAGAGGAGGGGTACAGGTTGTTGAGTGGTTGTGGTTGTGGTTGTGGTTAGTGGTAGTGGTTGTCGGCAATTGGCAAACAAACGCTGTTGAGTAGAACAAACGTGATGGGGGGGGGGGGGTGAAGGGAGGCTCGGTCTTGTAGACGCGGGGAAAGGAAAGGGAAGATAGCTGAGGGGAAAGGAAAAAAGAGGAGAGGCGGGAACGAGTGAGAAAGAGAAGAAAAGAGAAAGAAAAGAAAGAAAAAAAGAAAGAGAGGAAAGTCGGACCCAGCAGGCACCAAAGGGAAGTAGAAGGTAGCAGAAAAAAGTGAGCCTTTTGGTCCAGAGAAAAAAACGCCCGGGTCGTGGAATGTTCTAGCAACTTTTCTAAACCTACCCCCCCCTCTAAGCCTTACATTGAACAAGCCTCACTTTGACTTCCCCCCCAGCTAACAAGCAACCAGCAACCACCTCCACGACTCTCCCTCAACCACAACCACAACTCCCCCCCCCTTGCCTCAGGGTTTTACATACAAAACTGCTTCAACTCCCCCGATTGAGGCACAATTGCATGCAGATCAACTGAACAAATCCCTATTGAATTCGATCCTTTTTAAACCAAGTCTTTCTCCTTTTATTTTTATTGTTGTCTAGAGCAGCTAGCCCAAAAAAATATTACTAGGAAAAAACAACATCATTGAAGTTGATCATGATCAAGACGGAAGGAGAAAAAGAGTTAAAAAGTAAAAAAAGTAGAAATTCCACTCAGAGATCAACTATTAATGAAATAACTAAGGAATGACCAGAAAGTACAAAAAAAAAAAAAAAAATACATAGAAATCCAGGTTAGTACTCTACAGAAAAGAAAAGAAAAATAAACAACGAAGTGAAAGCCAAATAATCAAAACACCTTGAAACCCCGCCAATGAATGACCCTGACCCTGACCCTGAATGACCCTACCCGTCTTTTTTTTGTGAACCCCAACATCCCCAAATACCCCCATGATAACCGTAACGAAAGAAAAAAGGAAAAGAAAAAAGAAAACCAAATTCATTTTTCTACCCAGCAGACCAGACCAAACCTCAAAGGAAAACGACCGTTAAAATGCAAAAAAAGATGCAGAGCAATAAACAATAAGAAAACACCGATGATAATCGGAAAGCCGGCTTTCGCTAAAAGAAACTCCGATAAAAAGGAAACCCCCCTTAATTCCATCTCGAATGGTTAAAATAGAAAACCCATTTTTTTTTTTGCCTCGTAGGAAGTCCGTAAATTGAAAATCTAATAGTGGTGGTGGTGGTGGCGCTGGCGTTGCAGATCTAATGATGATTGTTGCAGGTTCTGTTGCGGCTGATGTTGCACCTCAACCTTGACATTCATCGCATCCTGTCTCGTTTTGGCTGCCGCTGCTGCAGCGGCTGCGGCAGCTTTCCCTTGACTGCTCTCCCTTCGTCGCTTTGGCGCATCCTTGATCTTTGGGTGTGTATGGCACTGGAAGAAACCCGAACCGTTAGCAAAGGTCTCAGTGTTTCAATTGGGTAGAAATCAAAGCTTACCTTGTACGCATGTCTGAACCAAGTAGTACCCTTCTTCTTATTGCTTACGAGCGCCACCCAGTCATTGCAGCTATGGCACAAGCCCTCCCAGACATCCATATTGCCCTCCATCCTCCTAACCGACTTTGGCTCCACGAAGCGCTGTCCCGTCGCCGCGCTGATGCCATGGGTGAATGACTTATCGTACCAGAATGCCGAGTTCTTGAGCACCAGCCACCTCTTACAGATGCCGCACCATCCCTCACGCTTGTTGCCATGTCCGCGGACCCAGCGCGGTGTGTAGAGGTCGCCCTCGAACCTGAGGTCCTGCTCATGCGGCTTCATCTCCGGGTCCTCGGGGTTCATGTCCTCCGCCGGCGGCGGGATCTGCTCCTCTTGCAGCGAGGCATAGAGATCTGGGGGGTCGGTGAAGTCGGCATAGTGGCTGCGGTAGTGCTCCGCTGCGTTGGACTGTAGCATCTTGACGAACAGGTGGTTCGGCATCTGCGGCTGGCAGCCCAAATCATCTACATATGGGCCCTGCTGCTGTTGCTGCTGCTGTTGCGCCTGGACGTATCCGCCGCCGCGCGAGAAGTTGTGGTTATGTGAGGCGAGGAGCATCTGCTGTGGGGGGTGCGGCGGGCATTGCGCTGATCCGCAGGTTGGCGATGAGTATGTGGGTGAAGAGTATGTGGGCGACGAGTGGTGCGAGTTGTTTGAGTGGAAATTCTGGACCTGGCAGGGATCGATCTGGGTGACAATGTATGGCGATGAGGTCTGCGAATTTGGCAGGAATGAGCCTGTGGACCACCTCTTATTTGCGTCTCGCCCTGCTGTCGAGTATGGGACTGCTCTCATGGTGGTCCTTGATGGTGAGGGCGAGGCACGCCCGCGGCTTCCGCTCCTGATCCTGTTGCTGTTGGGCGACATTACGGGTGAGAGAGGGGTTGTGCTGGTGGACATTGTGAATGTTGATCTGTGGGTGTAGTCGGACATGATTGACTCTGGGTATGGCGAGGTCTCGTAGGGCGAGGTCTCATATGGCGAGTTGTCGAAAAACATATCAGTTGCAGACAACAAGGCGGCCTGGTCTGCGCTGGACATTGAAATTGTGTCTGAGAAGCGGCGGGCAACGTTGGTATTCAAGCTCAGGGCATCGCCGACTTGTTGTGGTGAGAAATGATAGTGAGGGTCGAGGAGGTTAGTGCTGTTACTGCCGCTGCTTCCATAGCTGGATCCCATGCGATCCACGTCAGTATCCAAGTTGCACTCGCCGACAACGCCTCTAGGACGGCTCCAATCGTTGCCTATTATCAATCGTTAGTATAAAAAACCTAAAGATGCTATGGCATATCGAGTGCGACTTACTATTCATATCGTATTGAGACAGATCCACAGGACTGGTTCCAAGGCTATGACTCTCAGAGGGGATCAAGCAAGTCGGGTCCCAAGCAGGTACGGCAGTAGAACAGTCTTCTGGAAGTGAAGAATATGGAAAGCTAGTTTCATGAACTGTTGCAGGCCTGTTGCCATTTGTACGAGGTGTCGGTGGCCACAGAGCGAAAGAGTCAGGCAGAGGGGAAGCCATTGCTGGCTGAAATGATCTCGGATAGCTGTCACTCAGGTTCTGGGGTCTGAGCTGAGTGTGTTGTGCGAAAGCGTTCTTTGGCATATTGTGTTGTCTGTTCATGGTTTATCACCAACATCAGTCACCTGCGCCAGTGTGTGAATATAGGATGGGGGGGTGGGGGGTGTGTGTGCGGAGGGAATTCTTCGACTAAAAAAGAAAGGGAAAAAACAGTAGAGACATACTGCGCAAGAATTGAATCCATTTGAGTCAAGGCGTGCATCTAGTTACTCCTCGCCGTGTGAGAAGGTAGTACAAGGATATACAACTAAAGATGCGGATACCCGTCAGCGCCATTGTAATTTGGATGTTGAGGTTGTTTCCCAGGTCTCATTGTACGGGTCGCATCACCGCAACGAGTACCAAAGGCCGAGGAAGCAAGGGGGAAAGGCGAACAACTCACTGTATAAAGTATACAAAAGGAACCAGTTATAAAGTAAAACAAGAAACCAGGACCGGCCAGGAGATTGTATGATGTGTATAAACCCGATAGCTCAGCGTCAAGTGAATTATTAAGTATTAGACGGATGTGGTACTAGGTTGTTGTTGTAGTAGTAGTTGAATAGTAGTAGTAGTAGTAGTAGTAGTAGTAGTAGTAGTAGTTGAATAGTAGTAGTAGTAGTTGAATAGTAGTAGTTGAATAGTAGTAGTAGTAGTTGAAATCGTAGTAGTTGACGTCGTAGTAGTAGTAGTTGTCAACAACCTATACTGCAGGTGTGAGACAAGGAATATCGCTGTAGAACAAGACTCCAGCAGCTCGGGATATTCGAATGATATATGAGAAATCCAGTTTCTCAATTGCGGCTGATCTGGGAATGGGAAGACCCGGGCGAATTAAAGATTTAAGTCTAAAATATAAATCGTAAAACGTATATAAAGGAAAAACGAAGGAAAAAGAGAGAAAAAGGAAAACAAATAAAAAAATATATATCGAAACGAAACGGAGATGAGAGCCCTGACGAGTCAAAAAAATATATCGGATGGGATGGGGTGGGGAGGGGGGGGATCGGGAATTATATTGTAGGTTAGATGTAACGGTCCTTTTTTGTTCCAGGGACACTTTCTTGTGTGGGGTGGGTGGGGGGAGGGTAGGGGTCGAACGAGGGGACCAGAGACTCTCTTCTTGGATGGGCAGACCAGTAGTAAAGCACCCCGCCAGTACGCGCGCTGTCGCCTCTACATATGTACGACTTGCTTCAGGTTCTTCCATCGTTCTTCAAACACCCCTCCGGCGCACCACCACCACTAGCACCACCCCCCGGCCATGGCTTTCTCTCTGCTCTCTCTGTCTGGCTCCCCCTGCAACAACCTTACCTTGCAGTTTGCAGGGTCCCCTCCGTCCCGATTGGTACGTGGGTTAAACTTGGTAGCAGGCGTCTATGCTCTCGCTATTTTTTTTCTGCTAACCGAACATTCTGGAGCCGCTGGAAAAGAAAAGAAAAAAGAAACAATCGAGGCTCTTTTTTTTCCCTCCCAACCCCATCCATCATCCATCCCAGCCGGATGTCCCCGGAGCCTCCATCAGGAACCAGGGTATGCTTCTGCTTCCTCTTCATCTTCTGGGGAGAGATCATATCGAGCCGCGAGCGTGGCTGGGTCGATTTTTGCGCAGCATCTCTCTACCTATTTTTTTATTTCGTGTTTGCAGTCAGTCTGCAGTCTGCAAGTTATCTTCAATCCCGGGACTTTGGGTAAAAAAAACCCATCATCCTCAGATGCAAGGTACACACGGTTACAATGGTTGACTGGCAGCTCTCTGCTGCGCTGCCCAATAATCATGATCCCAAAAAAGAATATCCCACATGTAGAATGCTCTCCCTCAAACCCCACCACCAGCAAGCAAAACCCTTGTAGATGCCTCTTACTATTACTACATCTACTGTAGCAGATCGACTTTGTAATCATGAGTCTACAGAACATGCTCGGAGAAATAATAAGAATTCCGCAGCAGTTAGTGACAGACAAAAAAGAAAGAAAAAGCCTATGCAACGGCCTGACGTGAACAAAATTCCGCAGACTTCTCATCCTCCCCCTGCTCCTAGTTAATTCTCCATCTTTTTCTCACCTGCACTGTGGCTTGCTTGCAGCTAAGATGGAAATGGCAGCAACTTCTCACTCCACGCATGTCTACGCCTTATTGCCCCAAAGCTACTAGTCCCTCTCGAGATTTCCAGAAGTAGGTTCAGTCTCACGGGCACCACCACCACAGGATATTTGTTGCTGCTGCTAAAGGTGTGCCATCGACGTACTGACTGACACCCACATGAAACGCTCACGGAGGCCCTGGAATAGGTAGGGCGGGTTTGAGACCATTTCGAAACAGCCGCGGAGTGAGGTGAGGTGCCTGCTTCGGTGAAAGTTGGGATGATGGTTGTGGTGGGGTGTGTGTGAGTGTGTGTGTGAAAAAGTATTTGCGGCCATGGAGAGTTCAAGGGAAGCCGTCCATGGCGGCGGCCCCAAAAGAAGAAGCAGCATGTAAGAAAGACGACAGCAACCTTCAGGTTAGTGCTCATAAGTGTTGACTGCGCATGCATCTATGCTTTGATCTTGGGGTATCTTGTGTAATGTAGAGGAGGTACATGATACGACTTTGATGTACTCCGCTCCCAGTATCACATCTATGTAGCTACATGTCGGTACTGTCATCATCCCAATGTTGCTCTTGCAACTCATTTACCAGATACATAATGAAACACGGCCCAGAGTATATACAATCCGGACCCGACAATTTTACTTTGAAGGCAAGTACCCGTCTACGTCTCCAGTACGTAGGAGTACGTAGGAGCACGATGATGACGGGCCGGGGCTGGGAGTCCAGTTGCAAATTCGAGATCAGTACTTTGTGGATCAGTACATGTAGGTACAATGCAGTACTAGAAAAGCACTCCAACTACATTACTGCTACCAAATGCAATGTAACCAAAAAGCCCAAAGAGGCAGGCGCTCTCTTTAGCATTTCGCCAAGCACGCTCGCCCATTGGCTGCACAGCGACCGACTTGTCACTTTTTACCACACACACTTCTCTCTTCCTCTGCCTCTACTGTATCCCAAATTTGGCGAAGTGGCACAACAGCAACAGCAACAAAAGATCCAATTCTGGATCTGTAATTAGCGGGATCCAGTCCCTCCCCATGCCCGATGCGTGTCTTTTCCGGCCGTGCATATCATCCCGCAGAGGTTTATTTGGAGAGGTGAGCTAGGGCCATCCACCACACACATACAACTGCCTGCCCGTACCATCCCATCCTGTGTCTGTTGTTACCATAAATAGATATATTTAGAACAACAGACAGATTTGGACATTTGGACAGACCACAAGTTAATTATGTGCCTTTCTTATTTCCTTTTCACCTATCCAGCCATATTAATCAACCGCCTAGCGAGAGACACACACGCAAAAGCCCACTCACTCACTGCATCCTCTCTGTCAGCAAAAAAGAAAACCCCCCCCCCCACCCTCCACTCTCATCATCCTAGGCGGCAATCGTGCAGAAACGGGAAAACGTGCGGAAGAACAAGAGTTATTGTTCTATACATAGAGATAAACATAGATCACCCACCAACTCACCCATGGGCCATGTATGTCTTGTCGGTCCCACACTCCGCACGCACCACCACCAGGAATCATCATTTCGTCTCCCGGCCCCACGGTTTTTTTTTTTTTCTATTCTTTGTCCTGCCAGCCATGGCCCAACGCGCGGGGTAGGGTAAAACTCAACCGACTGCCGAAGAAGAACCACCAAAGGACAGAAAACAGCCGCCCCCAGGCGCCTACCGTCAGTCAGTCAGTCAGCGTCACATATCACAGCCCAACTGGTTTCCCCAAATAACAACAACGTCGGGGGGATGGATTCGCGGACTCCACTCCCACTCCCCTAGTAAAAAAGTACCCTACATACGTATGTACCTTTTTTCAATCTTCAGCCTTTTGAAATGCAGGTAGCCGTCATAGTCACGCATCTCTCGATGGATGAGGATGTTCCTTTTTTTTCTTTTCCTCTCGCTTTATTCTGCTCGATTCTTCCGCATGAACGCGCCCAGCCTTTAGCACACCCGAGATATGAGATGTCTGGCTGGACGATTGATGCACGCAACCTGAACCCCGTTCGAGTGGTTGCTTAGGCAGGTACCTGGTTTTCGCCTAACATCCGAAGTGTCTCTGTTGTGGCTTCCGTCATCGTTGCGAGCGGAAATGATTGATCTTGATCAGAGTGCTCCCGCCCACTCTGGTTAGTGCTAGAGTAAGGTACCGGCCCGTACTTAGCTCCCGCAGGGGACAGGCGTGAGCGAGGGTGGCTTGTCTGTCTGTCTATCGCTAGTGACTACATCATATTCTACATCACACATCATACCAGTCCACAGCCAGCTAGAATATTAGTAGCATCAGTTAGTAGAAGATAGTAAATAGGATGCCAAACAGACTTGGACAGTGCACTGTAGCAAGTAGAGTAGATGATGATTCTTAGCGTACATCATCCTACCCTCCCACCGCAAGCCATGATACGGTGATCGATGAGCAGTGTTTTCTCTGACCTTTGAGCCGCATACATGAAGCTGTAGGTACCTGCATCTCTCTCTTTCTCTACCCCCGGCCCTGGTACGTTAACGATCTTTTTTTGGTTCCTCGTTTCTTCTCTATCGTTTGTACCTTTTCGACCACATGCGTCTGACGCATTGAGGCCCCCCACCTCTCTCTCTCGAGATCCCACTTCCCTGATAAGAAATGCCTATGCAACCCAGGATCTCAACCAGAGTCCCATCATCCCATCTCTCTTTCCGCGATCAATGCTACCCAGGTAGTATCATACCTCCACCCCGGCTCCCCCCCAATGCGGGCTTTCTCCCCATCCTCCGCTGCTCCACGATTGGGCAAAAAACACACAAACTAAACACTAGTATACAGCCGTTTATCCAGTCGCCGCCCCGCCAATCCTAAACATATCCCCAAATCCCAATCCCAATCCCGTTTCTTTGAACCGCAAAAAACGCTTTGACCATCTGCCCGGATTGGAGTTAACGTCATTCGCTTCATGAGACACTGAGATCTGTTATTTTAAAACTCTGAAACTGGGCCGTCCGATTCGGTTTCCCAGGGAATGGTTAGTGGCTGGCCTGATTGATACCTTGATACCCTAGACAACCTCACCCTGGGGGGTTTACCTAAGCCACACGGTGCTTATGATGGCCATGAGGATGAGGACGAGGGAGCAATATGTCTCTAGCTCTGTGTAGTCTAGTAGTCGGTTTTGTATTGTACTGGATTTCGCTGCGCACGTTTGTGCCCGCCGTGGCTAGGTATTTTACATGTACTTTAGGTAAATACTTAGTATGTAAGGCAGATCAGAGTAGATATCTACGTCCAGTAGTAAACCGGAGCCGAAACACCATGTATCAAACTATACCGGCCACGCCGGCCTTTCCATCTCGAAACCAGTCCAGCCATACTCGAAGCCTCCACCAGATCTCTCCATCTCGTGAACCGCCCTACCCTACTCTTCGGAGCCACTAACCCATCTCCATCTCCATCTCCGTCGTGCCATCTGGCTATCTACGCACCCATTTCATTCTCTGCAGCCCAGATTCTAACCAAACACTCTCACCCTCCATAAAACGTTATGCCATTTACGCCCCCCCAATACTAATCCACATATCTACATACATGTATCTTCAGCCTCACTCACTCACTTCATCACCTCAACCCTACCCTAATCCACCATTATACCCTGCTCAATGCCATATGACTGCATATCACCCACTGTCCCGCACGCCAGCGTCGACGGTTCTCGAGGAAAAGACTAAAAATTGCTATTATTATATAATTATGGCCATGGCCAGGCCCCGTGATTGATGATAGGTAGTGATGGCTTTAACGGTGCTCTCTACTTCTAACGTGCTACTCTATCTGCTCTGCAGCCAGCGTGCAGCGCATAACGGGGGGAAGATAAGAACAGTCTACAGACAGCGCATTGGGGGGTTTAGTTTTTAGGCACTAGAGTAGCTATCTGGAGTATCTATCTAGAGTATCCATCTAGAGTATCTGGGCCTAGGTGGTTTATCAGCCAAGCAAGTCAAGTACCGTGATACACCACCACCAGATCGAAAGCGCATAACCATAGCGGGCCCGGAAACGACGGCGACGAACGAATAACCCGCCTGGCGCATAAAAGGTTCCTGTTCTAGACCTGGCCTGTTGTTTTCTGGATAGGCGCGATAAGCGGGTGCTGAAACACTGCTATGTCATTCTCTCCCTCTCTCTCCCCCTCTCTCTCTCGCGCCTGGGAGATTTGGGGGGGTGGGGGGTGGGAATGGTTAGTTGGCGTGAGAACACGTTGGTTGAAACGAACTGAGAACTGAGATGGCGCTCATTTGGTTTGTTGTGTGGTTGTGGGTTGTTTTCGTGGTTACATGCATGTACGGTTGTACGGGTTGCGTTGTGCGCCAGAGAAAGAGAGGTACGCAATCGCAATGGCGACATGAGCGGTTGTTGAAATCGTGGTTGCGCTTGTGCAGCTTTTTGAAAACAAAAAAACAAAACCGCACGATTGCAAATCGCACTCCCGAAAATACCAGGCGCTCGCCCGATTCATTCTGCACTCTCTCACTCGCAGTTAAGCCACTGCGCTTGCGATTGAGTTGCCTGCCTGTGAGGCTGCTCACCTACATAGCACATTTCTCACCAGCGCCAAATTGGCGAATCTCGTGATGTGCGTTTGCACTTATGCCAAGTATGTGCAGCTGTCTGTTTCTTACCCTCTGGGATAGGGTTAGGTGACATAACCACCGGCCCTCCAAGACCAATGTCAATGCCAAGCCCTTCTAACCCGTTCCACACATGTAGCATCCAGCGAGTGATGTGGCATGACGCAAAGCTAAAGATGTTTATTGTCACCAACGCCCTTCCCTTTCCCCTTTCCTTTTGCCCATATATGTAGTTAGATACAAATCTATTATTACAACCCAACAAGTTAAACAAAACCACACAGAAAATAAAGAAAAAAAAAACACAGGAAATGCTACACACGCACACATGCACAAGTGACAAAAAAATAAAAAAAAAGACCGCTCACACGCACACACTAGCAAAACAAACAAAACAAACAGGATATCCAGTACTATCCCCCTATGAAATCAACGCCACCCTCCCCTCCTTCTCACAACTGCCACAATACTCGACCAGCCACGCCACCTCCTCGCCCTCCACCTGCCCCTCCAGCATCTCCCTCGCCTGTGCACACCGCCCCAGCTCCTCCTTCACCCAGTTGCTCCACTCGCCCCAGAGCAGCTCGCGCTCAAGGGTATTCACGACGCGCATCGCGACGAGGAGGTCGTGGCGGTACGAGCCGAGGTGCTGGCGGCCCTGGCGCAGCCGGCGCGCGGTGGCGCGCGTCGAGGGCGACGAGAAGCCGAGGGCGGCGGTGGTGGCGGGCGCGTCCATGTCAGTGCTTTCGGACAGGCTGCGGAAGGCTGTATGACTGTTTGAGGCGTGGGTGTTAGTGTGGATGCTCGTTAGGGTTCGTGCTGCCGCTCCCGCTGCTCCGATGCCGTGAGGAAGGGAGGGCGGGAGGGAGGGGATCGGGGATGATCTGGGAATGTCTCCCGCGACCAACCCAACGGTGCGGGATGTGGCAGCGACCTCAAATGACGGGAAGGGAAAAGGGGAAGGAAAGGAAGGAAGGATGTAGTACTAACCATTGGCTCTCCCCGTCCACCACCCAGCTCATCGTCCCATTACTCGCAACCTCCTCCAGATCCCTCAGATACACGGCCCTACTCATGATCCCATTCGGCGCGACGCCGACCTCATCCAGCCACCTCGCGGCCCTCTTCTCATTCCAGTAACTGACGACCGCGCCGCGGCCCACAACCGCATTCCACACCACGCTCGCCAGCAGCACCAGCAGGATGACGCGCTGCGCCGTCACCACCTCCCAGGCCTTGCCAACGCCCGCGGCCGTCCACATGATGACGCTGCTGGCCGCGCTCTCGAGGAACGAGAGCGCCGTCTCGGCCATCATGCGCGTGAGGCGGCGCTGCTTGATGGGGAGCTTGGGGGCTCTGGGGTCCAACTCCGATGCGAGCGGGCCCGGGCCTCCGCCGGGTGGGATGAAGGCCTCGTCGGTTGGCTGCTCGCCCCCTACGTCGCCAAATAGCCGCACGGCTGTCTTGGTGCGGCCCTCGTTGGTGCCTAGTTTCCGCACTTGGTCTGCGACGATGTCGCCGAGGTCCAGTGCGTCGAGGTCGAGGTCGTCGAGGGCCTGGCGCTGGATAATGCCTGTTGGAGCACGAAACGTTATAAACCCGTACGCCTAATAGGGATACTGCATGATCTTCTGCGCCATGTAGAGCGAGCTCCCAATTTCCAGTACCCTGATTGGTGTCTAATCCCCGCATCCACCAACCAGACTACAAGAGATATCGAGCTTGCTCTACCTACCCGCAGACAGGGCCAACTCCATTTTCCAGCAAACCCGATTGGCAGCCCCACCCCCCCCCCTCTCTCAAACCAATCACGTTACTAGAAAATGGAGCTCGCAGAGCCTTCCTTACCAACAACCCCGGATAGGTATACCGCTCACGTGCATGGTGGCAGAAAGTTGACATTGCCATCATTGGCCCCCATCCACGTGACCGATATACATATTCCGGATTTGCTAGTGTTCATCTACGCTGGGGAACTAGGGACCAACAACACAAAAAAAAACTCACCTTTTGAAATTGCCGGCGCATTGGACCACTCGACGGCCGTCCAGATCGAGAGCTTACACTTGCTCTTTGCCACGTGTGAGATGACAATCTTCGTCACGAGCATAAAGCGCTCGCGGTGCGGGAGATGCCATGGTGTTTTGCGATCCGCGACTACGTAGACCCTTTTTTCCCCAATCCCAGCCATTAGTAAACCTTCACATTGATAACTAGACTAGGGAGGACGGGGAGGACAAACAGGTGGTCGTCTTGTAGCTCAATGGTCTGGTAGTCGTTTACTCTGCTCTTCTTCCGCCCGCCTGTAGTCACGTCAGTTTGTAAGTCTGTAATCGTAAACGAAGGAAGGAAACCATACCAATCAGCCCGTTGTAGTCAATCTCATACCCAAACTCCCTCCGCGTCTGCCCCGTCCCCGAGGATCTCCACGGACTCTGTTGAATATCTACACCCCCCCCTCATATTAGCACCACATCCCCACTCAACCCCCAAGAAAAGAAGAGAAACGGAAAACCTACGTTGCGCCCTCCTCTCAAAATACAGCCTCTGCCACACCCAACTCCGGTCCCCAAACATAACATGAAACAGCGCCTTCGGCGACACATCAAACTCCCTCTCAAACGACACGCGCGCCATGCCCCTGGGCCTATAATCGATCGGCATTGCGGGCAGCCTGACCCTCGTCACCTCCTTGACCCTTCCATCGATTCCCCTCTGCGTCACATGCGTCTCGACCTTCTCCTCGCCGAGGTCCTCCCAGCTCTCCGTATCCGCCCCGCGGTGCTCCTCCTCCTCCTCCTTCTCGAGCTTCAGCAGCGCCGTGAGCGCCTCCGCGTTGCCCAGCTTGTCCCCGCCCTCGGCCTCCTCGTGGCGCGCCTTCACAAGGAAGAGCAGCCGCCGCTGGAGCAGGCGCACGGGCTCTAGGAAGACCTTGACGACGACGCGCTCGTCCTCGCCTGTGTCTTCGAGCACGCTCTCTTTGTCGTCGGGGTCCGGGTGCAGGTGCAGGAAGAGGTGGTCGCAGTCGCGCCCCGGCGACGCCGTCACCTCCGTGATGTGCGTCAGCGAGACCACGCTCGTGAACACCAGGCCTAGATAGTGGCTGTAGAAGTAGACTCGCTTCGCCGTGACGTAGCATCGTCCGGGCAGCTCCTGTGTTGCGCTGGCGGTCCAGGTCGCGCGGAAGACGAGGAGCACGATTTCGTCGCCGCCGCGCATCGGGAACAGAGTGCGGAAGTGGGCGTCCTGCGCGACGAGCTCGGTCGGGTACGACGGCGGGTATGTGCCCTCTAAGGGCGCGGCGCCGGAGCCCCCGTGTGCGTGCGACAGCCCGATGTCGGTGTCGAGGGACTGGGTCTTGCGGTGGCCCTTGAAGAGGTCGGCGGGGTGGTTGGGGTTCATTGCGGGGCCTGAGGTCACGGCCGCGGCCTTGGAGAGCATTACGGGGGCGGGGGTGTTTGCGAGGGTGGTTGGGGCGAGGGTCGTGGTGGTGTCGCCGAAGCGGGTGGTGTCGCCGGAGGGGTGGAAGGGGAGGGCGTTGTGTGATGCGGAGATGAGGGCGCTGAAACCGGCGCCGGAGACAGCTTGGAGGGGAGTGGCGGGGCTGGGGGACGGGCTGAGCGAGCGATCGTTGGTGGCAGGCTTGCGGCCAATGTCGAGTTTCTGAGCGATCTTCTCGCGGGTGTTGGACGGGATGGGGGTGGCATCCGAGCTGGAGATGTCGATTGAGGTTGCGCGGGTGGTGGTGTCGGCGGGCATGGTATTGGCCGCGATCAAGCGCATGTCGTCATCATCGTTGCGGCGGACATGGAGGTGCCGGGGAAGATGCAAGGCGCCGAGGGTGTGGCTGTCTTTATTTGTTGATACTGCGGCCGATGCCGTTGTCCCGTCGTGTCCCTTTGTGATATATGCTGGCTCCGCCGCCGGGATTGCTGCAGACGGGGGAATGATCGAGAAGGCCTGAGTGTTACTTGTACTCGTAGCATTCTCGACCGCCGTCCGCTTCGCCTGTTCAAACACCGCCAGCCACTGCATCAGCTCCATCTGCGTCTCTGCCTGCAGCAGCACAGTGGTATCCTTCGTCTTGACCTCGAAGCAGAACCTCCGCTCCTCCTGGAATGCCGGCTTGATATTGCACAGGAGGACACCGATCTTCTCGCTCTCCTCCATGGCGCCATCCTTGAAGCCCTGCACAAGCCATCCAAACACGCCATCCTTCACAAAGAACCACCGCCGGATCCATGATGTCCTCGCCCCCGGCTTCCCCGCCAAAACCCTCATAAACAGCCAGCCCTGCTTGACGCTGGGCGTCTTCTCGCCCTCCTTCTCCTCCGGCACATTCGGCCGGCTCGTCAGATACGGCACCGTGCTCACCGCATACTCCTCGAGATCCCTCGCGGGCTGCCAGTCACGCTTCGCTCGATCCTCGAGCTCTTTGCGCGCGCCGACGAGCTCCTTCCGGAAAATCTGCTCGGAGGCCTCCATGCCTTCCGACCATGCACGCACACGGTCGATCTCCGCCGCATGGCGCTCCATCGAGGTCCCGTCGCGGCGAATGCGTAGCTGCTCGCGCGACTGGTCCGAGAAGATCTTGACAAGGACTCTGTCGAGCGCCGCACGGAACGTTGGTGCGGCCACACAGAAGTCGAGGCAGCTGCGGATGTAGAGCTTCCGGGCCTCGTAGACCTGGAATGCGTCTTCACGGAGGGATGACGGTTCCTTCGTTTTGCTTTGGGCGGAGTAGCGGCTCAGAAGTAGGTCGTATCGGCTTTGCGTAGTTTCAAGGGTGCGTCGGATTTCCTGTGGCATGTCAATGACTGTAAAGACAACTTTCTATATAGCTAGCCTATAGTAGTAATAGTATTAGTGATGGGTAGGGTTAGGGGTGCAAGTACCTTGAAAGTCTTTAGATCCCGCTTCTGGAATGCCAGCAGCGGTTCCACGACGCTTGCCTCCGTCTTCTGTGCGCCCGCCATGACCGCGCCCCAGAAGCTCTTTGACCCCTCAGCGTACCGCGTTAGTGCCAAGAGGGTGTAGTCGTGGTCCATCATGCTCTCCGAAAGTCCGACAGGGTTTCCGGCGGTGATGTATGTATTGATTAGGCCCTCGAGTGCTATTTATTTTGTAAGATTAGCTTTTTCTGCAAAAAATCCCGACACTCCCGGGGGTAAGAATCGAACATACCGCTGACGCCGGCGCTGAGACGGGATGTTGCCTTGATGTACTCCTCGAGCCAGGCCTCGACGAGTGTGACTTGCTCGGCATAGTGGACGACGGTACCGCGGAAGGTGGGGGAGTCGAGGGCGGCTTCGCGGAGAGTGACAGGTCTGGTCTGCTGTTAGTACTGGCTGGGGCCCTTGACCGGGGTGGTGGTGGGAGAGGAAACATACATTAGTGAAATCGGCCTGTTTAGCATCGTAGGTGCTGGCTGGGCACCACGAGAGGTGTATGTGTGTGTATTTGTGAAGTCTGTGGTGTTCAGGGGAGATCGTGGGAGGTAGAGAGCTGGGTACTCGGTTTGCTAGCTATAGTATGGTAGTGGGGAGTGCTGTAGACGTATGGGGCGAATAGGAGAGATGTCTCTTTCTGAAGCTCACAGGGTTTGCAGGTATGATGTAGGCAGGCAGGGAGAGCACTCTAGAAGAAACCGTCGAGGTGTCGAGGGTGTGAGAGAGTGAATAGAAGGGGGAGTTGTTGTAGTCGATCCTTCTCGAGTCGAGTATATCGTGAGGGCAGAGAAGCAGAGCAGACAGATATTCCGAGCAGCAGTCTCGCTCCAGCGTGGTACAGACAGGAACAGGGCAGCTGCGTAGTCTGCTGTACGGGCAGGGATCAACCCTGGCTGGCGGGCCAGGACAGGACTAGCCTGCCCGACGAGTCCTGTCAGCCGGAAGGGAGAGCTCTATTTGTGGCGGCCTTCACCACATGCGCCACGTGCGGGAGCCACACACCGGTGGGCGTGTGAGCGAGCGAGCGAGCAAGGACGCGGGTGAGAGGCAGCAGAGCCGAGTGAGCGAAAGTGACGATACGCGCAGGAGGAAGGAGAGCCAATGGGCACACAGCAGTCGTCTCACAGCGGGGAATAAGCAATCTGGGAGAGAGGAGAGAGAGGATATGATACAATCAAGAGAGAACAGCAGCAGAAAGCAGAGGATAAAGCGGTAGAATCGCCATGCAGAGCGAGAACCCGTCGGCCGTGGAAGATAACGGACGAGTGATAGATTGAGAGTGCGAGCCTGGATCTCGGTATCTCTCTCGCTGACAGTTCCATTGTCTGAATAGAATGCTCCTAACCTCCTCCTCCTCCTCCTCGACAGGATTATAAAACCCAGCATTACAGGGAAACACCTCTCTCTCTCTCTCTCTCTCTCTCTCCAGTTTCTCCAGTTCCGATCTCCATTCTCCAATCTCTCTCCAGTTTCAAGAGTCCCAGAGATCCAGTTCCACCCAAAAACCAAGACACTCACACACACACACTCACACACCAGGATCCCCAGCCCGCCCGGTACCAAGAACGACTCCACCACCCAGACAGCTGATCTCATCTCGAGTAATCACACACTCACTCTCGCCCAACCAGCCATCTTTCCCAACCTTTCCCCCAACGTCGATCACTACGGAATCCGCACGTAACTTCCTTCCTTCCTTCCTTCCTCCCTTCTTTCCTTCCATCATCCTTCCCTTCCCTTCCCTTCCCTCCTTCTCCCCCTTCCTTCTATCCTCCCTCTCTCTCGACATCATATCATCTACATATACCCGGAGTGGGGATAACGAAACCTTCACTTGCACCCCTGTCATACGTCGGTCTACATCTACTACTTCTACAGTCTACAATACCCCCAGCATTCACTCACTGACAGGCTCGCCCTTGGTCTCACAGTCTCACCCACGCCTCACCACTCACCGCGTGCCTGACCCCCCAGCACTACTCCCACCTCACCTCACTCCAGACGCACAATGTCTCCCTCCCTCCAGCTCTCGATTCCCACAACCTCCCTCGCCACCTCCCCCGGCAAGCCCCACACCCTCTACCACATCAACCTCCGCCTCCCCCTCCGCACCCTTACCGTCCCCAAGCGGTACAACGACTTCCTCACCTTGCACTCGCAGCTCACCTCCACCGTCGGGTCCCCCCCGCCCCTCAACCCGCCCCCAAAATCCTACTTCACACGCACAATCTCCAACCCCGCCCTCACGGAGAACCGCCGCGCCGCGCTCGAAGCCTACCTCAACGCCATCCTCACCACCCCCGACGAACGCTGGCGCTCCTCCCCGCCATGGCGCACCTTCCTCACCCTGCCCAGCAACTGGTCCCCCAACAGCAGCAGCACCTCCCTCGCCTCCCCCACCTCCCCCAACCACCCCATCACCGACCCCGCCCACTGGCTCGACACCCACCGCGAGGTCAAAACGCTCCTCCACGACGCCCGCATGTTCCTGGCCAAGCGCGACCAGGCCGTCAGCGCAAACGACCAATACGAGGCCTCGGCGGGCGCCAAGCGCTGCCTCGTGCGCTCCTCGACGCTGATCGCTACGCTCGACGCAGCCCTCAAGGACGGCCGCATGGGCAGCAACAAGGAGGGGGGCGGCGAGCTGCTCGACGGCGAGATCCGCCGCCGCCGGGACCTCGTTGCGGCCGCGCGCAAGGAGCGCGATGGGCTGGAGTCGCTCGCAAACTCGATGGCGAGTAAGCGGGCGATGTCAACGCCGCCCGCGGCCGAGAGCGACCGTGGAGCGCTGTTCATGGGCGCGGGCGGCCGGCCGAGAGTGGGCGGCGGAAGGGTGTTGGGTGCGCCGCTGCCGGAGACGGATAAGACGCGGGAGCTGGACAATAGTGGGCTTGTGCTGCTGAACGACCAGTATATGCGTGAGCAGGACAAGGCCGTGGAGGGCCTGCTGGGCAATGTCACGAGGATGAAGGAGATTGGAATGGCTATTGGGTCGGAGATTGAGGTGCAGAACCGCATGCTGGCGAACATGGACCAGGATGTGGATAAGGTGGATAAGAAGATGCGGATCGCGAAGAAGAGGGTTAATGGCATCTCATAAGCTTTTTTACTCTTCTTCTGCTTCTGTGTTCGGTTTGGTGCGTGTGTGGGACTTCTTCTTCTTCTGGGCGGTTCTGTTTTTCCCGTGGGGCTTCCTTCTAGCTGTGGGCCGGGCTAGGGACTCGAAGGGCTGTAGATTTAGCAGGCGCGAGTTTGTCGTTCCTTTTCCTTTTCCTTTCCTTTGCGCTTTTGATGACTTTTTTCTTCTTTCCTCCTCTTGTCACGGTTTTATGGAGCGGTCTGTTTTTTTTTTTTTTAATGATCTTTATTCACTTCTCTTTGGCTTCCTACTATACTACTATTACTACTACTACTACTACTACTACTACACTTTTGGCTTCCTTTTTCTTCTTCTAGCTTTCGTCTTAAATCTCTGTACTATTAACGCGCTGTATCTGTACTTACATACATATCTAACAGCAAGCATGCAAAAAATGATAAACGATTTTTCTCTTCCCCAACCTCCCCATAGCTCCATAGCTACCTAGGTGTATCGATATATGTAACCCCAAGGCAGGTAGTAGGTCTCGCATCCAATAACGCGCCGCCATATCTCCATATGCGACGCAGCGAGACGTGGCATGAAACGTTACTCGGGGCCAATGATGCGTCTGTGTGGCTTGCTTACTTGCTTGCTGCTTGCTTGCTTGAGGTGGGTCATGGTGCGTCACTCGCACTGCGGGGTTTGCAGGGCGGCAGCGGCTTTGGGGAGGGGGGAGCGGGGTCGTAAGGTTAGGGCTGGGTGTGTGGAGGTGGCCTACTGGTATGAACGGCCGGCGCGGCGTGTGGTCGCTGTAATATGTGATCAATTGTGTTTTTATCAACCCCCCCCCCCAAAAAAAAAACCCCCACGACTACTACCACGTAGTCTCGATAGTAGCCGGCACCTCTCACATTACTTAGTACTTACAAACAGAGTCCTGCTACTACACCTACCCCATAAACTGGCGGGTTTCAATCAATAGCTATGTATGTACTCGTAGCTATCAACCAGAACCAATGGCTGGGCCCTAACATAGTATTCCGCGCGACCGTTTTTCTGTAACTCATGCTGTCTGTGATGTTGGGTATAGGGGAGCGGGGGAGGCATGTCACGGGGTGTCACTTGTGGGGATAATGGTGGGTGTGTGGGTAATAGGGTATTGGTATTGGGGTCATGGGCTGTCACTCGCTCTGAGAGCTTGGGTTCGTGAAGCATATTTGTTGTTAATTCATTTTATTGTACGCAACCCGAAGGCTATGACAGGCTCGTGGGGCATAGAATGCGAGTTAGGGTGGGTAAGTCTGAAGAACTGGTCGGTGGTAGGTATAGGTCGTGGAACGGCACCAGTTACCGACAGGTGGCCGAGGGGGTTGGTTTCGTGAAGCTACCGGTACGTCCTTGCGGTCAATGCCGAGAGTTAATTCGCTCTATAAGATGGAGTGTAAGGCGCATTTGTAGCTTTGTGGGATCGGCGCAAGGGTTCCCGATAGCATCGGGCTACATAGCTCGACCTCACGCAGTTTTCGCTTGAGGGGACTTATTCATTTGCTTTGTTCAATGCTGTTTTTATATATGAAATTTACCTATTTCTCGAAGAACTAGCTACTTGTAGCTCTCGGAGATGTGATATTTATGGGTCGGGGCCGGGCAGAGGTTGATGGTCGGTGATATCTGCCTGTACTGACTGACGATCATGATGACCATTGAATTCTAGTGAGAATCTACATGTGCGTATAGGTTAGGATTATAGACACCGTTGCTTCGTGATATGTGTATACTACTTTAGGTGAGGGAAATTAACGTCACCAACATCTAGTTGGTTTTCATCTTGAGTTATCTGTCCTAGCTGGACTTGCTCTTTAAATGTTTCCTTAGGCTCGATGACCCTCAAAACAAACAAGCTTCTCCTCACTCATTCCCTCACTGTCAACCGATTTGATTCAAGTTAAAATGCTTTTCCAGACACCTCTTTTACTTTGGTACACACTTCTAAGACCCTGCGGTCAACTATCGACATCACTAAAATTCAGGACACGTTACTGCTACTGAATAGTCTCGTGGCGTCCGCATATCCCGAATCTCTGTGCTTCGAGATACCTTCGAGAACCGGCTTAAAACCTGAGCCTGGTGTCTCCCCTGATTCCTCCATCCGCCCCAGCCAACCACTCCGGTCACCACCGCGTCACACTTCCCCCATTTCCAGCACAGGTTACGACAATCATTGACAGCCAGGGTTCTCGGCACCCACGTGGATCGTCCGGCTAGACCAACCCAATCCGCATAGTCTGCAGCTTACCGTCTTTCACCACCCATCTTTTCCCCCCCTTAGCCACGGCACTTCCCGCCAACTCTAATCCGACCACATCTCATACAATGGCGACCACCAGCAGCACCGCAACAACAGCGCCGGCACCACCAGCGACGCCCACAAAGAACCTGTACATCTGCATAGAATGCTCGTACCCCGTGCAGTCGCTCTACACGGCCTACTCCTCCGCCGACGATCGGTCCCTGGGGCGCGGGGTCCGCCTCACGCAGTGTCCGCGCTGCAAGCGCTTCGCCGACAAGTATGTTGAGCATGACTTTGTCGTGCTGTTTATTGATCTGGTGTTGATTAAGCCGCAGGTATGAATGATACTCGGGGGATGTGTTTGTGTTTGGTGGGGGGATGTCTGCGTGGGCGGGATAGGGATAGGGATAGGAGAGAGCTGATGGCGGAGGTGTATGTAGGTATATAGACATCTGCTGTTCAACCGTCTCGGCCGGCAGGACGACAAGTTCGAAGTATGTAGCGCTATCTACAATGCAGTGCAGAAAGAAGTACAATGCTAAATACTCATAGCCGTCCATAATACGACTTGGAATACTGCTACTCCTCTTTGACGTGTACTTGACGTGGGCGCGCATCGAGAAAGAGATTCCCCAAGACCCATTCAACACCTTCGGCATCCTCACAAAACAGCCAATTGTAGTCCAATACATGTTTTTCCGTACCGCCCCCCTCCTCCACCTTACCAAGTAACTCAGCGCACAACACAAGCTAACACACAACAGTACTCCTCTGCCTAACCGAATCGCTCCTCTTCCACCTCACCATCCGCCTCCTCTCCCGCTTCCTCTTCGGCTTCACGCGCCCCAACTCCGTCTCGACCGCACTGCTCGTCTCCTCGTGCACAAAGCTCTTCCCCATCCTCATGGTCATCTGGGAATACGACGTTCCTGCCGCGGCCAAATCCGTTGGCTGGGCGGTCGTCGTCAATAACGTCGAGGCGCTGAGGATACTGCTCGGTGTCGACTATGTGAGGGCCGCGGGACTGGCGGGTGCGGGCGCGGTGGTGAGAGCGACGGCGAGTCAGGGTATACTGGCGTGGACGGGGCTGCTGGGGAGGGAGAGTAAATGGGGTGTTATTGGGCTTGAGGAGTGGGTGGCGAGGTTGGGGTTGGGGAAGTAGAATAGATTGATATTGATGTAGGCATTAGAGGTAATGATGGGTTAGTGGGGTTAATTATTTGGTAATGGATAGGTCGAGTTAGAGGACTGGATAATGACTTGCGATTTGTGTGGTATTTAATGCCATTAGATGGGGAATGAATAATAAACCAGATGTCCCTATTTTAATCAAGGGTAGAAATAAAACCGAGTGAATAAGCCCGCTCATTGACTGGTAGCTACGAATTGAAAGTATAAGTGAGTCCACGGGTAAATGAGAGCTTCGTGCTTGTTTTTATGGCAGTTGCAAGGTCTAAAAAGTGGGCGAGATTGCTATTTCTTCAGTTCTATGCTGTACCGCTGGCCCGAATAAGTAACCAAGTTGCACCGTGTCACTCAGGGGGACTGTCAGACCTTATTACAGAGTAACAGTAGCTGCACATACATACATACATTCACGTGTATGGAATATCTAGCTCTACCGGGCGAGATGCTGTACTAACCGGATGATTCCAGATATCGGCCGATAACAGGCCTGTCCCATCTGGTGATACAGCTGTCAATGTTGTCTTTCCGGGTCTTCTGAACCGCTTGATCTGATAAGGGTGGCTTGGGTACAGTACATGTAAACCTACTAGCTAGTCCAGTTTAGAGGCTTGAATAAGCCATTGAAGTGCTCAAAATTGAGTAAGAATGATTGCTTCTAGATCACAAGGTAAAAGAACATCCTACAACCGGCTCCCGATTTTAAATTTATATTGTATAACGTATTATAGAAGTCTAGACTTGACTTGATCGGATTAAGGTTAATGAGCTTAACACGACTAGAGGCGGATGAGCATGTCGAAGCGTTTACCTATTTTTTGGTTCCCGGTGTATTCCTCTAATCGAAGTATTTGTTAGAGTATCTAAATGTTTAGATTATCTGCGTTGATTATGACGAATAAAGAGACTCCTTTCGACAGCTCTATTTTTTGCACTTATATTCATAAGATATCACTCGATGCTTAGAATAGGGACTGGGAAAGTGTAAAGAATTTGTGTAGCCTTAGATGAGGCGTAGGGGAAAGGGGGAATAAATCCCGTCTTTTGTTACTCCATCTAGCTTCGCCATGATCTTGAAGGCCGTTTCCTTTGGTTTTTCGTTTGGTTTTCGTTTGGTTCGATGTTGTCCACCACACTCATGGCTTGGCGTCGTAGCAACTATTCCACCAAGGGTACTTTCGTTCACCATAACGTTCACACAATCCATTCTCATCCCTGTTTGACCTTTTAGACGAGGCACCCACTTCTGGTCGTGGCACATGCCCGCTCATGGCTTCCGCTCCTCTACTTCTGGTGCTAGGGTGTATCCATTTGCTGCATGTATGTAGCCGGAGAATAGGTAGAGTAGCTGAGCATGTGGCCAAAGCAGAACTATGCCTGACGGCCATGCAAGGCATTTACAGGTATTGAGGCTTCAAGGCTAGAGCAGAGATAGAGGTCGGGCTGGCCCTGTAGCCGCAGCGGTGCAGAAATGGCCGGATCAATTCACCACCCCCGCCAACCAGCATACATACCCGCTTTATTACCGATCCGCCTGGCAACCCAGGTAGCTGACTTATGAAACCAGCAATATTGCGCATCTATTAGGGATTGTGCCCGCACCCCCGAGATCAACATTCTATTTTAGAAGAAGAAGCTTTGACGAGATCTGAATCTATGTTTATTGAATGGATATACGGTATTATGCTACCTGGATAGCGTTAATGTTTGAGTGTAGCAAATTCCTGCGCGACTCACACATCCTCACGCCATCCCGAGAGTTTCAACAACATCCACACTAAACACATTCAGGAATTTAATCCATAAGGAGCCGGGCAAGACTATTGGACGGTAGATAATAGCGCATTCTAGAGCGATAAGCTATGTAGTCGATTCATAAGCTGCCCAAGCGTCGTTATGAGGGGACGTTGTTTGATATCAAGCCGGTCAGCCATGATAAATCATGTCGGCCGCCTTCTTCATTCAAATGCGGCCTAAACCCGTACCTACATCTGTCAGGCCCAGTTTCTCGGAATCCGAGGCTTAAAGACAGGTCAGGGTCGGATAGTTTGTATGACCGAGTTCAAGGTCACAGCCTCGGCGCCTCGGGCCCCGAATTTTCTATTACTAACCAGATTGTCAAAAAGAAAGAGAGAAAGAGGTCCAACCTTATTATCCTCTCATTTCAGCTCTGTGGATGTGTATCAAACATCATTAATCCCCCTCCACGGCACTTCAACTTCAGTCCTTCAGTCACATCTTCACAGCCCCACTCCTCACCCCCCCCCCCAATCGGTAGTATTCTTATCTACCCCTTTATCTAGATCTCATCGACCGATCGTACCTCACCTCAGGCTCGCCTATTGTGGCTGCAGGCCGCGGGTTTTTTCGCATCCGAAATATCCGATTCATACTTCATCACTCGGACTCTAGGTCAGATTCCAGGTCACGTCAAGCATAGTTATTAAAGTTATTACCCCGCGCCGTGGCGGCTGTTATCAAAGACCCCTGCTTGACCAGACAGATACGATATGGCCAAGACTTGGTGCCGAGATACCGAGGTGAGACTCATTCTCAAGATGCCCAACTGCTGGATCTGCGGAATGCATGTCGGTCAGTTGTGTGAGAAAAGCTGTTTGAGGGGTCGGGATGCATGCAGTGCTACTATAACTTAAGGTTGGGGCTCATATTCACCGGCCTGAAGTGGTTGTCGCAACCAGAGCATTAACAAAATCCTCGTGTTCGTATAAAAGTTTGAGGCTTTTCTCTGCTTTTTAACTCATAGTCCTTTATATAAAACCCATATGGCAGCGCCCAGAGTTACGATTTCATCTGCTTGATGATCAAGCTTTTGTGACAAGCGCCAGATACGGGAACCTAAGAATGGTTAGCTCGAAAAGCCATAAACTTAAGCTCAAACAGGAGCACAGGTGGAAGTCACGAGCCGCAAAACGTAAATCCTGTTTTCTTCTCTCTAGCTAGGACTGGGTACTAATATATGTCAGAGTGACGCATCGGCTTTCAGTAGTAATAGCTTGAGACAGGGAAATCATGAAGCGAGACATACACTTCATCAGGCATGATTTTCGCTACTAATTATTATTGATTAGTAGTATTTTCCGAAAAGGGTTTACCAAGCGATGTGGTAAGAGCGCGGGCTCTATCAACTGACTATGCCCGTGAAAGAAGTCAAGTACCGAGAGGGTATTCACACATATAGCCCCATTTTTGAGGTCTATTATTGTATGTAGTCCATAGTCAACGCTATGACGGCTGTAGGGTATCACAACGTTGAATATACTTTAAAGCCGGTGCAGTTGAGGGCCTAGCCAGTCTTAGGATAGAACTTATAGTTTACATATAGAGAAAGTCGTGTAGTCTCACGATATGGGCTGTTCCCAGAGGATTGAGCGGTGGTTTATTCAGAAGTTGAAGAGGATCTAGGATCGAAAATAAGAGACCAAGGCGGCGCAGGCCGTTATACCTGCCACGATTCACTATGTAACAGTACAGTGAGCGGATATTACATCCGGGGAAGATATACTTTTCACTGGAAGGCCAGGTAACTCCTCTGATGGGAGATAGAATATCAATTTTATGATTCCAAGTGGCTCGAGAACGGTAAACGTTAAACCGCGTGGCCGACAAAAATAAATCGCTAATATTACCCACGAGAGAAGTCCCATGAACTGATTACCGTTCATTACCATGAACGCCCAGTAGCAATTCCTCCTTCATTCTTCATTATAAAAAGTCCCATATAGCTATTTGCATACGCTAATAAACATTCAAACAAAAACAAAACAAATTAAAATCAATGAAAGGTCTATAATTCATCGTGAACCCTCTCAACTTCAATACCCGCCTCCTCCCGTAAACTATCATCTACTACAGGGTCATACTCCATTATCCGCGATTTAGGGTTTTTGCCTTGGGATTCTTCGGCCGCCTGTGCATTGGCACGTCTTTCTTCTTCTTGGTCATATTCCATTCTCCTCGATTTAGGGTTTTTGTCTCGGTGGGGTGGTTCCTCGGTAGGTTGCGCAACGACTGTTTCTCCTGGTTCGTAGTCCATTCTTCTTGACTTCATGTTCCGCGGCTCCGATTCCTTTTGAACACTTTCCGGGAGAGAATCCTCGTGATTAATTTCACCCTTTTGTGGCTCTGATTCTGGTATATCATGGACATCTCCATCGCCAATACTACCCGATGGAGCTTCCTCAAGATCTATGATCTTCTCGACCTTCTCTCTCATTGACTCTTCCCTCGTCGACCCCTGCATGGCCTCAGAAGCTTCCGGCATGGATGATGCCGTTGACGATGGTACTCGTACCAGCAGGCTTTCCGGAATTCCCTTAACCTCCACAGTCGGTGTTGCGCCCACAAACCCGCTCTCATCAAGCCCGGCCCCCCGTCTTATCTCGGCAACCCCGCCATCACCGCCCGACCCAATAACCCACGCTACACATGATAGGCCCCACCATGCCAACCTCAATGGCATGCCAAAGAACAGATAGATCGGTCCCCACAAGAGTCGACGGATCAAGATCCAAACAAGAATGCTAACGAGAATATAGATAGCATGTTCAAAGTACCATCTATCACTTTTGTTCTTCTTGATTAAGTCTGAAATCAGCACTCTCGACGACGCAACAATATCATCGAAAGCGCTGTACCGGGACGACAAATCTGTCAGCGCAGCGGTGGATGCATGTAGCGTTTCCGTCGCAAACGCCGAGCGCGAGAGCTCCGATTGCAACAACGTATGTGTACGCCGTAGCGCAGTGGTGACATCGGTCGACGCACCGATCAGCAGGTCCGCCTGTGTCAGGCTCTTGTTCCGCCGCTTGCCCTCTGGCGTTGAGCGGCCCGACCCACCGCCGCTAAGTAGCCGTTCCCGCTCACGCTGTGCGGTCATCTCAGCGAGCCGCTTCGATGCGAGTTGGGCCTTTCGGTATTGGAGACGTGCACTACGATCACCTTGAATCAGGCCTGTTTATTCCCAGCGCTCACCCCACTGCTAAGTTGAGCTTACATTTTCATATCCTCCGTCAGCTTGTGAATCTTTGAGTTCAGCGCTGCTGTATTCGGCGAGCTGCCGTCGCCGATTTCATCGTCGACCTGTGTTGAGAGTAGTTCAAGCTCCTGGTCGGCGTCTTTCAGGGATTGATGGATCACGTTAGATAGTTCGAGGCGTGCAGCGTCAGTTCCGGTACCACCGAGCTTTGAGAGTCGGGATATGAGGAGCATGCACTGTTTTTTGGGGGGTGACCTGTTGTTAGCTATTGCTACTAATGCCACGTTTCAATAATTCAAGATAGAAGACTGACTTCTCGGTGAGCATCGGTTAGGGAGGCTATTCGTTGGGAGATTTCAAGAATTGTCATTGTAGATATCCGGTGAAGAAGAAGTTACCGTGTAGAATTCTGATCGGAATGAAGATTAATTTACACGGTGGGATGGAGAGGTCCCAGAAAGACGTTGTGTTAGAGTTGTTTGCACGTGGCCTGTGCGCTAGCTAGCTCTTGGCTGTGGGTTAAGAAATGGGTTGGTGGTGACGTCGACACGACACACGACACCGCCAACAAAACAACGAGTGCGAACCAGTGAACCCGGTGAGAGTGTCCCTGCCAATGGCACACCTTTGCGTACAGCACACAGGTACAGTAAGTAGTTACAAACAATCGTATAAACCAACCACACCACATTCCAATGAGTAGAACCCATAGGCGAGCGTTACATTGAAATCAGACCTTTCATAATACTATTTCAATTAGAGCATCAAACCCCAAATCCTAAAACTTCCTCATTCCTCCTGGCCCCGTCGTCTGATCCTGTCCCATCTTTTTGATCTTCTCGCTACTCTCCACATAAGCGCCTCTTGCATCCTGCCACACACCTCTTCCCATGGTGTTCAAACAATAGTCCACAATCCCCTTCAACTCCCGCTTACTCTCATTCTCAAGTCTCGTCTGTTCTTTCTCCACCCCTTCGCCCTTCTCTCCCTTTCTGAGCCTTTGGTCCAAGTCTTGCACCTCCGAAATGAACTTCTCCGCCTTCCCACCCTTGACACCTTCTCCCTTACCCCATACCTTCTCCATCACCTCGGTGTCGCTCACGTCCTTATACCATGCCCGAGCATTGTCATAATCCCCCTCGATGCGATGCAACACCCCGTGGAGGAACATCCCTTCGGCAGCGGGCAAGGACTGCATTTTACGCACGAGGAAGTGTGCAGATGGGAGGTCATAATTGAGGATATGAAGGGCAGCCTCGAGAGCAGGATGCACACGGAGAGAGGAAATTGGGTCAGCAAGTGAGGGCGTATGTGGTTTTGGAGGATGCAGAAGGGGAGGCCTGAAAGAGAGCGTCTTTGCGTAGAGATCGTCGAAGGCTGAGCTTCGAGTCTGAGTTTCAGTAGAGGACATTTTGCGGAGTATTTGGAATCTCAATGAGGAGTAGATTCGAAGCCGATGCATTTCGTGAGCTTTGGGAGTAGAGGCAGCGGAGGAGGAGTGATATATCAGACCACCTGAGTGGTGATGTCATTTTGTTGAAGTGGAAGCCGGACAGTGCTAAAGTGCTAGTATTCTCCGTGGTTCAGTTATTCCGATCCAGATATTCCGGCTCTAATTGGTGGCGATAGTTAATGTTGTGGTCGAAGTAAGTAGTGCATAATTATTGCAATATCGATCATTGACCCAAAGGAATCCACATTTTGGGAAGAGGTACCAAGGTTAACACTAGCGCCGAAGCACCATGAGTATCAAAGCCTCAATCGTCAAAAACCACAGATTCTGCAATACTATTGTTTAAAGTAATTATATCCCGTAACTCTGTAATTAGTCTAAAGGGGACTCGAGAGACATGTTCGGGGGTCGGAGGCCGCTGCCCCGAGGTATGTACTGGGATCAGTCCTGAATCAAACAGAAATAAATCAATGAGGAACTGATAGGCGAATTGCTAAGATGAAAGTATGGTCATAAAATATGAGGGCGACTCCTCCACTGGTAATTGCAAGACGTTTTCAGACCGGCCTGAGTCGGAGTATCTCCAAGGCCGGCCGCTTACGTAGGCTTCTAGATTAGCGAGCTTGCACAGTGCCGAGAAGTGGCGCAAATACGAGCTGAATCCAGTCATTCGCAGAGTCAAATGGAGAATAGATCAGGGATTTCTTGTGAGGCTGTCCATTGGACCGGTTATGCCGATTAGTTTGATTTAAATCTATGTGTGCTCGTGTTCTTCAGAGTGTATGTGATGGGAAAGAAGGAGATATGACAGGTGACGGTTACCAAAGCTTGATATATACTGTACTCCATCCCATATGTCTCCATAACCTTAACAGGGTGTCCTTTTGGTGTGTCACAAAGTCACGTACAGCCTCCGGTAGAATTATTGCGGAAATGTGGCGTTGGAGAATCGCTCTGTTCTCGGCGTGATCGTTGTCCCTGTTTTCCACAATAATTCTACCGGAGGCTGTACTACGCGGTAGCGCCTTTTCTGGGTTTATATTCATCGTTACCTGTGCAATAAATTGCAATTTAAAAGAACGAGTGATATGCTATGAAACAGAACGATCCGCTGGTCAGGGTAAAATGACTCAGGGAACGCTGCAATGACTAAAACCAATTGGTCGGTCAAGCTGCTCTCTATCAAGCGCATGCAGATCTTAACTCCGTTGGCTGCTCAATGCCAATCGAGATGACACATTGTATTCTATATACCTAGTAGATATTCCCCCTCACCCTTACCTTAGCAGATTATCTGATCAGAGCTACCCAATACGAGCATATGATATATTTTCTAAAATGACCTGTCGCTGAACTATAGATCAGATAAAAGGCAGGGCTTGAACACCAGATACTGTGGAGGTAAGTCGGGTGTTACAATATCTCCGGGATAGTACGGCGATTGAATCGAAAGTCCGTATTCATAAAAATCCGCATGAGTCATGCAAGCCAGTTTCTGCAGTAATGCAGGTCACACTGTGCAGTGCGATACGCAAGGCAAATAGTGCCATGTTGTGACGGGCTATCATTGGTAGGGTGCAGCGGGAAGTGGAATAATTCAATATTACAGTACAAGTGCAAGTAAGCTTAAATATAATGTGGGTAGAAGCTGGCCTGAAAAGAAACACAAAAACCATGGCCATGAGGTGGGGATAGGCTGGTTGACGAACTGAAAGGAAAGAATACTTAGACTTAACATTCCTGCAAATACCAAGTATGATTTACGCCTACAGACTGCGCTGGATTATGCAAGGCCGGCTAGACATTCATGCAGACACCTGGAAGAATGGGGATTTTAGCCATATATGTACAATTATTCGCCTAGGTTTAGGACTAGTAACATACCTTCTGGTGCCTCTCAACCGCGCGCTTCCAAAATTCTTCCAACATCTGATGATACTCGTTTACTACTTCAAAGTGCAGACAATGCCCCACACCCTCAAAGACCCTTTTCTGGACGCCTCCCTTGATACCCTGTACAATGACATCCGAATGCCTATGCTCAATTAATGCATCATTGGTTCCCGTGGCCACTAATATATCGGAGATTTTTTCGCCGAGCACCTTCAGTCGTTCGGGGCCAAAGTAATGCCAGCTCACAGCAAGCCCTTGAAGAAGTGTCCCTGCGTAGACAGGAGCCTGCAGCTTCTCCATACGCCAGAGGTCCTCGGCAACGAAGCGGTCGCCGTTAGTGGAGAATTCACCAAGTTCGTCGGGCGCGAGGAGCCATTCGGGCGAAAAGAGATTTGCTTTAGCAGCTTCGAGACGCTCAACGAGTGGTTTAGGTCGGATCATCTCGATACGGCGGGCAATGTGTGAGAGCCATGGCTAGTGTGAGGAATTGAGGAACTAGTTCAGCACAGAGACTCAACGGAGAATTAAGAGCTTCGTATTATTGCCTCGTACGAGGAATATTCTCGACTTACAAGTGTGGAGACTAGGCTTGAGGCTGTGCTCTGGAGAGTGAGAGAGGCGATACGTTGTGGTATAAGATACGCCCTAACCCCCACTGCTCGTTAAATTGCAAATACTTAAGCCAGTCCCGAGGATATGGTCTCTGGGCACAATATACGAAGAGGCATACAATTCTTGGGAAATCATCCCTGTGAGAGTAGTGGGTAGAAATAAGCTTGCGTGTTCCATATAGATAGATAGGCCTAATTAATGGGAAAGGAATGTTTACTACTCACCTCCCATGGAGACACCGACCACATGGAGCTGGCGAGTCTTGGTCCAACCTATGTGGTCCAGAATATCGATAACATCTTTGGCCATTTCACTGGTGGAGTATTTGACAAGTGGTTTGTCGCTGTCGCCAACACCTGAGGGTTGCATTGACCATTTTAGATAATTGTTCCTCAGGTATCTTATTTCCTAACATAAGGAAGCAACGGCAGCTGCAGTCTTTGTTCGGGGAGAAAACTGCAGCCTCGAGTCAAAGGGCTATAGTAATATTACTTTACTGACCCCGATTATCAAATACCAATGATGTGTATTTGTTACCATGTTTATGTCCACTACATGTAGTAAGATATTAGCACTGTTACTCACAGTTTCACAAGGACACAAGGAAAAATAAGGCCTAGATAAGACCTACAAATATTTTATTTGCTGCAGTAGCGAGAAAAAAGCAACCAGGAAAGGAAACAGTTAGAGAAGGTTCCGTTTCAATCTAAATAAGTTGGTTGCCCAATCAAGGAATCTCTTACACGATACCACGCAATTTTGGGAGCGTTTAGCCCCATTATCCACTACGTGACAAGCAATCAGCAAAATTGATCTAAAGGACCCCAATAAACGACAATCGACAAGACAAACGTGGGCGCAGTCCGCTAATCATTCCCGCTATCACATCAAAAATAACAATAATTGCGAGGACGTACCACAAGATGAACGGGACCCGTCCCGTGGACTTCATACGCAATTGCCATCGGACCGCCAGCCCTGTCAATCGCAACTGGTGCATTCCCTTGACGATCTGGGGCGTGGAACTCCAAGACCGTGGGGAAGGCCGGATGAGCCAAAATCTCCTTGATAGTCAACGGTTTGCTCATTGTACTTAACCTAGGTTCAGTTGTTCTGGTTGCAGCGTTGGGCGGAATCTAGTAGTATTTCGATGCCACAAAGGGAAGGGTAGAGAGGTCCGGAGGGAACAGCAGCATTCAGGAACCAACAAACGCGACAGCAAGCTAGAAACCCGGGAAAGACAGCACCTATTTTTGATGGTTGATATCGAGAGGCTTGTCAGGGGTGAGAAGTGCAGACTCCAGAGGGGCTCAACCACCCGTCGGTGAGAATAGTCAATTCGGCGACGAAGCCGAAAACGAATACGAGACAGACAGCTTGCCTGGGGAATATTTCACTGACTAAGCTATGTACAAATATTTATCTATTCTACATGTAACTTTTCTCGTCCGAAGGCTAGATGCCTAATCGGCCGAAAGAAATCACTCGCTCGCGTATCGCAATCGACGTCCTGGATTTTCTGCGCGGCCACTGCGGCGGGACCTACTTTACTACATATGACCATGCTTACTGTTATATAATACGAGTGTATGAGAGTCATCACACACACAAATAGAGACATGTACCTACAGTACGACTCAACTCTTTCAATCTGTAAAGAGATGCTATTGCAGCGGTAGAGATGCGGGAGTAACGTAAAATGCTTAAAACAATGTCATATTAGATATCTAATGTGCATATGTGACGTTGTTGATCGGGTTTTCCATCGCATTCCGTATAGATCTAGCGATAGTGACTAGGTACAGGATTTTATGCAGTAGGCATCTTGTGTGGGACAGGAACAGAAATGTGCTACCAAAATGTTAAAACATTGAAAGGGGGGACCAGTGTCTCTGTACTGAGACTGTCCGCATGCGAGCAGCAGCTAATAGTAAGTTCCAAAGTACCTGAAAACGAGATTCTGAACGCGTAAGCTAATCTCGAGAACGTGTTTATGAATTGAGGCTGAGGGCATGGCAGGAGGAAAGTGGAGGGTCTGTAAATTGTAGAGTGCCCAGTCTGGGGGAAAGAGAAAGAGTTAAGTAACAATTGTAGGTTGTCCCAGGTCAAAGCTCAATCCATGGACTTGGCATGTTTCTGCCAGGAGCGGAGGTGTCAACTTCTTAAAGGACAAGCTTGAAAGGTGTAAAGTGAAAAGAGGAATAGGATTTATTTAACTCGCCTTTTCTAAACATCCTCCCGAACTTTCTTTGCTAGCGAGTCACCATTCAATCAGCATATTCGATCCAGTTTATTCCTTGCTAAGGTATCACAGGGTGTGGTAGAGTAAAAAAGGCGGGATTGTAGTTGTTCCGGCGCGCGCAGACAAGGGACTCCGAGGCTCCGGGGCCGGACTCACACGACAGGGCCTGCAACAGCCTGCAATAGTCTGCTAGCCCACATACTATTAGTCAGGACCGTACTTGCACTTTTTTGCCTGTAAATTGTGAGCCTGTGACTTCATTAGCTTTCAGCCAGCCAAAGAGCAAGCATTTACCTCGTTCGAGGAAACCTTCCGCTTTACAATCACTCCTAACTGCATCACACTTGCAGGTACCCTTCCTCCCCTCTACCCCCTACGTAACTTAGAACTACCCTAAAAAACCCTCTTTGTGCTCTATTCCTCTATTTCCAATTATCTCCGAGTCATCAAAAGCCCTATACCTCCCACCCCCCACCCACTCACTTGTCTAATCTTCTCCCCGAAAACAGACTAGAACACCAAAGAAGCTCTATCGTCTTTTTCCTTTTTTTTTTTTTCCCTTTCCTTCTGTTGCTACGGTACTTGGTATCCGCTCACATGTGCCGCTGCCATTGCAGTACATATCAATCACACTCCTATTCGGATTAGTTACCAGTCTTCTTTACATACATATCATCATCGGATCAGATCCTTAACACTATCCGCCGCCACCCCATAGAACATTTTCTACTACTCTTACTTTACATCCAGACGGAAAGGGAAGCAAAAAAAAAAATAATAATCTCATGGCTGCTCACAGCATTGTGAATCTCTCCCCGTCACCAACCACTTCTCCAACCTTTCTCGGCAACGGAGGTGCGCCCATCCCCGCCGCTATGTTTAATCCCGGACACGCTTCGTCCGACGATGGAGGAACCGATCCGAAACGCAGGAGGATTGCGAGAGCTTGTGATATGTGTAGGAAGAAAAAAGTTCGCATGTTCTCTTGTCCTAGACTCCCACATCATCGGATAATGGTGGCAAACCTTAAATTACTCAAGCTTATTGTTATGTTCTGGAATAGATCAAATGTGATGGTAAACTACCGTCGTGTACACATTGTGTGAACTACAAAACAGAATGTGTCTTTACCTTGGTTGAGAAGAAAAGAAATCCCCCCAAAGGGTTGGTCAAGTCTTGAGTTCCTCATTCGAGCTCGACCGCTGACATATGACATAGTGCAAAATATATTGAAGGATTAGAAAATCGGCTCGGAAGGATGGAGTCTCTCCTCAAGTTGTCCGGTTTGTTACCAGAGGGTGATGGGAAGACGGATCTGGGGGATTTGGAACGCCGTTTACAAGATCAGGTACAGCAACAACAGGCTGCTAGCCAGAACGGATCTGTATGTACACCCACTGTTGGAAGGTCGTCGTCAGAATCAATGCGGGAGACTCCGACCTCGTCCTCGATGCACTCAGTTACAAATTCCCCCGCAATCTCTAAAGAGGAGGATGAAGTGGAAGCCTTGTCGGATCAGATGTGTTCTTTAGTCACGAATAATTGTGGAGAGACACGATTCATTGGTATATACTACCGAAATGCTGCTATTTTTCGTGTTTAAGACGGCTGAAGGGATTTTCTAACCAAGGTCTTATTCAAGGTTCCTCATCGGGATTTTCGATATTTTCACCAAAGGGAATTCAATGGGTAAATGAAAAAACAGGTGACAAGAGTTTCCAGCAAATGATCATGGAGGCCACGTCGGCAGACTCAAAATGGTCTATGTGGAAGCAGGATATATTCGGCCCTCTGTTTGAACACCGAGGGGAGAATGAGCTGCCAACCAAAGAGGTAGCATCTGTGCTTGTACAAGGTGAGACCTTTTTTTATTTTGTAATTCGCTCAAATGTACTTGCCTGTGTTGTTTGGGAATTGCGTCCTCATTGCTTCTTCTGTCATCTAGATTTTTTCCGGTATTTCAATGTTTGCTTTCCGCTTTTTCATAAACCCACTTTCGATGCTTTATTTGAACGACACTATTCGGAGACCCCTCCACCGAAAGACTCCGGATGGTATGCGGCTTTCAATATGGTACTTGCGATTGCGTTGCGAATACAGATTTCACATCCCGGATTACCGGACGAGGATACTGCTACCTCCCATGTACAAGAGTCATGGCAATTTTTTCAGAACGCAGCTTCTGTTCTTACTGAATTGCTTTTAAAGAACACTGATTTAGTCAGTATACAAGCTATATTAGGGATGGTACTGTTCAAACTCTTTCTTGTCAGCGTGATAGAAGCATATCTTTCATAATATTGACTGTGATCTGTTTCTTATTTAGGCTCTTTACTTGCAGGGGACTGCCAATCCACAGCCTTCCTATTTCCTCATTGCTGCAGCAGTGCGGATATCGAATAGCATTGGCATGCATCGAAGAGGTAACTCATTTGGATTGAATTCCGTCGAGGTCGAACAACGACGACGGGTTTTTTGGATCATGTATCTCCTTGATAAAGACATGGCACTCCGCTCTGGACGTCCACCGTGTATCAATGACGATGACATCTCCGTTGAATTACCCGACGAAGACCCCGCCGATGATATTGGCAACATCATGCTCAAGAACGGCAAAGACAAGTGTAACCTCTTTAGACTTATGGCCACATTTTCGGTCATTGAGAGCAAAGTCTATATGCAGCTCTATTCCGCCAAGGCTGCTAGGCAGTCTGATGGAGAGTTACTGAATACCATCGGAGATCTTGACAAAGAGCTTGAGGAATGGAAGGAGTCTGTGCCACTGGAGTATAGACCGGATAGCGAAATTGATCTTAACCAGGGACCGTTGGTGCTTCATCTAGTCATGTTACACTTTGCGTACTACAACTGTCTCACAACAATTCATCGCATGTCGATACATCATGGCTACTGGTCCAGCAGGCTTTCAAATTACGCCATAGCTGGCCTGAGTGCACGACCACTCAATCCACGTGTCTTCTCGAGTGCAGCGCTCTGTGTGGCTGCGGCTAGGTCGTCGATCCACTTGATTAAGTATATTAACAGACGGGATTATCCTTGCATATGGTAAGTGTTTCCATTTTTAGCTCGTCTTCATGCAAGAGAGTATATCGTTATAATTTTGATTCACTTATACATATAGGATGTTATGCAGGTTGATCATGTACTATCCCGTATCGGCACTCGTAACCCTCTTCGCCAATGTTCTTCAGAACCCACAGGATGTTCGCGCAAGGAGTGATCTGAGACTTATGAATGTGGTCGTGGAGTTTTTACAGACTGTGCAAAAGGAGGATGATAGCAACAAGCAAGACACTGCATCCGTACAGCGGATGCTTGCAGTCTGCGGCGAATTCCATCGAATTGCCAAACTAGTGTTAGACAAGGCGGAGAATGAGAATGTCAGTAGGAGGAAGAGGAAGAATGAGGACTCCAGGCATAGTGTCTCGTACCCACACAAGCACGATGCATCGAGTTCCCCTAGAACAAATATACCACAGACTACATCACCAAGGACCGAGACTGCGTCGCCCCCTACTAGTGTATTGAATCCAGAGATAAATTCTCAGGTATGTTTACACTCCCCTGATCATTACCTCCTTATTAACATTCCACTAACTCAAAAATCAGCTCTTTGGAGATTATCCAACCGCCTTTTCCCCTTCTAACCCTCTCTCATGGCTCAACGAGATGAATACCCCCGCATCAACCTTTCCCGTTTCTCCAAATGCGGGTCATGTAGGTTTAGATACACAAGGCCTGCCGCAAATGTCAGGTAACTCGTTCCAACAGCCGTTCGTACCGCAGGATTTGTGGCAGATGCCGATGACGTTTGAGTGGGACTGGGCGGACGTGAATACTCAAGTCCCTTGGGGACATGATGGTACTAGCGGATTGTAGTATATGCGGAGATCCGAGGGAGCGAAAGGTATTGCATGGATAGAGCGATGTCGACCAAAATTTCCATGTGTTTGTTTGATTTTCATCGGAGTATCGGGTTTTGGGCATTTTTTTCCAAACATCTTTTGGTTTTCTTTATTACATCTTTCTACCCCCTTTCTTTTCTACTCCACTCTCGTCGATAAGGCATGCTTGCACGCATGAGACAGCTTTACTCCACTCACTTGGAGCAACAAACTCTACTCAGGTAATGTGCGAATAGTTAATCTTCTCTCCCCTACGGCTGAGGGTAAAGAGAATGGGTGGAGGAAATGTATGTATTATGGGACGGGTGATATGTTTGGATGATTTTACATCAACAGCGATGATTCTTTTACAACGATCGATACTATTATATTAGGCAGGTTTGGTTGGGTCGGGTACGGGTATTTTAGTTTTTTTCTTCTTTCTTTAACTCTACTTTCTTTTGTTCTTTAATGGCATGTGGTACATATACGATCGTGATGTATTTATGTACGCTTTGTAGTGGTGCAAACTGTTCTGGAGTTTATCGGGGTCATCTTTTTTAGGCATAAATACTCTGCTCTAGTGTAAACTATCATCAATTTTCTCATTCTCTCATTTCCTGTTGTTTTTAGGATTTCTCGGACGATACGGACGATAGGGGGCCATAAGGGTTGGGTGGTTCTCGGGCGATAGAGATTTGTAGGGGAGGTCAAATAGCCATGGTCGCTCCCTTAGTGGGTCTGGGCACCCCAGTCATTGGCTGTCACTCGATACATTGACCAGCGGTCGTCTTAAAAAGGAAGCGCTGAGGTTTAATTCAACTCCCACTTGAATTCGAGAACTCGAACATGTGAGACAAAAACGGTCCTGGACAGCGACATGGGTGGTCCCCGATACCTAGTCACGATGCATGTACCTACTAGTATGGAGATATGATTCCTTTAACACCGCTTTGCACTAGGCCCTATCTGACTGCGGGGCGAGCTCGCTTACTAATCCCAACGTGGAGTGACGAAAAATGCAACTCCCGACCGACACCGGATTTCCGCTGCAGCTTCCAACCACACCGCCACCCCACACAACAACCTCCATCATCCACATCTGATTCATCCATCTCATCTCATCCTCACAACCACCACCCCGCCTATACCCTCCGTATCGCATCAATCCGCCCCTTGCAGGGCTCAGTTCGTCACAGCAATGCTTCCGCGATCCCGAATTCTCGCGAGGCATTCGGCGGCGCCGACTCGAGCGTTGCTTCAGCGGTCCTCAAAACTCTGCCTTCGTACGCCGGGGCTGGTAACCCCTCTAAGTGTTTACGGTGGTATTGCAGCGCGGAGGTCGTATGCTACTGTAAACAAGGGACCTGGACAGGGTGGTGATAACAAGGACAAGAAGGCTCCCGGTTCCTCGAAAGTGCCCCCGATATCAGAATTCAAGCCGGAGCAGTGGGATAAACTTCACCCCGAGCACCAGAAGTTGGTGGCTTTAATTATCCGCGATGCCGAAGCGACATGGAACAGCTGGCCCATAGATCAGAGGAAGGCGTTCATCTCAATGGTTGAGGATGCGAGCAAAAAGGCGGAGAAACTCTCCAACTTACCGTGGATGCCGAAGGTTGTTAAGGATATGGCATCTCTTTTCGGGTTGAGTGCGGGGCCCCAGAACACGCAGCACAACAAGGAGGCAGGCCAGAAGCAAAGCAAAGAGGAATCAGAGAACAAGGGGAAAGAAGAGAGCGGAAAAGAAAAACAGGAACACCGAGGGAAGCAGGGAGAAGCCGAAGGAAAGGGTGCTGACGGAAAAATGCCATTTGGGCTTCCTAATGATGGCAAAGGTGGACCCCGAGAGTTCAAGCTTGATTTCACCAACCTCCTTGCCACAGCCGTTATTTCGTTATTTGTATATCAGTTTCTAGTTCCAGGCCAGGAGGCTAGGGAGATCACCTGGCAGGAATTCCGGAACACTTTCTTTGACAAGGGCCTTGTCGAGAAGTTAACTGTCGTGAACCGCAGCCGTGTGAAGGTCAATCTTCACAGGGCGGCTACTGCCCAGATGTACCCTGACTCACCCGCCGCTGGAAACCCACAATTTTACTATTACTTCAGCATTGGTTCCGTGGAAGCTTTCGAACGACGATTAGATGATGCGCAGAAGGAATTGGGTATTCCTAGCTCCGAACGAATACCCGTGGCTTACAAAGACGAAATCTCTTGGGCAGGAACTGTTCTCTCATTTGCCCCTACGCTTCTTGTAATAGGATCTATCTTCTGGTTATCACGCCGTGCTTCCGGTGGTGCTGGTGGGCAAAGCGGTATCTTTGGAATCGGCAAATCCAGAGCCAAACTTTTCAACCAAGAAACCGATATCAAGACGAAATTTAAGGATGTAGCTGGTATGGACGAGGCAAAGGTGGAGATTATGGAGTTCGTTTCATTCCTCAAGCAACCCGAGCGCTTCCAGAAGCTTGGTGCCAAGATTCCCCGCGGCGCTATCCTATCGGGTCCTCCTGGTACTGGTAAGACCCTTCTTGCCAAGGCGACTGCTGGAGAGGCTCAGGTTCCTTTCTTCTCTGTGTCCGGCTCTGAGTTTGTTGAAATGTTTGTTGGTGTTGGTCCTTCTCGTGTCCGTGACCTGTTCGCGAAAGCAAGGAAGAACGCACCTTGCATTATCTTCGTCGATGAAATCGATGCTATTGGAAAATCCCGTGCAAAGTCTAATTTTGGCGGTGGTAATGATGAAAGGGAATCCACACTCAACCAGCTTCTTACAGAAATGGATGGGTTCAACACCACCGAACAAGTTGTTGTTTTGGCGGGTACCAACCGCGCCGACGTGCTGGACAAGGCATTGCTGAGACCTGGACGATTTGATAGACACATTACCATTGATCGCCCGACTATGGATGGAAGAAAACAGATCTTCCTCGTTCATCTAAAGAAGATTGTGACCTCGGAGGACATGGATTATCTTAGCGGCCGACTGGCTGCTCTTACGCCCGGATTTTCGGGAGCCGACATTGCCAACTGTGTTAATGAAGCTGCGCTTATCGGTACGTTGTTGATACTTATCCGAGGCAAGGGTTTCACGTGCTAATCCTATCCTAGCCGCTCGAGGAAACGCCGAAACTGTGGCTATGACGCACTTTGAACAGGCTATTGAACGTGTTATCGGTGGCCTTGAGAAGAAGTCACTTGTCCTCAACCCGGAGGAGAAGAAGACAGTTGCTTATCACGAGGTATGACCTCTTGTGGAAATCAAACCCTTTATTTTACACTGCATGACTCGCTGACTTGACTCAGGCTGGCCATGCTGTGTGTGGTTGGTTTTTGAAATATGCCGATCCGCTTCTCAAGGTCTCTATCATTCCTCGTGGTCAAGGTGCACTTGGTTACGCTCAATATCTTCCTCCGGGAGAACAATATCTCATGTCTATGTCGCAACTAATGGACCGCATGGCAATGACCCTAGGAGGCCGTGTTTCTGAGGAGATACATTTTGATACAGTAACCTCTGGGGCCTCTGACGATTTCAACAAGGTCAACCGTATGGCATCTGCCATGGTTACAAAATGGGGAATGAGCAAGGATATTGGTTTTGTCTACTATGATGATGATGAGGGCCAGAGACTTCAGAAGCCATTTTCAGAGGAGACAGCACGCCGGATCGACAAAGAAGTTAAGAAACTCATTGACGAAGCCTATGTCAAGTGCAAAGCACTCTTGACAGAGAAGAAAGAACTTGTGGGGTTGATTGCGGAGGAGCTTTTGAGGAAGGAAGTATTGGGTAGAGAAGATATGATCAGGATTTTGGGCAAGAGGCCGTTTGAGGAGAACAAAGATTTTGAGAAGTTTTTCAATAAAGCACATCAAGTCAGCTCACCACCGTAAGTAAAATGCATAATCCCAGATCAAGTATCTTATTAGACTGTACTGACAGTAGAAATACAGCCCATTCCCAGAAGATCAGGTCCCACCACCTGTAGCCAACGACTCCGGCGAAGCTCCCACACCCCCATCATAAAAAAACCCTACTCAAATATTATTTCATTGTATTTTTTACTCTTTTTTTCGACATTGACTGGCTGATGTTTTTTGTATATAAATGTGACATAACCTTTCTTCTCAGCTGCTATCAAGTCAACTAAGCACCACTCAATTCTTCAATTTCTCGATTTCTTTTCTCAGTTTTTATTGCATCTTTTTCCCGGGAGAGAATCTATGGACTTGATGTATTATTGGATGTGCGTGTGTTTAGACGGTTTACCGGGGGCGAAGAAGGAAATGTGGGCATGGAGTTGATAGAAAAAAATTTAAGTGTCGTGAGCTTCAACAATGATTAATGGATTCATGCGTTTGGTTGAGGGATATCTTAGAATAAGTTAAAAAGCAAGTTAAGAAACTCTTTCTGAGCCTGAATTCGTGGACTGTAAAAGACGTACATGTTCTAGATCCCCCGGTGGGTGTGTCAACTTCGGAAAGTGTGTTTTGGTATAGAGACCAGTGCATTCGGCAGCTTCAGATCTTGTCGGAGTATTTGATAATATTTTTCGTAGAGCAGATAGTCTATTAATTGGATAAGCTTCGGGGGGTTGGCACACCGGCTCCCCCAAGGCGTTTCAGGCCTTGAAACCTTGTTGGCACTATGTATGTATCGTGCACATACCCATATGTTTAGTTTGACTATAGCTAGTTTATGCTCTATGTAAATAGCTTATTTATACTGCAACATCATTAAAAACCGTAGTCAATCTGCACATTATCAGAAGTTAAAGATACCTTAAGATAATAAGTTGGTTGACCCCTGATCACTTTTTCAGTGAGACATTATACTAGTACCGTTGGAATCGATTCCTGCGGGATCCAGACTGTGTGCATAAATGCAGGTACGGTACTGTACTAGTGCTTCACCGGTTTCATGGTAGTATCATACTTGATGTACTTATAATTACAGTGACAGAAACATGGATAAACTTACTACCGCAGTCTTTGGCAATGCCGTACCACTGCGGTAGCACTACCGTATACTTCGTTAAAATACGGAGATAAAGCGGCACATTCTCACAATACCGTACTAATGCATGCGCAGTATCAGTTTTACCCCAGTTCTGATACTTTAGCAGTATCACGGTGAGTAGCAAGCTTTCTAATTAATATGTAACTACAGCAGGTCCCATAATACTAGGCCCAGGAAACTTTCTCAACTCACAGTATGATTCTCGAAAGATAGCCTATCCGGGCAATTGAAATTACTTTTTCGGGTAATTACTTGAGAATCTCAGGCTTGGGTTTCCTGGCAAAGCAATTTGAGCCTAGTATTATGAAACCTGCTGTAATGTTACATGTTACACAAAGTTACAAAAAAATGTCAGCCACTGCGCAAGTGATGTAATTATCGCCACTGGCGTTGGGCTATATATTCATCATAAGGCCAACGTAGACGGCGATACAACTCAGTTGCATCGCCGCGCAGTGTTAGTGATATTCGAATTCAGATACATTGATTGGGCCTCGGTTACAATCGCATCCTCAATTTCCTGACTAAGGCCGCTTAGAATTTGGGTCACGTGGTGATCATAACGATAGAGGTGAGAGTGAAGGTGGCGGTCCCCTTGATTCCGCTACCCTTTGCAGTTTGCACCTTGTGTGAACTACACGTGACCCAAATTCTTAATTTAGTCCAGTTCAAGATTAGCTAATACAAATGCTCTTAATCACAACAGACCTCACTTTGTTTTCCCAGGGACGGGCCATTATTTCAACGCACAGAGAAATCTAGCCAACCAACATCCTAGTAGCCTGCTGCAGCTCCTGGGTATAATGTATGTTGGTGTAACAGCTATATAGGAATTTCGAATGGCAGAAGTACTTGCGCTAGCATCTGCGATCATCGCCATAATCCAAATCACCGCAAAAATTACAAACCTGGCATATCAGTACATAAACGACATTCAAAAGGCGCCAGAGGCTATCAAGATATTTCTGGACGAAATTCAATCGCTCACTCATGTTCTTAATCTTCTGGAGGAATATCGTAAGAAAAGCCCCCATCTAAGCGCAATCCAGATACTCGAGAGGCCATTGAATGAATGCGTAATGGAAATGAACATGCTTGCAAAAAAGCTCGAGCCGAAGAATAGTGCTAGCTGGTGGAAAAGAAATATTGTCAGATGGAAGTGGCCGTTGAAAGACCGGGAGATGTCTGAGTATTTGGAGAGGATCGAGCGGTTCAAATCCACAATTACGTTGGCCATAGGGGCAGCAAATCAGTAAGTTTTTAACACTATAGTTATTCTGGCCTGTATTATGTTGAACCAAGAACGCATGGAAGATTAATAATATCTTTATACACAAAGATCTCAGCAGGCGGCTATTGTGGGCGGCGTGCGATATGTGATCGAGAATAACAGCCCCATAGAGGTGAAAGCCCTGATTGGTAAGAGTAATTTTCATATTGTTTAATCAATATCGATACATCCCAATGTATAAGTCCTCAAAGACTTTGGGGCTTTACCTTTATCGATCACGAACGGGATGATCAGTTAAATAATCACTAACGCGTTATATTGGTATGTGTTTATTAGAAGAAAAGCGAGAATTGATACTTCACTGGTTATTCTCAAAACCATTTGACCAGAGACATACCGAAATCAGTAATAGAAGGCAAGAAAACATTGGTCAGCGGCTACTAGAGTCACAGGAATTCAAGAACTGGACTCATGATACAGGCTCACAACTACTGTGGGTCCATGGCCTAGGTAAGTGCTTCTATATACAAAAAACTTCTGAATATCTAGACGTATTAACTTAGAATAGCTGAATCTGGTAAAACCTTTGTAACGTGTGTTATTGGCTGGGGTCCGCAGATAACTCCCAAGCTAATTATACATATATATATGGATTTTAGATCTTTCATCATCGACCACCTTCAAACTTCACAAGAAGTCTATGGAGTAGCCTATGTTTATTTCGATTACAAAGACCGAGGCCAACAGAAACTCACGTCCGTGCTTGCAAGCCTAGGGAAACAGTTGGCTCATCAAACGCACCAATCTTTGCCTAAAGAGCTTGAGTATCTATACGACGAACTTTCGTACCAGCAGCAGCGACCCTCTCTCGAGCAACTATACCAGATCCTCCTTAAATTTACCAGCTTTTTTGATAAAACTTTCATTATCTGTGATTCCTTGGATGAATATCAAGGCCGGCGAAAGGAACTCTTGCTGCTATTCCATCGAATGGAAAGGAACGGTATCAGGTTGTTTTTAACTAGCCGCGAGAATTGCAATGATGTAAAAGAGTCTTTTCAAAATTCGGCGAAGATCAAGTTTTGCGCAAGTGATAAGGATTTAGCGAGCTACATTGAACTAAAAGTAAGAGGTCTTGACGTGCCCGGGGAATACAAACCTCGGGTTGTCTCCGAGCTTACCACTTGTGCCAACGGAATGTGCGTAATCCTCTAAAGCAAAGAATTCCTTATACATGTATATATGTACTTATAACATCCTTCTAGGTTCCTGCTTGCCTACTTCTACATAAAACACTTATATGAGCAGAACGGAAGAGATCAAATTTTCAAACAACTCGAATACTATTTAACCACTAGTATAGACAACCCCCTCGACTTCACCTACAACCGTCTAGTGAATGCTCTCCGTCGCCAAGCCCCAAAGTCTGTCGACTTGGGACTCAACGTTCTCATATGGCTTGTCAAAGCCCGACGAACGCTCAAAGTGCGAGAGTTACAATTGGCAGTCTCCATGTATATGAGACATCGAAGAGGCAAACACTTTTACGAAAAAGACCTGCCTGATAGGAATACAATAGTCGGTGCCTGTGCCAATCTCGTGACGATTGATGAGAATGATACCATCAAGCTTGTTCACTACACCGTCCAGGAATTTCTGATTAACAATTCGATACTCCCCACGGATGCAGACTGGAGGATTGCTCTTGCCTGTACTTCTTATCTCTCACTCGACGTATTTGCGCGGGGTCCATGTGCTGCCAATGGTGCTTTAGATTCACGACGAGAGCTGCATCCCTTTCACCAATATGCTTCCGAGAATCTATCACATCATCTGAAGCGCTGCGATGAAGTTCAGACAACAGATATCGTTCTCAGTTTCCTCAAAGAGCCGGGGTGTGTAAATTCATACCTCCAGGCGCTTCACTGTAGAGCGCCGCCAACTAGCACTGAAAAAGCACTCGAGTATCATACTCAATACCCTAAGCAGCAAACATTGCTCCACATTGCAGCTACTCTCGGACATCTCTTTGTGACCCAGAAGTTACTGCAGAAAAACAGCACTAAAATCAACGCTCCCAATGACGACGGAAAAACATCGATGTTAATAGCCGCGATAGAGGGTCATGATAAAATAGTAAATCTTCTGCTCCAAAAGGGAGCTGACCCCTCGATCTCAGATAAGCATGGTATTACCCCGCTGCATGCATCGATATTTCACGACCAAAAACCTATGTTTATGTTATTACTCGATAAAGGTGTCGATCCAACTATTCCAGACCGTGGAGGTTCTACACCACTTCATTGGGCGGCTTCTCGGGGGCTGGAAAAGGAAAGTCGTATTCTGATTGAGAAGGGTGCAGACATTAAGGATAGAGACGACAAAGGAAGGCTGGCGCTGCACATTGCCGCTTCGCATGGGCACGGATCAGTAGTGCAGTTATTACTTGAGAATGGTGCCGAAATATCGGTTGCTGATAAAACTGGGAATACACCACTGCACATGGCGGCAGAGTGTGGCCATCGGGATATGATCCAGCTACTCTTGCGTAAGGATGCTGATATCACTGCTTTGACGAATGAGGGGAATACTGTGCTACACAGCGCAGCATGTGGAGGGGAAGAGAAGGCAATATTAGCAATATTAGCAATATTAGCTATACTCCCTGATCATGAACGTGGTATTAGCATTTCTACTGTGAATAATAGAGGATGCGCGCCATTGCACCTGGCAGCGTCCACAGGACGTGAAAAAATAGTAAGATTGCTTCTTGAACGTGGTGCCAATGTCTCAAGCGTAGACAAGGCGGGGTGGACAGCGCTCCACCATGCGGCCGAAAACGGACACGAAGCAGTAGTTCGGACCCTACTTGAAAATCACGGCAATCCATCCTCTGCAGATAAAGATGGAATCACTGTCCTTCATCGAGCAGTTCTATACAAATCAACTGTCAAATTATTGCTAGAGAAAGGCGCCGATATCACAAAGGCGGACAATCGCGGACGAACGGTGCTACACTGGGCATGCGCTTTAGAAGCCCCAGGTGTAATTATTTTACTCTTGGAGAGAAATGCGAGCGTGTCGCACCCAGATGATGATGGACGTACAGCACTACATTTTGCAGCATTTGGGGGCCATAAATCTGTAGTTCAATTGCTGAGAAAAGCGGGTGCCGATATCTCGGCTAAGGATAATAGAGGGCAGACAGCATATCAGGTAGCTGTGGCAAAAAAACATGATCTGTCAATCATTGCACTTTTGAATCCCACAGTAGGCCGTAATAGCTGAGAATATTTACGCAACTACATGACTTCTCATTTGGAGGATAGTGTGGTTAGTAGGTATCCTAGTTTTAACGTATTGGGTTGATATAGGAAGTAACAGAATGTAAGAGGGACTTGGTGGATGGCGATTTAAATTGTTTGCAGTTTATGGGGATGGGGTTCAGTTGGTTGAGTTTGTAATGTTTGTTTGGATATCTAGCTGATATTCTATACTCTACGCTCATTCTCATGCATAACGGAGGATTTCAAGGAAAGAATGTGTAGTTGAAAGCAAAGAAATGGGAGGAGAAGGCTGAAATTGTGTTTGAATCGATTAATACGTACAATGCTGAAGGAGATAGAGCTACTAAAATCAGCCGTCTAAACTGGTTCATTCTCATTATTGACACAGTGGTGTAAGCCATAAACCATGATTGCGCATGGCTATTTTTGTATCTCCCACTGTATATATGTTATTCCTCTTTCATATTTGCCCAACCTTTTCTCAGGTAATACCAATCTTAGTCTAACTATCCGTGGTTCTACATATCCAGTGGATAAGTGCCTTTCGGTATCGTTGCATTTGAGCCGGCGTATTCGGTGGACGGTGCCAATTTGAAGCCCATTTTATGGCTTGTCTCGGGCCGGATTATACAATGGACTTCATTAGCATGTAATTTAATCCCATGAGCCCCAGAACCTATATGGTCAATTCAAAACTTCACATAGAAGAGTACGTGTGCCTCTTGAGCACAACCCCACTCGTTTCTAATTATATAGAGAAAAGGGGCGTCTCATACAGATGAAAAGGATCGCTCTCTATATCTAAAAAGCTTACTTACCGGTGCCGGTTGTTGCAGAACCGATCAACCCCTCTAAAATCCCGCGGATTCGGATCTCGGAACCCGTCCTGCTGGTAACGATTCACGAAGGTCACAGCCGACCAAGCTCCTGCATAGACGGTGGGTCACCCAAGGTCCGCCCCCCAATGCTTGTTCTCACCTCACAAGATCATCACTGTAACTCCGGTGATTGGTCTCCGGTCTCCAGCCCCGGTGGCTTCGGCGATCTCGGGATCCGAGGGATCACAGTATATCACTCGTGTAAGTGATATTTCAGGGCAGTGCGCTGCTGCGCCGGATTCTTCGGGGTTAGGTGGAAGCCGAGTGTATAGCATCAATGAGCAGGTGACACTTCTCCTATTCCTTGATGTACGATGATGCGAGGCTTCAATGAACACTTACGTTGTGGGTCGATGGACATCGGATAGATGAGTGGGCCCGGGGCACTGATCCTCTTGGGGAACTGGGCGAGGCGGGGGAGTGCAATCTCTAGAACTTTAGGGACATGAGAAGGTGACAAGGTACAGGCATGGCTGCCGGCAAGTGGTGTGGTCCCTAAACAGCGGAGAGATTTATCGTTCGATCATGATCAATTAACGTCAGGGTGTAGGTTCACTTGCTTGCATGCTTCACATGCTTGAGAATCCGGGACCTCTCAATGGAGAATATTCCACTAATACGGGATTTCCACATATATTGGGGCTTCTTTGGGCTCATACGATCCTCGGATGGTTCAAGGGTCTAGAATCGAACCGAATTCTTCATTTTCTGCATAGTACTGGAGGAACAAGCTGCACGCTGTGCAGGGATGAGCACGTGACCATGAGCTGAGTCAGTACGTACATGTAGCTATGGCTGAACAAATCCGTCAATAAGGGCCGAATCAGGCTCGGCACTGACACTTACTTGTCGGCCCATATGCAGGTGGTGATGAGCTCGGGCCGAGTAAGTACTTATCAGACTTTATAATTCCTGAAAGAACTACAATTAAGGGAAGAGAGACCACCATCCCGTTACCGTATCCTAAAGCTATTGGACAGATAATTGAGGAGGAGGAGACTGCCGTATTGGTAGATTAGTTGACGAAACTTACAGAATATTTGGTACTGCTTCTGCTGCTGATAATGGTGATGATGATGATGATGATGATGATGATGATGATGATGATGATGATGATGATGATGATGATGATGATGATGATGATGATGATGATGATGATGATGATGATGATGATGATGATGATGATGATGATGATGATGATGGCGATTGTAAGTATCTATAGACAGGCTAGGGTATAGTGATATAGCCATAAATCAACAGGAGAGAGAGCGTATGATGAGTTGATGAGGATGGGGATGATGATATTGACGTTGCCAACGTGCGGAGAAAAAAAGAGGCTGTCCATAGTGATGACTATGATTTCGCGTATGGGGCGGTAAATGTGTCAAAAGTAATTTTACCAACGGTAGTAAATTATTTTACCACCGGTGGTGAAAATAATACCAGTATTTATACCCTATAATGCTAATTTTTATGATAAAAGCACAGACCTTTTGGCCAAAAGGGGCCATATAATGCCAATATATATGAAAATTGTCCACCGGTGGGGAATCTCACCATCGGTGGCGGTATTTCACCACCGGTGGGAAATTTTCATAAGTTTTGGCATTAATGATTGAAGATTTACTTATTTAGTATAGCGCAGCATAAAGACCGAAACTCAGTGTTTATACCGGTGGAAATGTACTAATGTAGGATAGCGTGCAGATACAATGACTGAAATTCAGTGCTTATACCACCGGTGGTAAATAATTTACTACCGTTGGTAAAATTACTTTTGACACATTTACCGCTCCATATTCGCGGGGCTAGGTTTCACCAGGTAAGGTTTTAGTCTAGCGTAAAGTTTAAAATTTTAATCCAAAGCACAATTGTGCAGTGCAAGCCCAAGACTACGTAAAGTAAAAGGCTTATGTGGATTACATGTATGTATAAGATGTACATGTAGTCATTCAGCCAAACGACTTGCTGTCTTCTAGAGTAAAAACATCGATCTCATTCTCGAGCTCGGTTTTCTACGAACTTCTTATAAATCAGGATCACCTACTGGCGCTGTACAAAACTCTGACGCTTCAATGTGAAGAAATGATCAGTAGCCTACTTTGCTATAGACTACATGTACTGCATAATTCATCTCTCTAGTACGTACTAAGAATCTCATCAATACACATCTCATCCGTTACATAGAGCTCTATAGTTGTTGCATATTTATATATATATTGCCTATTAACTCGATTACATGTAGCTAGCAATCTTTTTAAACCGATGCGACACCGATAATTTAGTTCAATAAATGAATTATCAATCAATCAATTGATAATTTGGTTCACAGGGTGATCTGCCTCTCGAGTGATATTTCATGACTAAATATTCATTGGTCCATAAAACTTGGATCTAAACAAAGACTATTATATCATACCTCTTATTGAGCGATTGAGCCAATATATATCTCGTCTTAGTATACAAGGTGCATTTTCGTACTACGAATCAGAGAGAAGACGTCCTTAGGGTTAAGTCGTTAATTCCGGGTATAACGTCCTTAATTGGGCTGGTATATATCAGAAGTAATTTGTGAGTTCACAACGACAACAATGTTAACAAGTCGGTATTAGTAGCTTTTCCGAGCAGCACATTAATCTCTGAGCGGCCCAGATTTGAATCTCGGGTCAAGAAGTATGGAGCGTTGACATGAGATATCATTGCCTATAGTTAGTAGCCGGCTGGATGAAGTTTATGTTTCTGTAGGTCATTAGTCTCTCTATTATTTCGCTGCAATGCTTCTTACTATTAGTAGGAGGTTTTGGTGATTTGATAACCCTGGGAAATTCGTGGTAAGGCTAGTAAAAGAAATATCCAAGAAGACACTAGAATCGAGTTACAGTGCTATCAGCTTCACGTATGCGTCAGCAGCCCTTATCAGCTTACATATTGACGAAGGAGAACTTTTACATACATCTAGTGTATGCATGTATCTCCCAATACTATACTTTTATTGTATGAAATTCGCCGGGTGGGTATGGCAATTGGGTATGTACAAGCGTTTTACGGCTCAAAGAACGTGTACACAACCGAATAAGCTGCGAATTGGGAAATGGGACACCTCATATCGGGCTTTATAAGAATGGGTTGGTACGTTTAAAAACCATCCAGTATGGGTGTTCTGTGGTGTTTCAGGTGCTACGGTACAGTCGTTTAATTACGAATCCCGCCAGTTGACGAATTGGGGGACATACATGCAATTATGGCAAAGAATAGCCGAGAAATAGTAGAATTGCGAGATATCCAGATTCTTTTGGTTTATATTGGCCCAGAATTCCCTGTTTATCAACTGACGCTATTCGTTAAGCGACGGTAAACGACTGTATATGTATACGTATACATATGTGGAGGAGGGTTTGGGTATTAATCATTACTCCCCAAGCATGACTTCCCAAACTCAACTATGTACAAAGGTACATCAAGATCGAGTTTGGACCCAATGAATTTGATTCAACGCTGTTTTCGGTTATGTCCGGCCATATAAGGTAAACCACGAATATGTTTACTTGCTCCCTTCTGCGTATTGCCAAACGCGGAATTCGCCGCCGGTCAGTCCAGATCTAGATCTTTAAACCATCTAGCCCTGGCTCAGTTAGCTAATTTAGTCGTGATAGATGGTATATTTCGCACCTAACTATTCACAAATTCGAGCCTCTCGGTGAGTGTTCCGGTAGCATAACAAGTATACCGGTGTTGAAAGGTTTCTTGTACTATGAGGGGACAATGGCAATATAGCATTCCATCGATACGTTCACCTAGGCCGGTTGGCCAATTCGGCAAGTAAAACGTAATTCTTGAAACCCGTGATATTGCCTCATGAGCGCCTACATGTTCGTTTTCAGCACGTGGACAGGATCGATCACGAAAAATCAATTGCATTATATACTTGATTACACAAGGAATTTTGAGTATCCGGAGTGTCGATGTATCGTACACAGTACATAACTCATAAGATAAATGTGTAGTACACTGGGCCTAGCTTGAGAAACAGAAATTCCTTTATATTTGCCGGGAAACAGACATTTTGCAAAATCGGTCTATTCTTGCAGATTCCTATTAGTTCAAATTCCCCGCCCACTAAAAGCTCTTCTTCGTGAAACACGATCGATTTGTGTGATGTGTAATTAAATAAGCCTTGTGAAACACGACCAGGTTTCGGGTTTCTGTCCGGTTGGATGTCGAGTGATACATCATGTCACTAATAAACATATGCGTCGATCCGGTGAAATCGAAGCCTTGGGTTTCTGCCTATTATTTCTTCTTCGCCTAGCCCGAGATCAGAAGTAGGCGGATCCATCAAGCAAGCAAGGTTCCGGGTCGCTTAAGTCAAAAAAACGGCAAACACGCAGATGTATACGTTTCGGGGGTGTAAATTTTTGCGTTTGTAGAATGACACGTTTGAACCTCTCAACACACCCCGGCCAGCGTTATCAACTTTGTGTATCTACCCTACACTATTATACCTAGTGACATCTCAAACGAACGCCGAGGGTCTAGGCTCACCGCCAGGAGTGCCACTCTCTATGGAGAGCGTCTACCATGGATACACTAGCCGTTGTAGAGACATACCTACTGTGATTTGAAGTGTGGGAGAATAGACGACTTGAGGAGGGTTTGAACACGTGACCTTTGTGAGGACTATGTTTATAGTGCAAAGAAGATACTATTGCGCCGCTGAGTTCCGGCGACAACTATGGGAGTTTGTTACTCCTTATATACAGATAGTTCTTAGTACCACGTGATCCATCAGCAAAAAATGAAGTCTCGTCTTGTGACGCCTGGGCGCCCCAGACGCCCTAGACGCTCCAGACGACACAAAGCGATTTCTTACCTGCATACCGACACCTGGGTGCCCCGCGACGAGAGCCCTGCGTCTCTTGGGCAACCGACGACGTCGCGAAGGCTAAAGACGAAAACCTTCTCCCATCCCTCAAAGACGTCGTCACGACGTCTAAAGACGAGCTCGTCTTCTGGACATAGGAGGTAGCCCCTCTACCATTATGCTCGCATCTTGGTCTATGGAAGTCGTCCTACGCCCTCGTCACCTCGCCTTTAGTCTAATTACCTACGTCATATTGGCCGACTTATGTCCTCAACCTGCCTATCTCGACCACTACATATCGTCTTTCCGCTCGCACTCTCTGTCTCTTGACAGTTTATATCGTCCTTTTTCACTAATCTGCGCCTTCCGACAGCTATCCCGTCTTTTGGTTCACACTCTTCGTCCTTTCATTCGCACATCTCGTCTTACGGCAACTATATCTCGTCTTTTGGTCTAAACTCTTCGTCTTTCCATCCCTTGATTCTACGTTTGAATTTTCTTTAGGTGATACTGTCTATTGATTCATTGTCTTTTGACGCCCCTCGCTCTAGCTAGTTCGTCTATTGGGGTGAGAGCTATCTGACCCTTTGTACTTTGCTCCTGCGCGGTCTCCCTCTCCGTCTTCTGACCACTTCTCCCGAGCGCTCTTCTCCGCCCTGCGTCATACTGACATCTCTCTCTACGTCGTTTTCAATATTTACATTAATCCCGGTAATTGTTCCAATAGTCCCATCTATCTGGCTTTCTGCATCGACTACGTAGTCCCCGACTGTAGGTGGAGTGACATTGCCCTCCTCCCCGTCGTCATCGTCAAACGGCGGGTCGCCTGCCTCGTCGGACCCCATATCGTCGTCGTCAGTCTCCGTACTGAGCTTGGATCGGAGACCCTCCAAAAAGCTGCCTACTCCAGGGTCAATAACTGCCTCCCTGCTCTCCGTAGCGGTAATCCTGCAGCAGTTTGTCCTCTTAATCCGTTTCAATATCTCGTGTCGAATCCCCTTCAGTACTAGATTTGACGTCTCATCGTCGGGGAAGGACCTCTTCCATGTGCGCATGTGCCTCTCGAAAATTACTAGCACCACCGTCAATAATGATGCCCGTCGATAACCTGACCAGATGAAAGACGGGGTGCTCACCGCCGCAATAGTCCTTATTGAAGACACCATTCTTCCAGTTGCTGCCTCCAATTACGTGGACTCTCAGCGCATGGTAAAGTACAGTAGAAACCAGGCAGATAAAAGACGGGTTGATACAACTCTCAAATTCCGGATGGTTGACGGCAATCCCACGATTGGTCTTATAGTAGGCGTAGACGATAAAACTCGGTATTTGAGGTGCGGCGAAATGCCATTGCGCGGGCT